ACACGGATGAGTAAATATAGATTATTTAAACAGAAGTGCAAAATTCTTCCATTGAAAAGTACAGAGGCAGGCACTCACGAAACATTACATATGCCTGACTGCATCCACATAGATCGACTAGCCACAGTGTTCTAATGAAATAGGAAAATGGCAATATAATGTTGAGATAAAAGGGTTTTAAATTAATTAATTTTCCCAACGGTTCCGTAGTGTAGTGGTTATCACGTCTGCCTAACACGCAGAAGGTCCTGGGTTCGAAACCCGGCGGAACCTACGGTGTACTCACCTTTTTGGCCATTTTAATAAAATAAAAGGCAATGCAATGTTGGCTTTGAGAGCGTCAGAAGGATACATGTTTTTTCTGAATAATCCTCCTCTATGGGTGAGAACTAGGGTCAAATAAATGACCCCATCTGCACTATGGTTCTTATTTTTGGGGTTCAAAAACAGATGTTACTGCAATGTTTTTTACAACCTTAACGTGAACGGAAATTATTTAAGCGATGCATTTGTATGGGCGATTGGTCATACATATAGGTTGGCGTTTCGATTTTATATGCAAGCTTAAACTCCCTATTAAACCATTAATCCCCAAAGCACTGTTCCACAGCTGGATGAGTCTAACTACTCTAAGTTTCGCCATGCAAACTAATAAAGCTACGATTGTAAACAACCACAGATAAATGCTCTAACAACCGCGATATAGGTGTCATCATCAACTTCAGTTAGAGTCATTCTAAGTGAAGCCGTTTTCTTTCGAATTCTCTAATATTACGGGTGTTTGAGCTTCTATTTGTGTTTTTTTACAATCACAGTTTTACTAGTTTGCATGGCGAAACTTTTGGAATCATATTCAGCTTAGTTTAGCTGAAATCAGAGGTTTGTCGAAAACGAAAGAATTTCGGAAACCATCTTGAATGACACTAACTGCAGTTAGAGTCATCCAGCTGTGAAACAGTGCGAAGGGACATCTATTCCTAGGTGGAGGATAAGTATAAGATATCCTATGATCTTTATCCACGAATAATTCATGGAAAGTGTAAACGTTGTCATGAAAATTGAGGAATAAATGATGAACATAGAATTCAAGTATTTCAATTTGAAGTATTTTGAGGAGTGTCCAAATTGAAATTGCCGTTCACGCATATTCATGAATCTTCAGAAACTCGTTTGATTAGAAGTAACATCATCCATTTTACCATGTTTTGCTGACCCAAATATGAAATAATGAATGAATATTCTAGTGGAATCAATTGATGCAAGGCCCCCATAGGGACCTTGCGTTTTCATACTAAAGTTCGTTTTGGAGTTTTTTCTTATTGTTCTATGTATTTCAAGACATTTAAGAGACAGGGCCCTTTTTCTAAAGCCCTTTTTAGAAAAATAATTGAGATAACAGAGGATACCCATTATTACTGCTTTTTAATACAATGTTAACAGTAAATTCAAATTTCAAACTCCTTATCTCACTATAATTCACCAATGGAAAATAAAGGTTGAGCAACCAAACTTAGCACAAAGTTGGACCCTAAGATAAGCTCTAATCTGAGGGGTTTGATCTTTTGTGAAATCATAGATTTGCCTAGCAACCACATAGCAACCATCTAAAATAACATATTTTACAATATAAATCCACTAAATAAATGTAAGGATGCTATAAGACCATTACAAAAAGTCTTCTTATCCTAAAATACAACAATTCAAACATATTTACAGAAGTGACATTACCATGTTGCATAGCAACAACATGGCAACAGGTAACAAAACCAATTATGACATTTGCACACCATATTCCTATTATATGCTCACTTGTATGCATTTAGATCCCTTCCACATTATTTCTTAACATACAGAAATTGTATTAAAGCATAAATGATGCAGTTATGCTTGACCATTTTCCCTAGCAACTTCCTAGCAACAGCTTGAAATAATGGTTAAATTTGCCTAGCAATGACTAAGCAACAGCTTAAAATAGCAATGTTTCTCATAAAAATCTCACTATATATCCACTATATGTACTTGAAGAAAATCAATATGTATGTCTTTTAATTTATAAAGCTTTGTTGCTGCACACTCAAAAATCCGAAGTCTCTTATGATGGGACATTTCTTATCTTATTTCTTATCAAATTGCAAAGGTCCTGCAATTCATGTTTCAGTTCTAAGATAAAGTAAACACAAAATATTCGTCGTATTTATCCTTGTTACATTTTCAGCATTGATACCCCTAAGACAATACTTTATTTGGGTTAATTGCTACAATTTCCTTTGCAGTTGCATAGTTTCGGTGCAGTAGAATGCACCATGGCATTTGCAGTTCCCTTTGCAGTCACATTTGGTGCTTCCACATTTAATTATGACTTTACATGCCTTGGATGCTTGTGACAGTATTGTCCATCTGGGTACCCACAATCCTGATGCGCTTCTAAACCATCCCCATAGGTTTGGTGAAGGAAGAACTGGATCCACTATATACCATTGCCCCATACATGTGCTCCTTGGAGAGCTGCTCGCATGACATGATAGAGTGCTGCATCTCATGTTGGAGGTACTCTATCAGAATCCATCTGTCATGAGTGAACATGTGCCTGCACATGGTATTGAGATTTGTCTCACTGCTTGTAGGCTGGTAAACCAGGATAATGAATCTCTCAACTGTGCCCATAACTTCTGTTGTTACAGTTGATGGGCAATCTGCTGGAGTTAAAGTGGCACCTGTTAGATCATTACATAAGTCCCATTGCTTGAAAACTGTCACCTTGCTGTGATGGTAAAGTCTAGATGTGGTATCAGTTCCAGTATGGGCGTGGAACATTGGTAGCGCACATGATCTTTGTGGTCCTAGTGCTTAAGCAATCTCATGAACTGGAATGTTGCGATACGTTTTGCATTTTGAAAATGCTACATAGACCTCAATCTGTAGCTCAGAGGCACAGGCTAAGGCTATCACAATAACATTACTGTCCACTGATAGTATGATAAATGTTCTGCAACCTTTTCCGACACCATGAGACACATGCAAAAACATATATGTATCTGCCTCATGACATTGTTAATTTTCCACATTTGGATAGTAATATTCCACTGAAACCAGCATATGGGGTGTATGTATCTCAGCAGGGTGTGTTCAAAATACTAGTATATAGATTTTAAATCAAAGACACCATATTTTACTGATTAAATTGTTAGGTCAAGGTTATACTTGTTAAAAGCTAAAAATCCTATCTGGACTTTGCTGAAACATACAAGTCATTAATTTCAAAGTTTCAAGTTTTACCGCTTGAGATGCTGAAGGATGTAGGAATTGTGCAAAGAGCTCTGTCTTTCTAGAAACGCTTGCAAATTGCTTGGTAGTTTGGTGTTAGGATAGGATTTCTCAGAATCAATGCCAACAAGATAGAGTTTTTTTGCACTACTAGAAATTGTTACAAGAAATATTATGGCAGACGATAGAGTCTTTGTCTCAACCATTGAAGGAGAGTGCATCAGTAATCCTGCTAATTATGACATAATAGTCCCTGCTCCTAGGAAGAGGCAGATACACATATGTTTTTGGATGTGTCTCATGGTGTCGGAAAAGGTTGCAGGACATTTATGATAAGACTGGTGGACAGTTATGTTGTTATAGCCTAATAGCCTGTGCCTCTGAGCTACAGATTGAGATCTATGTAGCATTTTCAAAATGCAGAACTAACGCTACATTCCAGTTCATGAGATTGCTTAAGCACTAGGACCACAAAGATCATGTGCGCTACCAATGTTCCACGCCCCTTACTGGAACTGATACCACATCTGGATTTTACCATCATAGCAAGGTGACAGTTTTCAAGCAATGGAACTTATGTAATGATCTTACAGGTGCCCTTTTGACAAGAAGCACATGTATGGGGGCAGTGGTATATAGTGGATCCAGTTCTTCCTTCACCAAGCCTATGGGGATGGTTTAGGAGCCCATCAGGATTGTGGGTGCCCAGATTGACAATTTTGCCCAAGCATCCAAAGCATGTAAAGTCATAAGTAAATGTGGATGTACCAAATGTGACTACAAAGGGAACTGCAAATGCTGTGGTGCATTCTACTGCACCTAAACTATCCAACTGCAAAGGAAATTGTAGCAATTAACCCAAATAAAGTATTATCTTAGCGGTATCAATGCTGAAAATGTATCAAGTATCAGTGTGATGAATATTTCGTGTTTACTTTATCTCAGAACTGAAACTTGAATTGCAATTTGATATACATAAGACAAGAAATGTCCCATCATGCTTTACACAAGATACTTAAGATTTTTAAGTGAGCAACTATAAAGCTTTATAAATTATATATATATGTATAGTACATATGGTGGATATATAGTGAAATTCTTGTGAGAAACATTGCTATTTTAAGATGTTGCTAGGTCGTTGCTAGGCAAAATTTAACCTTTATTTCAAGCCGTTGCTAGGAAAAATGGTCAGACATAACTGCATCAATACATTTGCTATATGATTGTTAAGAAATAAGACCTAAAAGCAGTGAACATATAATAGATATATGGTCTGCAAATGTCAGAATGGACATTGTAACCTGTTGCCATGTTCTTGCTATGCAACATATTGATGTCACTTCTGTAAATATGATAAAATTGTTGTATTTTAGGATAAGAAGACTTTTTGTAATGGTCTTATAGCATCCTAGCATATATTAATTGGATTTATATTGTAAAATATGTTATATTAGGCAGTTGCTATGTGGTTGCTAGGCAAATATATGATATCACAAAAAATCAATGCCTTAAGATTAAAGTTTATCCTAGGATCTAACTTTGTGCCAAGTTTGGTTGCTCAATTCCCATTGTCCATTGGTGAATTATAGTGAGATAAGGAGTTTGGAATTAGAATTTTCTATTAAAATTGTGTTTAAAAGCAAAAATAACAAGTATCCTGTGTAATCTCAATTATTTTTCTAAAAAGGGCTTTAGAAAAAGGGCCCTGTCTCTTAAATAACTTTAAATACATAAAACTATAAGAAAAAACTCAAAAACAAACTTTAGTATGAAAACGCAAGATCATTCACCAATTGATTCCGCTATTCGTTAAATTCAGTCATCTGACACATTATTTAATTATCAATATATGAAAAAACTGAATATACAATATGGTTACCCAGTGAAACGTTAATATTGTAAGCACCAACACCTATTGTTCCATGTTTGGCATTTTACATTGCATCGATCGTGGTGGAGATCATTTAGATCACGTCCTTATTCAAGATTATTCCTTTACCAATTAGGTTCCATTTTTGTTTCAGACATTTATGGGACACTCTGCAAAGTATTAACTACTTTGAAAACTAGTATTTACCCTGATACAAAGTTCTTGACATTTCCCTGACACATCTTATTATGTCAATTTCCCCGTGTTGGGAGAACCATTTGAAATAAAGTTGAAACGTCTCCGATCTTTCCAGGTGCAGATAAAAATAAACCTATTTTCCTAACATTTGCTGTTCTGCCTTAATACTCCAATTGGGACGCTGCTTTATACAGTCTTTGCTCTGTTAGCATCATCCTCACTATATTCAACTGTCAAACTAGCACCTTGATTTTTAGCTTTACTATTAATTGCTGGTAACAAAAGAACGTCATCTTTATCAGTCTCTAACTCGTCTCTGTTGTGTTTGGAATAACGTGATGTATATCGTGGGGATAATGGCGCAAGTTGTTTACTTCGCTTTAAACCCTGAAACATACTATTTGTGTCACCCCTATTACTGATTTTCCGATGTTCCGGTGAAGCTGCGTTGTGTGTATTGAACTCTATTCCCAATGCGGCATCATATTTAGGGGCGTTGTGAAGTGGTTGGAGATGAGCACTTCCTGCTTGAGGCGGATTGATATTTTCATTTGTAAGTAGACGATTGTTTCTATAAGAGGTGTATTCTGGGTAGAGTTTCTCATCGGAAACAGTAAATGGAATATTCACGGGTGGTAATCCGTTCGGAGTGTTCGACGCATTCTCCCCATACAAATGAGTACGTCTTGACGGTGACGTCAGACCCCTGGGAGATAATGTAGCGGTTAACGTATCCCGAATAGTATTTACCGCAAATACATCTTCAAATGCAGTACAATTGATATTACTATCCATCTCCTGACGCATCTTTTTTCTCGATCTTTTTGATTTAGTTTTTTTCGCTTTTTGTTGGTTTGGTTCACTGTACAGATCATTTTTGGCTACTGTTGTATCGTTGTCGGACACGTGGTTTTGGATACTGGTGCTACTTTTCGAATGGATGCTTATCTTCTCTAACGTTGCCCATGACGATTTTATATGTCCCATTGGTACTTGGGAAGAAATGTACTGGTCTTGGTTCAGTATTTCATTCAGGGCATCTTGTGGAGTGTTTGACGTGTCAACGTTCGCCTCTCTGACGAGGACTCTAACACAGTCGTTGTGTCTAAGTTTCAAGGAAATGTCAAGCGCAGTTTGTTTGTTAAAGTTCATTACGTTCGCTTTTATAATGTGTTTGGTTTGCGCAGAGTGAACCAGAATTCGAATGACAGAAGCGTTGCCGCCATATGCCGCATACATCAACGCCGTATTACCACCGACGTCATTGACATTAGGGTCACATTTACGTGTACGAATTAACAAACGGACGACGTCTTCACGGTTCGGCTCGAACGAGGCAAGCATCAACGCTGTACGACTGCGCTCATCAACACTATTAACGTCACTACCGTGCTCCAAGAGCAAACGTATAATATGACGCCTGATGTCTTCTTTAGGGACGTAAACGGCGCGCATCAATGGCGTTTGGAGGTTAGAATCATGGACGTTTACGTCAGCCCCGCTGTCCAATAGATTGGAGACGGATCGTATCTTTGCATGCTCCACTGCACGGAAGAGTGTTTCAGTAATTGACGGAATATTCGAAGCTGTTGCCATCCTGCTCAAAGACTACCTTCCATTCCACGCACTCTACTAGATATAGTATACAACTAAATAGGGAGATATAATCCGAACTTGGTAATTGTGCATGCATTTAGTGAAATCGCTTCCAGGGTTTGCATCATTTTCATCGAAGTTATCTGACATGGTCGACTACCTCCAGTCCCTGGTACCTGGCCCTTTAAAATGAATACCTGGCCCTTATATTAATATGTATTATCCACCCGGAGTCGGAACACAGAATGACATTTCTCCGTCTTCAACAAATAATACAGGTTTTACACTAGATGTTTCTATTGATTATATGTTGCATGATATCCAGTCTCAGAGTCTTATTGTCAGATAACATATGTAGTTCTATGGCAATTAATCCTAGGAATAGCCTATCGTAATTAATCCTTCTGTAATATGCTGACTGTCAGCTAGCAGATCGAATGAATTAATGACTTTCCTCTTCCTATATACTGATGTATGATTATTTATAGAAATTGGCTAGCATTCTCTAATGAATTGGCTGTTTCAACCCAATGCCCATGCTACATTAGAACGACAGGGGTACCTCTGCCTTGAGAATGATACGTGCTATCTCCAGTTGGTTGATTGTTTCAACTACGATTGTGTAATAGTATCGTAAAAATGGAGGCGAATATGCTTGGAGAATGAATGATGATTTGATGATGTACATTTGAAGAACACATATATCCGAATGTCCAAGTTATGTGCCTCGTCAAAATTTCTCAGAATTTGATGTCAATTGTTAAATTATCTTATGACTAAATATATAACTGTAATTTCAAGGTTGGCTTTAAAAGTTTTCCCGCGCTTATTTGAATTTTCCTAGCCTGTTTTTTTCTATCCCATTTACATCAGTGATAGCTGACGTCCATCCCATCTAGACCGTTCTTGGTTGCACTTAAAAAGGACACCCTTGATCACTGAAATAATATAAGGTCTACCATGAATCATGACTTCGAGTCTTATGCTAATAAATGAGGAGCTCGTTTCTCAGGTGTTAATCGTTGGTACACTGTTAATTTCTTGGACAAAAGGCTCAACACTATATCTAAAGTAAAGATCGCGTAGCCTAACATGCTGTTTATCAAATATACACACCCCCTTCATAACAACCAAAGGTACCCTTTGAATCTCATGTTAAGACTCTAAAATTCATCAATTTTTAATTTAATTTTCTAAATTTTTCAGAATTAATGTAACAAGGAAGCAAACAAAGATCCAAACTTTACAGGCTTTACAAACACACTATCAAATTAAATGAAAACTTCCGATTATCAAACTTATGGAGGGGAGTGTATTGCCAAATTTATGGAGGGGAGTGTACTTACATAGCTGCTGGTTATTGTCCATTTTGTTGTACACTGATTCCTGTTTCAAAGAAAATCAAATATTTAAAGTTATTTTTGTTCCGTGCCGTTCAGCAATTGAGCGTTCGTGTTTTCCTGATATGAAAGCAAACAATTAAATAATAGGAGTTCACGATTGATATCTGAGGTACCGCGCAACGTTAATTATGGACCTTATAAAGTAGCAAATGATTAAAAACAATTAAGGTCCATTAAGTATATTTTCATTAGCTTTTTACTGAAAATGTGAATAGTTAGCAATCTTTGATCCTTTGGTACTTATAGTTGTACTTGCTACAGGATACTTTACTTCAAAACATTTGCAGATTGGGCAAAAATGAGAGAGCTGATGTGTTTCTAGAATTCGCTAATTAACAAATATATTAGGCTTTTAGCAGTGGCAAATAATTCATGTTTAGGTGCGAAAATGTAACATTATCGACCCTTCTTGTATATGTGAAACACCGGAATGCTTTGTCGGCGCGTATGTATTCAACGCACGGTCTTACTCACGTACCTGTGGATACTAGATTCGTTACAACGTCAAAGAAACTGATTACGTTAAATGTATAATTCTATTTTCCACATATTAAACATCACTTCTTTATCCAATCCAGCGCCTCATTGCAATTGATTTTTATTATGCAGGGTTACTTATTCGCAGTTAATTATCTCCAATTTAGTAGGCTATTTCGAGATCAGTAGTTCCCCTGATTGGAACTCCCGTAACTTACGATTTGGTCGCAAGTCAAAAGAAGACAATGGTTAGTTATCTCGGAACTGTAAGTTACGATCGTACTAAAAAACGAATTCTGTATTCTTGAAGGGTACCCCTGTAATGATCGGTCCCCTTTTTGCTTGTGATTGTGACGGTAAAGTATAACTGGTCCCCACTTCTTGTGTAATGGATTCTGGGAAAAGAACATTTTAATAATATCTACAGTTACAATAGGTCGGAGAGACTTTGTAAAGAAATGGTTTGTATGTTGTCCAATGCTGAACAGCATTGAAGAAAATAATCTGAATATTCCAGATGTAGAAAATATATTAAGCTTTTTCCTAAATAGAAGTCAATTTGGTGATAAGGGCCGTTAACAGATATTGAGGACAAACGTGTTATATATGAACTGCAAAAAGGCATAGTTAGGCAGGGTGTGTCTGATTCCAGCCAATCCGAACACAGTATTTCATATATACTGCAGTGCATTATATAACCACTCACAGAATCCAAGGTCACTACGTATGTGGTTGTCAAGGTGACAACTTAACTCTACAGATTAAAATTGATGCTTTGCCAACTCGACCAAAAACTTTCGAAAATGTTCTTTTACTGATTTCGTATCTTTTAATGGTAGAGAATATTTTGCGAAGTGTGAAAAGAATTTAAGCCCGGTGTAAAAGGGTAGGAGGTCCTATCAAATTATGGTCCTACTCTCCATTGATTTATATGGTGACCTAAATACAACACACTTTCCCTCATTATCTTATACGCAATCAGGGCCAGTAAGAGACTTTAAGAAAGGGGACCATAATCCATGGGGGACCATTATTTTCTTTCACACCGGACGTTATTTCCTCTTGTGCAAATTTGGGAAAGCAACGCCTTCAAGGTCATTCCACATTGCACTGAGTCCAAGGCTTAAACACTCAAACAATTACTGTATCCCCACTGCTGTATGATCAACCAATTGATGAAATAAACACAATTGTGAACTTTGATCTATTTGCGTGATGTGTGATGAGTCGTCTGCTGGACAAAATTTCAGACGACATTCTATATAAATGCTGATAAAGTGACAGAAGTTCGAGAGACGGTTAATGACAAATGACGGAACAAGATTTTATATACTTTATTCATACAATTTCCATTGTTTGAAGAGCTCTCTTGCCAGATCCCAGAGCTTGTACTTTTTTCCTTCATCCTCAATTTATAACATTTTCATAACATTTATATAATAAATAGCAAAAATGTTAGATCAATGAAATGTGACTTTGATAAAGTAAGTATTGCTATTTACCCGTTCAAAATGTTCTAATGATCATTTTGCCGATCCCGATGCTGGGTGATACAGAACATACATGGGTGATATAAAGCACGGTGCAAAAATGGATTCGTTTCGAAAACGTGATCTGACTAAAGATACACTAAGGCCTGGGCCTAAAAACGTTTCCTAAACATCGTATATTTTCTATAAGGGGAAATATCTGTCTCCGCTCAGTTGATTAAATAGCAATGTAATTGTTTGATTTGCTTTCGGTAGAAACATTCCACTTAATAAATTGCAAAGAATTGTGTGAATAAAGTCATTTGATACCATAGTACCTCCCTAGTTCTTCACTCGACTCCATTAATTATTGAAGCTAATTGTTATGAAAGGTCAGCAGTGTCGGTTATTTCATGATTAATTCAGATAACACGGAGATTAATAATAGGAAAACACAAGAGGTAACACTAGAAAACACCAGGGGGTAATAGGTATAAAACACAAGGGGTAACACAAGGAAAAGCAAGGGGTAAAACGAAGAAAACCAAAGGGTAAACATCAGGGCAACATGAGTGAAGCACTAGAGAGACAAAAGGGGTAATGCAAGGAAAATACGAGAAAACACATGGGGTACGACCAGTAAATCCCACGGGTAACATTGGGAAAACATAAGGGGTAACAACAGTCATACTCAAATGAGAAGCACTAAGAAAACTCATAGGATTTCACTAGGACAACACAATGGGCAACATTTGAACAACACAATGGGTAACACTAGGACAACACTAGGGGTAACACTAGGACAACACAATGAGTAACACTAGGACGACACAATGGGTAAAACTAGGACAATACAATGGGTAACACTAGGAAAACACAAGGTAAACACTAACACGACACAATGGGTAACTCTTGGACAACACAATGGGTAACACTAGGACAACACAATGGGTAACACTAGGACAATACAATGGGTAACACTAGGAGAATACAAGGTCAACACTAAGACGACACAATGGGTAACTCTTGGACAGCACAATGGGTAACACTAGGACAACATAATGGGTAACACTAGGACAACATAATGGGTAACACTTTGACAACACAAGGGGTAACACTAGGACAACACAAGGGTAACACTAGGACAACACCAGAACAACGGCAACGCCAAAGCGTAGCAAATCTCATCGAACATTTTTCAAAACGGGCACCTTCTACCAAAAGTGTCATTAGACAGTGTGCCATGCTTATAATATTCACATACCAAATATGAACAAAATCGCTCCACTACTTTTCGAGTTATAGTAAAAAACGTTAAAATGGCGGCCATTTTGAAAAATGGCCGCCTTCTACCAAAAGTGTCATTAGACAGTGTGCCATGCTTATACGTATTCACGTACCAAATATGAACAAAATCGCTCCACTACTTTTCGAATTATAGTAAAATAAGTTAAAATGGCAGCCATTTTTCAAAATGTCCGCCATTTTTCAAAATGGCCGCCTTCCACCAAAAGTGTCATTAGACAGTGTGCCATGCTTACAGTATTCACATGCCGAATATGAACAAAATCGCTCCACTACTTTTCGAGTTATAGTAAAATACGTTAAAATGGCGGCCATTTTTCAAAATGGCCACCTTCTACCAAAAGTGTCATTAGACAGTGTGCCATGCTTATAGTATTCACATACCAAATATGAACAAAATCGCTCCACTACTTTTCGAGTTACAGCAAAAATCGTAAAATAACGAGTAAAGGCCGCCATTTTTCAAGATGGCTGCCGTGTGCTTTTTTAATATCTTCATTTCTAGCTTTATTAATGTCTTATATAATTTTTTTTACATTTAAAACATATTGCTATTACAGTTTTACATATTGCACCTAAATTACTGTAAAATCGGCACTAAAATGACCGCCATTTTTAAATGAGCGGCCATTTTGAAAATCGGCTTTCGAGCAGAACTTCTACCCCCATAGGGTATATGTGTACAAAATATGAATAAAATCGGGCCAACGGTATTTGAGTTATTGCCCGGACGGACGGACGTACGTACGTACGTACGGACAGACGGACGGAGGCGTTCCCTATATCCCTCCGAACTTCGTTCGATGGGATAATAATGGGTAACACTTTGACAACACAATAGGTAACACTAGGACAACACAATTGGTAATATTAGGACAATACAATGGGTAACACTAGGATAACACAATGGGTAACACTAGGGCAACATAATGGGTAACACTAGGGCAACACAAGAGGTAACGCTAGGACGACACAATGTGTAACACTTCGACAACACAATGGGTAACACTAGGACGACAAATCTGGTACTTCAAGAAGCACAACAGACAGTCCAACCTTTCCTTTTGATCTGATTTTTTATCAGACATTTGGCTTCGTCAAAATTTACAGAATCGTTTACATTTTTAATTAACTGTAAAAATGAAGTATATTTAAAAAAAACAGTATCATAATGACTTTTATTCGAATGAGTCACTACATTTGTATTTCTAAAGCCTATATTATTTTTACACTCTACACAGTGATTGTTGTCGATAACTCCGATTGTTGTTTACGCATTTCTAAGTGTTATGTAGGACATAGTATGAGATAAAAATTACCGATTTCAATAAAAGCATTTCCTTCTCTCAGAATACAATACAACATCAATAGTGATGTACTGATTTCACCATGTGAATTGTATTCAATATAACCATAGTAACTTCCACACCATTGTAAAAGAATAAGTGTTATTTCCTAGAATTTCAGCATAATAAGTATAAACCAGTTAAAATGTCAGGCCCACTTACTTCATTCAATATCTGGTATTTCTCAATTAATCACTCTATTCAAACATGTCAAACGCGGATGTCTGCTACTGTACGACAGAAAAGGACAATTGTTCACTGAAAAAGCTATCTGCATTCTGATACTTATCACCACTTGTTTTCAAACTATGAATATCATTGAGAGCAACTTGTTAATAAGTGGTAAAAACATCAAAAATAAATCTCAATCATTTTTTGTGATTGAACGCAAGTGATACAAGGCTGTGACCTGACATGATGATATTACATTAACGTTAATGTAACTGCTTTCAAATGTTTTTCTATGAATAAAAAATGAATATTCAATTAAAACAGACAGCAAGTTAGCAGGTGGTCTCCACTTTAAAATATTATGGTCTCATATTGTTCCATAGTATGTCAAACTGTTAAAAATCCCCGTACTTAATACTATTTTCCAAGAAAACTGAAATGACCGCGAATTGAAAGTAGAATGAATCGGGAGAGTAGATTTTCAATACACACCTTATTGGGTTGTGTTGGTTTATATCACAACCCAATAAGGTGTGTATTACGTGTTATCTCAAAATCTACTTGGAACAATACCATTGGATTCTATGAGAAACTCCTCCAAAAGAATATTATAGGGATTAAGAAATGCGTTCAGATTATTGGCATACATAAAACTTATTTAAAACAGCATTTATATTATTCAAAAGCGTTGATTATCAATGATTCGAAGTGACCCAAGTGAGAAGTGACTGAAGTTTAGAAATGAAAATATCTGGTTGTAAATCCACAGATAATCTTTGAAAATAAGAAATATTTTTTGGGATTACATTATATGGTGCCATCATAGTCAATAAAATACTTTTAAGAGTCTTGGAGTATTTCAGATAAAACACAACCGAAATGCATGAAAAAATCCACGATTCATTCTACATACAACTCACGGTCCTTTGTGAAATTAATGTTCTTCCTACTACAAACGGCAGTGGGTATTGCAATATGTACGCATGTATCATCAGCGGTAAATATATCCAAATGACTATTCAACAAGGGTTAACATGACAAAATGGTTCCTACTGTCTTTGAACAGTAATAGCTGATATTGCAAATTAAAAAATGTAACATTTTGTTACATACTCCAAATTTCAGTGACAAAAATGTTGGCTGTATATCAATATGGCACCACTTCTATTTGGTAGCCTAAACATAGACACTGAAGAAAATACATATCTTTTAATTTATATATTATTCATATAATTAACTAATCACACATTCAACTTAAGTAAAATAATCTCATATACAGTAGCCTACATTTGGCCAAGTCAAGTGTACAGTTCTACTTCATTGTACAACATGTCCTTGTACCACAATAAATAATTTTCTTGGTAAGCATATCAATGGAATGCTCATCATCTCTATAACAACTAGGGTTTGCTACTTAGGCCATCTTTTCTTTCCACAGATTTTCGTTTTAAAGCTTTTTGAACTTTATTGTGAAATTGTTTTGCCTTTTCTCTGTTCTCCTTGTACTGTATGGCTCTTTCTTTGACCTGTTTCTTCTCTTTAACATCTTCCAACTGGTTGTAGAGTCTGAAATACAATTTACAATATGATCAAGACATTGGGTCTAAAATACAATATTCAATGTTTTGCCTTTTCTCTGTTCTCCTTGTACTGTATGGCTCTTTCTTTGACCTGTTTCTTCTCTTTAACATCTTCCAACTGGTTGTAGAGTCTGAAATACAATTTACAATATGATCAAGACATTGGGTCTAAAATACAATATTCAATGTTTTGCCTTTTCTCTGTTCTCCTTGTACTGTTTGACTCTTTCTTGGACCTGTTTCTTCTCTTTAACATCTTCCAATTGGTTATAGAGCCTGGAATACAATGTCGAAAAAATTCAAAGAAAGAGAGCCTGAATTAAATTGTACAAATATACTAGAAAGCAGGACTAAATATAATATTCATTTTTTACTGGAAAGAGAGTATGATAAGGGTGTACAATATTATATAACATCTGCTTAAGCCTAATTTGTTTCAATCCTGAACAACACAACACAATACAAAATGACTGTTATACAAGCAGCTTAGTCCTACAACACAACACAATACAAAATGTGTTATACAAGCAGCTTAGTCCTACAACACAACACAATACAAAATGTGTTATACAAGCAGCTTAGTCCTACAACACAACACAATACAAAATGTGTTATACAAGCAGCTTAGTCCTACAACACAACACAATACAAAATGTGTTATACTAGCAGCTTAGTCCTACAACACAACACAATACAAAATGTGTTATACAAGCAGCTTAGTCCTACAACACAACACAATACAAAATGTGTTATACAAGCAGCTTAGTCCTACAACACAACACAATACAAAATGTGTTATACTAGCAGCTTAGTCCTACAACACAACACAATACAAAATGTGTTATACAAGCAGCTTAGTCCTACAACACAACACAATACAAAATGTGTTATACAAGCAGCTTAGTCCTACAACACAACACAATACAAAATGTGTTGTACAAGCAGCTTAGTCCTACAACACAACACAATACAAAATGTGTTATACTAGCAGCTAAGTCCTACAACACAACACAATACAAAATGTGTTATACAAGCAGCTTAGTCCTACAACACAACACAATACAAAATGTGTTATACAAGCAGCCTAGTCCTACAACACAACACAATACAAAATGTGTTATACAAGCAGCTTAGTCCTACAACACAACACAATACAAAATGTGTTATACAAGCAGCCTAGTCCTACAACACAACACAATACAAAATGTGTTATACAAGCAGCTTAGTCCTACAACACAACACAATACAAAATGTGTTATACAAGCAGCCTAGTCCTACAACACAACACAATACAAAATGTGTTATACAAGCAGCCTAGTCCTACAACACAACACAATACAAAATGTGTTATACAAGCAGCTTAGTCCTACAACACAACACAATACAAAATGTGTTATACAAGCAGCTTAGTCCTACAACACAACACAATACAAAATGTGTTATACTAGCAGCTTAGTCCTACAACACAACACAATACAAAATGTGTTATAAAAGCAGCTTAGTCCTACAACACAACACAATACAAAATGTGTTATACTAGCAGCTTAGTCCTACAACACAACACAATACAAAATGTGTTATACAAGCAGCTTAGTCCTACAACACAACACAATACAAAATGTGTTATACAAGCAGCTTAGTCCTACAACACAACACAATACAAAATGTGTTATACAAGCAGCCTAGTCCTACAACACAACACAATACAAAATGTGTTATACAAGCAGCTTAGTCCTACAACACAACACAATACAAAATGTGTTATACAAGCAGCTTAGTCATACAACACAACACAATACAAAACGTGTTATACAAGCAGCTTAGTCCTACAACACAACACAATACAAAATGTGTTATACAAGCAGCTTAGTCCTACAACACAACGCAATACAAAATGTGTTATACAAGCAGCCTACACTGTAGTCCTACCTTTCTGTTCTCTTATACATTTCTTTAGCAGCTTTCTTTCTTATGGTTCCCGTGGTAACAGCACTAGACATCTTCCCAGAATCAACTAGAAAAACAAAGCAAAACTGCTAAACTAGGCCTCGTTCAGTAATCATATTATGAATTACATATATAAACTACTAAACTAGGCCTCGTTCAGTAATCATATTATGAATTACATATATAAACTACTAAACTAGGCCTCGTTCAGTAATCATATAATGAATAACTATATATATATAAACTACTAAACTAGGCCTCATTCAGTAATCATATTATGAATTACATATATAAACTACTAAACTAGGCCTCGTTCAGTAATCATATTATGAATTACATATATAAACTACTAAACTAGGCCTCATTCAGTAATCATATTATGAATTACATAAATAAACTACTAAACTAGGCCTCATTCAGTAATCATATTCTGAATTACATATTTAAACTACTAATACATATATAAACTACTAAACTAGGCCTCGTTCAGTAATCATACTCTGAATTACATATATAAGCTATTAAACTAGGCCTCGTTCAGTAATCATATTCTGAATTACATTTATAAACCTCCCAATGTATGATGCCATTTCATTTTTTTTCATTTTTTTCATTAATTTTTTATTCATTTATTTATTCATGTAAAATAATTATGATCAAGTATTACATTTACACACTAGATAGCCATAGGGGGCAAAAATCAAAATTTGAAAAACCATAAACTAAAGGTGTACAATTTATTGTATGTAATTTCACATTTCAATCTCACTTTTGATCTCACAATATTTTTATTTCATCACTGTTCACTTTTGTTGTTGTTGTTTCATGTATTCAATCAGAATATCTAAAGTATATTGGACACAGGCATGGATCTTATTTATTCAAAGAAATATATACTGTCATGAGGTCTAAATCCTTTAATTATACTATAAGGAATTCACTCCTAGTTCCAAAAATCCTAATAACCATCAAACAGTTAACAGTGGTATCGATATGGTGAACTTTTTGAACACAAGTTTCTCTTAAACCAGTCATCAAAACAATCTGAAATTTTACACATCATCAATTTAATGGTCATTTTTTGAATGGTAGCATTATAATTTGAAATATATACTATATACTTTTCTCTATATTGATTTAGAAAACACATCAGACACTACTTTTGTTCTTGGTATCATATGTTCGGATTGAAATGAAACATCTATCCAAACCTCGTTGGAAGAAAACGACATAAACACAACGTGTTTAGGTCTCTCAATATTGTAATTGTACAAAGGAAAGTTTGGTTGATTTTAAAAAAGTATCTTGTTAATGAAATAAAAGGTTTGTCTTAATTTTTATCTATTTTGGGGGGTTTTGTTTTAAGTTTTTGCATACTATTTGTTAAATCAACCCAAATTTCCTTTCAACTATAATATTGAGAGGTCTAAGAAAATGTTGTGTATGCTATTTTGTTCCAACAAGGTTCGGAAAGACATTTTATTTCATTCTCAAGAATTGGTAAAAATGAACAAAAAACACTGCACTAAAAAACAAAAGATGTTAACAGAAACAGTTATATAAAATATATATAAATAATTTTTGCATTAAATTGTTGCCAATCAGTCAACATTACATAAAGGATGGTGTTTTTTTACAGAATGTTTTCAATATTTGGTTTAAGAGAAAAACATTGTTGAATTTAGTTCACCATATTGATACCTATCCCTTTGTTCAACTTTAGATACAAAATATGTATCAAAATGTGTTTAATTTTTCTATGTTCATGAATATTACAAACATGAACATCAAGATAGTATTATGGCAAAAGCAAGCAACAAGCGAAAATGAAAAATGCTCTGGCATGCAAGTGGTTAATGGTGCCCCCTCCCACTTTTTTACCATAGATATAACTTTTATGACCTGACATATAATTCCATACCTTTAGACTTTGGTTGGCCTGAAACTGGTAGATTCTCTTCAGAACCAGAGTCCCATGTTGCGGGAGGCACAGTCACTATCACCTCTGGAAAACAAGATGCCAGTTTCTTGAAAATGTTTTACAAAGATTTCTGTTTCAATTGTCGTTCACAATGCAAACATGGCTATAAACTGTTTCTTAAGGTAACTTATATTCATGGATTTTAAAAGTTTATGTTGGGAAAAACCAAAAACATTTAGCATTAAAAAACAGCATGAAAAGGAAAACTAATACCTTGAAGTTTTCTCCTGTTGTCACTATCTCTCATTTCATTGATTCTAGCGCGGAGTCCTGGCCGCTTATCTTTTCCCTGCCCTGCCTGGAAAACATTCCTTGGTGCCTTTGCAGTGTTACCAGGTTGAACATCAGTGTTATTATCCCTAGGCTGGGTATTATCATCTATCTTAATGTCAACAACAGGATTCAGTTTTAGAGTCCTACTCCCATTAGAATGTTCAGTAGAGTCATTGTCTTTTGTATTTTCTCTAGCATTTGTGCTATCACAAGAATTTCTAAGGTTACCAGTATTGTTTTGAGTAATGGAAATTTCCCCTGAATTTTCTCTCACACCCGTGCTTTCATGGGACTCCCAAACTGAGGTTTGTTCAATTCTACCTGGCTTTTCTCCATTGTCCTGAGGAATGGAAATTTCCCCTGAGGAAAATTCCTTTTGATTATGATATTTATCAACATCAGTACTGTCCTGAGTCTGAGTATTCCATATTGATGTCTGTTCACTATTACTTGGCTTTTCACTGTTATTTAGAGTGACGGAAACTTCCATAGATGAAAGTTCATGTTGCTCAAAAGACATAAGTGAAAGATTCTCAGTAGTTTTGCTAATATTCCCCAAATTTTCATTCACTGACAGAGAAATATCATTTTGTCTATTCTTTGTTGTGGGATCTATCATAGGGGTGTTAGCATCAATATGAGACTGTTGACCCATGGTAGGGGTGTTGGTTTGGCCCATGACAGGGGTGTTAGATTGGCCCATGACAGGGCTGTTGGGTTGATCCATGACAGGGCTGTTGGGTTGTCCCATGACAGGGGTGTTAGATTGGCCCATGACAGGGGTGTTGGGTTGATCCATGACAGGGGTGTTGGGTTGTCCCATGACAGGGGTGTTAGATTGGCCCATGACAGGGGTGTTGGGTTGATCCATGACAGGGGTGTTGGGTTGATCCATGACAGGGGTGTTGGGTTGATCCATGACAGGGGTGTTAGATTGGCCCATGACAGGGCTGTTGGGTTGATCCATGACAGGGGTTTTAGATTGTCCCATGACAGGGGTGTTAGGTTGATCTGTGATAGTGGTGTCTGCCTCCTCATCATAATCCTCCATGACTGAGAGATGGTCATCTATAGATGTGACAGTTACAAAAGTCAGATCCGGCTCTTCTGATATACCAGTAGCCTCCCTCGTCACCTATTATCAAAGAATGCATATTATAAATCAAACATGGATGAAATAATCATTTGATTATGGAGGATGAAGCATTAACTAAGGAGTTTAACAGTGAGGAATAAAACAAATACTTCATTCCATAAAGTGATTACATGATCATTCTTAATATATTATATAAATTTAGCAAATGGATTTTCTGAAGTCCAAGGAGCTAAGGAAATACCTTGCAGATTTATTGAAAGTGCAACATATATATATACATGTATACTTGGATAGAATAAAATGTTTGTTTTATCATTCATTATTACATTCCTCACTAATAATTATACTTTGTCCTAAACTATTAATTGTATATTTGACGCTATTATACTTCATGTTTTTGCAACTTTGAAATTTCCAGGAGTCCGTTTTTGTACCGTTCGTAGTAACGAACGTTCGCAATTCGTAGATTTGTAAATATTTAAAAAGTTACGAATGAGTTACGAATTCGTAAAGTTGCGAATGGATCATTTTTGTACGCTTTCGTAAGTCATTCGTAACTTTCCAATTGTTTAGAGTAAGATTTACGAATAGGTTGACGTCATATTCCACAGTTGTCAGGACAGATAGTACAACCAACAGGGCTGATCAAAATAATAAAACCAAAGTCATACAATAAGAATTTTATAAAAATAAAGATTCCATGAAAAGTACTAAAATAGATATAGAAATAGGTTGATAATACGTTGATAACGGTGTTGCCCTTTGTGTTCTCTGATTTAGAATGACAAAACATCACAAATCACAATATAAATAAATAAGAGGCCATTCGCAAAGTTACGAAAGGGTCAGAGGTGGTATTAAATCTACGAACGAAAACAGGCATGACGTCACTATTTTCGTAAATTTACGAATCGTTTGTAACTTACGAAATCTTACGAAAATGCAACTTTGTTTAATTCGCAAATAAAACAATGGATTTACGAACGTTCGTTAGTAAGAACGGTACAAAAACGGGTCCCAGGCTCTTAATTTATTTCACTAATTTCAAATAACATAATTAGCTATACATGATGCTTAATTGGTGAAAAAATAAGTGATTGATTTATAGTGTATTTTGCATTTATATCAACAATTATTACTCATTTGTCAAGAAATTGCTTTTATGTGTTATAATAGTTCTTACCTCCAATGAGCTACCACCTAGAGTTGTCCACCTGCTAGTATCACTTGTCACATGAGTGTCACATGTCATCTGAGTATCAGGCTCAAGTGGCAGCCATTTTGATTTATCAGCCAATGGAGTGCTTGATTTACATTCACCTCTATAATTATGCAAGGAGCCAGCATCTGATTGGCTGTCATCTGAGTGTATGGTAGACTCTGAGAATGCCAGTGATATATTACTCTGAGATTCTATTCTAAATTGTTCTATGTCACTTGTGTTTTTACTAGATGGGGTGCTATTTGAGGAGACCTCTGGCAGTGGAGCGAAGTGGTCAGAGCCTGGTTGTTTACTTGGAGTACTTGATTTGGATCGTGTTTGTAGGGGTTGAAACTCATCATTTGTGACATTTATGTCACTCAGTCTAGCTCCAGTGATGGTGGAAAGCTCAGAGAGCATTGTCCTCTGGTGTCTATCAGTGGAAAATTCCCTTGGCTGATAACGACCTTGAGTTGTCTGTCTCATGGTATTTTCCACATCAGTGGAAATTTCCGTTACTGGATACTGACTGAGACTTCCTGAGTAGGAACTTACAAATGAGCTGTCAATATTGGGGTATTGTGATATACTGTGTCCTTTTAAAATAGATTGATCTGTGGTCCTACCATCCATATTATCTCTCCCTACTCCTCCTAATCTTTGAGGGGTGTCACACTCTGCAGCTTGGGGTAGAACCTGTGGTTGCCCCATATAACCAGTGTGATATTGTGTTCTAGTTGGGGGAAGTGACATATATGTAGTATCAGTGTGGCCACTATACAGAGCAATATGTACATCATCTCTTGCTTCACCAATAGGTGGCAGTGACATTGCATCCCTGTTCTTGGAGGATTCTGGGAAATGGGAAGTTAAATGTGAGGATGGTTGATATTGAGAGGTTTCTGGGGAAAGGGAAGATAAATGTGTGGATGGTTGAGGCATCTTGCTATATAAATTCAGCTGATCTGTGGCTTCTGTTTGTACTTTTGATAATCCAGTCATCAATAAATCTGATACCTTTGGAGTTAATTCAGTGGATTGTTGTATAGGGTCACCAGTGGAGTCATCAATTGGGCGTGCTCCACTATAAGCTCCGTACTGACTGAGTCTTACATCGTCACCACTTGATATAACATTAGACCCAGGTGAGCCTAGGTTTGAATGAATTTGACCTTGAGAGATGTCATCAAGGGTAGCTCCAAAACTATGCCGTTTGTGGCCTTGCTGTGACATACCTTGTGGTGACATACTTTGTGTTGACTGGCCTTGCTGCGACATACCTTGTTGTAAAATGCCTTGATGAAACATGCCTTTCTGTGGAATGGCTTGCGACAGGTATTGCTGTGGCATACCTTGTTGTGACATATTTTGTGGTGACTGGCCTTGCTGTGACATACTTTGTGGTGACTGGCCTTGCTGTGACATACTTTGTGGTGACTGGCCTTGCTGCGACATACCTTGTTGTGAAATGCCTTGATGAAACATGCCTTTCTGAGAAATGGCTTGCGACAGGTATTGCTGTGGCATACCTTGTTGTGACATACTTTGTGGTGACTGGCCTTGCTGTGACATACTTTGTGGTGACTGGCCTTGTTGTGACACATCTTGCTGTCTTCCAAGGGATCTATCAACATAGCTAGACAGGGATGATATATCACTTGGTAGTTGTTGATATGAACTCTCTGGTTGTTCACTAATGTTCATTCTTTGTCTCTGGTCTGCAAATATTCTGCTTTGTGCTTGTAACATGTCTTGCTGTGTAATACCTTGCTGTGTCATACCTTGTTGTTGTGACTTGCCTTGTTGAGACATAGCTTGTTGTTGAGCTTTGGCTTGAGAGAGGTATTTCTCGACTATTGTATTTGGACTGTCTATACTGGACATTGTATGTTGGTCACTCAGTATTGAAGTATGTGTTTCCTGAGTCTCATCTAAAGGTTTGTAGACATGTCTTAATCTGGAAAGGCAGAGACAATTTTACAACACATATACATTTTACCACAGACGACATATATATTTTCAAAGTGATTTAACATCGAAACAACCAAATACTGCATCAAGTTGTACATTGCATTGAAACTGGAGGAATTGAAATGTATGTGTGATCATTAAAGCAAGGGTATGAAAAGAATTAAGAAAATCTTCAAAATGCAAAAATTAATATTGAACAAGAATTATAAAATAGAGTCAGGTATTGAATTAGTGTTTTTCGTTATTCACAGATACTAGAATTCTGTGATTCCGCGTCGCTGCAGAAAAACTGCAAAATTTTGGTTTTCATAAACTTTGCAGAATTTTTTTTTATATTCTACAAAAAGCCCTGCATGCATTTCTCTATTATTTAGTCTCATAAATCAATCGTTTAGTCCATGGTTTATGTTTGACCAAGTTTGTAAGCCAAATCATTCAAACAGCACCATCTTAGTATTGCACTCCACTTACCTTTCAGCATCTTGGTGTTCCCTAGGTGACCTCTGCCTGCCAGGGAGTATGACAGTACCTTGCTGATACCTGCTTTGGAGAGGTTGTTTCTGACTCTGCATGGAGGTTGTTGTCTCATCTAATGGATATTGACTCAGCTCATCACCTATAACAAACAACAGGAGACACAGTAACACTAACAGCATATCCAAAAGACATACTTGTGAAAGATTGCTGGAATTTTCCATATTTGGTGGAATTTTCTGTATTTGTGGAAATTTCCCTAACTGGGTGCCAACTGAAGCTGAATATTCAAATTTCATGATTATACAAAAGAAATAATGGCACTGACAATAACTATTAAAGAATCTTGATTTTCAATATTTTAAAAAACAGGCCTCTGAACTATTAAGTCTAAAACAACTTGACTTGATAGTGTACAGTCCAATTTTACTGAAAATATATTTCATTCGGCAGAAAACAATAAATTCTTAAGAGGAAGTTTGCGATGATTTATATGTTAAAATTATAATCTCAAATAATTTGCTTTTCGTCATTTTCCCTATTCAAAAAATACCAAAACCCAAAGCCAAACCTACCTAATGTAGACTGTGTATGGTCCAGTGTGAATAGTCTCCCAGGCTTCTGTTTTTCTGCTGTGGACTGCAGACTTATACCACTTGTGTCAGGATGGAACCCATCTTCTAATGAACCTTTTATGAAACAGAAACATTATCACTATGAGTGCACAGTGCATGTGGGAAATGTTAGAAACTTTGCAATACATTAAATGTATTTGTCCACAGTGTGTTATTTAAGTACAGGTATCATACAAGTAGATGAAGTATCTTCAAAGAAACAATTCTTAATTTAGAAATATTCATACAAGGTAACCTTTTCCAATATTCAAAACTGAATAATTTTGACATTGGTTCAAGCATGACAATTTACATAAAAAGGTCCCTAATTAAATGTATACCCTAAGGTATACAAAAATGGAGATATGACACAAGGTTAGTTAATGATTTACCTTCAACATCAGATAATGAAATGTATACCCTAAGATATACAAAAATGGAGATATGACACAAGGTAAGTTAATGATTTACCTGCAATATCAGATAATGAAATGTATACCCTAAGATATACAAAAATGGAGATATGACACAAGGTTAGTTAATGATTTACCTGCAACATCAGATAATGAAATGTATACCCTAAGATATACAAAAATGGAGATATGACACAAGGTAAGTTAATGATTTACCTGCAATATCAGATAATGAAATGTATACCCTAAGGTATACAAAAATGAAGATATGACACAAGGTTAGTTAATGATTTACCTGCAATATCAGATAATGAAATGTATACCCTAAGATATACAAAAATGGAGATATGAAACAAGGTTAGTTAATGATTTACCTGCAACATCAGATAATGAAATGTATACGCTAAGATATACAAAAATGGAGATATGACACAAGGTTAGTTAATGATTTACCTGCAACATCAGATAATGAAATGTATACCCTAAGGTATACAAAAATGGAGATATGACACAAGGTAAGTTAATGATTTACCTGCAATATCAGATAATTAAATGTATACGCTAAGGTATACAAAAATGGAGATATGACACAAGGTTAGTTAATGATTTACCTGCAATATCAGATAATGAAATGTATACCCTAAGATATACAAAAATGGAGATATGACACAAGGTTAGTTAATGATTTACCTGCAATATCAGATAATGAAATGTATACCCTAAGATATACAAAAATGGAGATATGAAACAAGGTTAGTTAATGATTTACCTGCAACATCAGATAATGAAATGTATGCCCTAAGATATACAAAAATGGAGATATGACACAAGGTTAGTTAATGATTTACCTGCAATATCAGATAATGAAATGTATACCCTAAGGTATACAAAAATGGAGATATGACACAAGGTTAGTTAATGATTTACCTGCAATATCAGATAATGAAATGTATACCCTAAGGTATACAAAAATGGAGATATGACACAAGGTTAGTTAATGATTTACCTGCAACATCAGATAATGAAATGTATGCCCTAAGATATACAAAAATGGAGATATGACACAAGGTTAGTTAATGATTTACCTGCAACATCAGATAATGAAATGTATACGCTAAGATATACAAAAATGGAGATATGACACAAGGTTAGTTAATGATTTACCTGCAATATCAGATAATGAAATGTATATCCTAAGGTATACAAAAAAGGAGATATGACACAAGGTTAGTTAATGATTTACCTGCAACATCAGATAATGAAATGTATGCCCTAAGATATACAAAAATGGAGATATGACACAAGGTTAGTTAATGATTTACCTGCAATATCAGATAATGAAATGTATACCCTAAGGTATACAAAAATGGAGATATGACACAAGGTTAGTTAATGATTTACCTGCAACATCAGATAATGAAATGTATGCCCTAAGATATACAAAAATGGAGATATGACACAAGGTTAGTTAATGATTTACCTGCAATATCAGATAATGAAATGTATACCCTAAGATATACAAAAATGGAGACATGACACAAGGTTAGTTAATGATTTACCTGCAATATCAGATAATGAAATGTATACCCTAAGGTATACAAAAATGGAGATATGACACAAGGTTAGTTAATGATTTACCTGCAACATCAGATAATGAAATGTATGCCCTAAGATATACAAAAATGGAGATATGACACAAGGTTAGTTAATGATTTACCTGCAATATCAGATAATGAAATGTAAACCCTAAGATATACAAAAATGGAGATATGAAACAAGGTTAGTTAATGATTTACCTGCAACATCAGATAATGAAATGTATGCCCTAAGATATACAAAAATGGAGATATGACACAAGGTTAGTTAATGATTTACCTGCAACATCAGATAATGAAATGTATACCCTAAGGTATACAAAAATGGAGATATGACACAAGGTAAGTTAATGATTTACCTGCAATATCAGATAATTAAATGTATACGCTAAGATATACAAAAATGAAGATATGACACAAGGTTAGTTAATGATTTACCTGCAATATCAGATAATGAAATGTATGCCCTAAGATATACAAAAATGGAGATATGACACAAGGTTAGTTAATGATTTACCTGCAATATCAGATAATTAAATGTATACGCTAAGATATACAAAAATGAAGATGTGACACAAGGTTAGTTAATGATTTACCTGCAATATCAGATAATGAAATGTATACCCTAAGATATACAAAAATGGAGATATGACACAAGGTAAGTTAATGATTTACCTGCAATATCAGATAATGAAATGTATGCCCTAAGGTATACAAAAATGGAGATATGACACAAGGTAAGTTAATGATTTACCTGCAATATCAGAAAAATGTGTTGAGGTGTTTGCTCCATTGGATGATGCTCCAACACCCTCTCCCCTGGCTCTTCCAAGTGTTGAAATCCCTCCATCTGCTCTTCCATGAAACATCATCCCTCCTTCTGGCACTCCTGAATGAGGATCAAGTTGTCGTTTTTGCTGAGCTTGGGCAAGATATTTGGCAACCAGTTCATCAGGATCTGTCAATAGAGGGCTCTCAGGGCTGCTTCCTCCACTTGTGGACAGATGGGTCCCTCTGGTGGGCTCTGGAAGAGTCCAATGCTGGAAAGGTTGTGTGGCACTATCCTGGAAAGTCTGTTCGATTCCTTGCCTTAAAGAATGTGTGTCACTATGCGAGAGCTGAGACGTGTTAACATATTGAGAGGGAGGATATCCAGTAGATACATCACCCAGATATGGAGCATTTGTTACTGAAGCCTGATGCATAGTTGGTTCAGAAGGGAAGGGCATTGATGGAGGTTTCAGTGTGGCTTGTGGTATGGAAGGTCTCTGCTGGGGAAATTGCCTTTGATAATCAGATTCAGAGTAGAGACCCTGTCCAGTTGGACTCTTTTTATTCATTTCCCTCTCTAATGCTTGTTGGAGCTCAGGCAATGTTTTGGTGTAGAATCCAGAGTCTGCAGTGGCTCTTCCACTCTCTGGAGTAACCCCTCTGTCAATATCAACAGCTCTTCCATTATCTGGAGTACCTCCGCTGCTTGTATCTGTGGCTAACACTATTGGTGCCTGATCCATACGTTCGAATTGTACCTGTTTTCTAAAATTTGCACCTACCGAGTCAAGTATGTTAAAGCTGGGGTGTCTATCACTTGGAGAGGCATAACTATTCCCGGTTGATGAACCAGGTGATACGCTAGAAGAAGTGTCAAATGGGGGCAATGTAAATCTTTGAGCAGGTTTAGGAGTTTCAACCTCTTGAATCGTGCTTAGCTCATGAAACTGCACATTATCTAAAGGTGCTTTTCTTGTGGGTGGTGGAGCGTGTTTTGGGGGCTCTGGGGTGCCTTTTATTTTTTCTAAGATTTGTTGTTTTTCAATTCGTAGTCTATCAAGTTGTTGCCGCATTTCTTTCTGTCTTCTTTCTGATTCCAGTCTTTGATATAAAGCCCTTGTTGTGATGTCATCATTTTGTGGGATGGATAACTCATCCTTGTTGATGACATCATCAGTTTGTGTGGAGTAACCTTGTTGAACTGGAGGTTCCTTTGTGGTTGTAGGACCATAAGTCTGTTGAAGCTGCAGTTTTTTCTGTTGAATCATATTCTGAATCAGTCTCAAGTTCTCATCACTTTCCTTGTGCTTCTGAATCAGCTTCATTTGATGTTGTTGTAATCTCTGTATCCTCGCAATCTCTTCTTGAGACAGACCTTCAAATGATCTCATTGGTTCCCCAACAAAACTAGATCTGGGGTCCCCAGATTGTAATCCAAGGTGGCCCAATCTGGGATCTTCTAATTGTGAATCAGAATCCCTCTGTATATGACTGATATATTGTGAGGATGGAGAAGTTGTCTCAGAATTAAATGATATCTGATTGTTTGGTGAAGCAAATGTAACTGAATTTGGGGCTCCAGGTTTGAATTGAGGGGTGTGTGATTTGGGGTGTTCATATTGTAAACCAGGGGCAGGCTGATTTGGTGCTAGTGTTGTAGACTGTCTATATCTTTCCATTTCTTTGCCCCAATCAGCAAAACTAGACGATCCAAACTTTGGAAACTGTTTGTCAGCTACCACAGTATTTTCCTTTGTGATTGCCCGATGTGACTCATCAAATGGCCTTGTTTTAAGTAACTGTTGATCACTGTGTCTTTCTGGTGTCTCTTCAGTATCTAATTGCTGAGGATACCCCAGAGTGACATGCTCTGTATTACCTTGTTGTTTTTGTGTTTGTTCAGTGGTTTGATCTTCATAAATCTCAAATGGAGCTTGGATATTATATGAACCATGCTGAGCTCTATCTTCCTCAAGGTCTTCATTATCATAGTGATGTTCAACATCATATCTTTTAGGGTCATATGGGGAATGCTCTGATAGTGGTGATCTTGTTTTTGATTTGGGGGTCACAGGTTGTAACTCAGGGGTTAGAGGTGTCATTTGTAAACTACTGTCTTCTGATAATGGACTCCATTGTTGTCTTTCTTGTTGTTGTTGTACTTCTTGTTGTAATGACTGATTTTGATGTTGTTGCAAGTCTTGAAAAAACTGACTCTTGAATTCTTTTTGGACACCTAATCCTTGTTTCTCAATTTGATCCTTCTGCGACTGAATCCTGGCATGCTGGTCAAGAATCAACTGTTGATATTTTCTGATCTCATCAATTTCTTGTTTTGCAGTTGATTCACTCTCGATCAGTCTTCTCTCCTCTTCCTTTCTCTTAAGTTCTCGTTCCTCAATAATTCGATGTCTCTCCAGGATTTCTCTCTGATGAGACTTGATCTTCTCAAATTGTTCATTTTGCTCATTCAGTTTTGAGAAGTCGATGATGTCTATTTGTTGAGGTTCACTATGGGGTGATTCATGAGCTGGGGATTTATTATGGGGTGATTCATGTGCTTTGTATTCATTAGTTATTTGATCATTAGTCACTATATTTTGCTCAGACTCAGTTTTTCCCAATATAGGATGAGGTTCACGCATAGTCTGCTGAATTAGTTGTTGGTCTATTCCAGCTGTTGCCAGTCCTTCTGTAGTCTTTCTATCACGTTGATGTTCTTCAAGCTCTTGTTGTTGTCTCTGAAGTGATTCTAACACTTCAATAGCATCATCATAGGGCTGTCTCAGAGAGAATGGGTCTGTAATACAAATGTATATGTTTATAGTGTTATGTCTCTGAAGTGATTCTAACACTTCAATAGCATCATCTAAGGGCTGTCTCAGAGAGAATGGGTCTGTAATACAAATGTATATGTTTATAGTGTTTTGTCTCTGAAGTGATTCTAACAATTCAATAGCATCATCATAGGGCTGTCTCAGAGAGAATGGGTCTGTAATACAAATGTATATGTTTATAGTGTTTTGTCTCTGAAGTGATTCTAACAATTCAATAGCATCATCATAGGGCTGTCTCAGAGAGAATGGGTCTGTAATACAAATGTATATGTTTATAGTGTTATGTCTCTGAAGTGATTCTAACACTTCAATAGCATCATCATAGGGCTGTCTCAGAGAGAATGGGTCTGTAATACAAATGTATATGTTTATAGTGTTATGTCTCTGAAGTGATTCTAACACTTCAATAGCATCATCATAGGGCTGTCTCAGAGAGAATGGGTCTGTAATACAAATGTATATGTTTATAGTGTTATGTCTCTGAAGTGATTCTAACAATTCAATAGCATCATCATAGGGCTGTCTCAGAGAGAATGGGTCTGTAATACAAATGTATATGTTTATAGTGTTATGTCTCTGAAGTGATTCTAACACTTCAATAGCATCATCTAAGGGCTGTCTCAGAGAGAATGGGTCTGTAATACAAATGTATATGTTTATAGTGTTATGTCTCTGAAGTGATTCTAACACTTCAATAGCATCATCTAAGGGCTGTCTCAGAGAGAATGGGTCTGTAATACAAATGTATATGTTTATAGTGTTTTGTCTCTGAAGTGATTCTAACACTTCAATAGCATCATCATAGGGCTGTCTCAGAGAGAATGGGTCTGTAATACAAATGTATATGTTTATAGTGTTTTGTCTCTGAAGTGATTCTAACAATTCAATAGCATCATCATAGGGCTGTCTCAGAGAGAATGGGTCTGTAATACAAATGTATATGTTTATAGTATTTTGTCTCTGAAGTGATTCTAACAATTCAATAGCATCATCATAGGGCTGTCTCAGAGAGAATGGGTCTGTAATACAAATGTATATGTTTATAGTGTTTTGTCTCTGAAGTGATTCTAACAATTCAATAGCATCATCATAGGGCTGTCTCAGAGAGAATGGGTCTGTAATACAAATGTATATGTTAATAGTGTTATGTCTCTGAATTGATTCAACACTTCAATAGCATCATCTAAGGGCTGTCTCAGAGAGAATGGGTCTGTAATACAAATGTATATGTTTATAGTGTTATGTCTCTGAAGTGATTCTAACACTTCAATAGCATCATCATAGGGCTGTCTCAGAGAGAATGGGTCTGTAATACAAATGTATATGTTTATAGTCTTATGTCTCTGAAGTGATTCTATTACTTCAATAGCATCATCATAGGGCTGTCTCAGAGAGAATGGGTCTGTAATACAAATGTATATGTTTATAGTGTTTTGTCTCTGAAGTGATTCTAACAATTCAATAGCATCATCATAGGGCTGTCTCAGAGAGAATGGGTCTGTAATACAAATGTATATGTTTATAGTGTTTTGTCTCTGAAGTGATTCTAACAATTCAATAGCATCATCATAGGGCTGTCTCAGAGAGAATGGGTCTGTAATACAAATGTATATGTTTATAGTGTTATGTCTCTGAAGTGATTCTAACACTTCAATAGCATCATCATAGGGCTGTCTCAGAGAGAATGGGTCTGTAATACAAATGTATATGTTTATAGTGTTATGTCTCTGAAGTGATTCTAACACTTCAATAGCATCATCATAGGGCTGTCTCAGAGAGAATGGGTCTGTAATACAAATGTATATGTTTATAGTGTTATGTCTCTGAAGTGATTCTAACAATTCAATAGCATCATCATAGGGCTGTCTCAGAGAGAATGGGTCTGTAATACAAATGTATATGTTTATAGTGTTTTGTCTCTGAAGTGATTCTAATAATTCAATAGCATCATCATAGGGCTGTCTCAGAGAGAATGGGTCTGTAATACAAATGTATATGTTTATAGTGTTTTGTCTCTGAAGTGATTCTAACAATTCAATAGCATCATCATAGGGCTGTCTCAGAGAGAATGGGTCTGTAATACAAATGTATATGTTTATAGTGTTATGTCTCTGAAGTGATTCTAACACTTCAATAGCATCATCTAAGGGCTGTCTCAGAGAGAATGGGTCTGTAATACAAATGTATATGTTTATAGTGTTATGTCTCTGAAGTGATTCTAACACTTCAATAGCATCATCATAGGGCTGTCTCAGAGAGAATGGGTCTGTAATACAAATGTATATGTTTATAGTGTTATGTCTCTGAAGTGATTCTAACACTTCAATAGCATCATCATGGGGCTGTCTCAGAGAGAATGGGTCTGTAATACAAATGTATGTTCATATAAAACAAATTATCACCAATGCATTTGGGCTTTCATGAACAAATCTAAATCACTATAGCTAGTGTACGTTTTGCCTTTCATAAGTAACAATTTCAGATTCCGAACTGAAAATAATAACATAATTCAAATGACTTTACCTTGTGATTTTCTAACAGTTTCTATAAGTCTTTCTGTAGTGTTTGTTCTGCCATCAGACACTGCAGTGACTGCCTGCTCCGATATAGGGTACTCTGACACAGTGGAGCCAGATTGTTGAGACTCCATGGAGACCTCCTTAGGTGACACAGTGGAGTCAGCCTGGTGAGATACTGTTGAGCTTGTCTTTTGGGAGATTGGGTACTGGGAGATCGAATCTGCAGAGACTGTGTCTGAAGAAGACAATCATATAGATATTAAAACTATGAAGTTGGGGATCCTAAGGAGCATCTAAACAAAACATGAAGACATTAAGATGCTAAGTTGATTTTTACAAACATGAACATTCCAATGTTGAACAACAAGCTGCCTTAAAATAAGAGCGGTTGAGTTGTATAACCAGAACAACGGCAACGCCAAAGCGTAGCGAATCCCATCGAACAGAAATGGCTGGCATTTTTACAAACGAATAGCAAATATCATAAAACAACACACCAGAAAGGCCACCATTTTCAAAATGGTTGCTCACTAGCCAAGTTGTCATCAGAAGAAATAATATGCTTTTAAGTAGCCACCTCTAAAATTTTTGAAAAATCGCACACGTACTTGTAAAATAACACACATAAAAATGGTGGCCATTTTTCAAAATGGCCGACTACTCCCCAAAGTTTTATTAGACAATGTGCCATGCTTAAAGTATTCACATATCAAATATGAACAAAATCACTCCACTACTTTTCGAGTTATAGTAAAATACGTTAAAATGGCGGCCATTTTTTAAAAAAAAAAAGCTTATAGTATTCACATACCAAATATGAACAAAATCACTCCACTACTTTTCGAGTTATAGTAAAATACATTAAAATGGCCTATGGCGGCCATTTTTCAAAATTTTTTTCAAAATGGCCGCCTTCTACCAAAAGTGTCATAAGACAGTGTGCCATGCTTAAAGTATTCACATACCAAATATGAACAAAATCGCTCCACTACTTTTCGAGTTATAGTAAAATACGTTAAAATGGCGGCCATTTTCAATTTTTTTTCAAAATGGCCGCCTTCTACCAAAAGTGTCATAGGACAGTGTGCAATGCTTATAGTATTCACATACCAAATATGAACAAAATTGCTCCACTATTTTTTGAGTTATAGCAAAAATCGTAAAATGACGAGTAAAGGCCGCCATTTTTCAAGATGGCTGCTATGTGCTTCTTTAATATCTACATTTGTAGCATTATTAATGTCCTTTATAATTTTTTTACATTTAAAACATATTGCTATTACAGTTTTACATATTACACCTAAATTACTGTAAAATCGGCACTAAAATGGCCGCCATTTTGAAATGAGCGGCCATTTTGAAAATCGGCTTTCGAGCAGAACTTCAACCCTCATAGGGTATATGTGTACAAAATATGAACAAAATCGGGCCAACGGTATTTGAGTTATTGCCCGGACGGACGGACGGACAGACGGACGGACGGATGGACGTACGGACGTACGTACGTACGGACGGACGGAGGCGTTCCCTATATCCCTCCGAACTTCGTTCGATGGGATAATAAACATCAACATCTAAAAGAATATATATGTATATATTATAATAATGTATCAATACTGGCAAGAATTTTGTTAGTTTCAAATTTAATTGTAAAATCCAAGTTAGCTCCAATGAAATACATTAACATAAATACAATGTTTAACCTGGATTACGAGATCATTAAAGAGCTTGTAAGTTAAAAGAACCTGAAATCTCAGAACCCTGCACTTCAAGTGATTTCTCTTTGGATATTTGTGGAGTATCATTAGCTGATTGTCCATCCTTTACAATAACTTCATCAACACTCTGTTTGACATTTTCTGGCTTGGCTTGCTGCTTTTGCTCAACTTCAGGGATCTGATCAGTTGAACTTGTCAGCCAGTCATCTCTTTGGCTCTTGATTTTAGTCAGAAGTTTTTTCAAGACAGCATCTGTAATGCATTATTTTTTTTTATTATTGATCATAATCATTGTACATTGTTACTTGATGGACACATCAGTGGAAGTGATCTACAACGTCCATAAAGTTGCGCCTCGGTAAATTTATGCTTTAATTAACACTGTAAAGTACTGTTGTATTTGTTTATTTCATTACTTCATCCATCAATATCCTTCTAAAGTGATAAGTGATATATATGCGCAAAATTGGTACCTCAGGTCAAAGGTCACCCCAGGTCAAATGTCATCTTAGATCACCACAGTTCAAAGGTCACAATTGTTCATAAAATATTACAAAGGTCAAAGCTCATGTGAAACTTTAAATGTCAAAATTACCATTAATGGCAAATGTTAGAGAGGAATTGCATATAAAGTGTCATTAACAAAATGTAAATATGAAGGTAAAGATCACCATTAGGGTCACACTTAGAGATCAAACAATTCCAAAAATGGTTATTATGTAAATAAAAGGTGAAAGTTGCATTCTAGGAATTTACCAACTCCCATTATTAACAAAGGCTGTTTGTATATAAAGAGTAATGATAAATTCCAGCAACTTCTTTGACACCCCTTGTATATAGCTGGAAATACCAAGAATGAAAACAAGTTGTTAAAATTAGAGTTTTGTGTTCATAAAAGTTCCTGCCATGATAAAACTTGCACACAAATCAATGGTTTGCTGGCGTTGAATTCCCTTTTGTGAAGAAATATTGCACAAAACTCATTTGAATTCAACTCTTATACTCCTACTTGTATTTTAACTGAAAATCAATTCAATTATGTCAAGTGAACTTCTTTTCAAACAGAAAACAAATATTTTCTCCCAGTATTTATATTTCATGCCAAGTTTTTTTACATAGCAAAAATTGGATCAATAAAAAATGTTTAAGCACTATGCTTGTCCTAGCGTGATTCCATATATTGGGGAACCCCACTAGAGACTGGCAGACATTTTAAGAAAATATGCAGGCAGACATTTCATGAACTGAGCACTGGAGCAATGAGATAATCGTAAGTATAAGATCACGAAATATTAGACATGAAAATGTCTCCCTTTATTTATTCAATACACATGCAAATTACATCAGGCCCCGTGCGAGCTCGTATGAGCCTCGAGAATAACGAGTTACTACGAGCAAAAAGGAGCACAATCCTCCTACAGGCTCGTTAAGAGCTTGTTTTCAAGGCCTGTACAAGCTCGTACGATGCTCGTAATTGTTGTTTTGTACGAGCATGTACAAGACTCGAAAAAAAAATTTTGCACGAGGCCCGACATCGAACTCTTTTACAACACAAAAAAAATTATTAAGGTGCCATGCAGGAAATGACAAAACAGGAAGTGACAAAAAATTTTGCATTTTTAGACATTTTTGGACAAAGATAACAGAGTTCTGTTTTGACCTCCAGTCAATTCAACTAGTTCAACATACAATTTACATGTCCAGGATCAAAATGTTCATGGTCAGAATGACCCTAAACATGATGAAATAACCTTTTCAGCCCTCTGAAAATGTGACTGAAAAATAGCTAAAAGTAGGAGGTAGGAAAGGTCACTGAACAAAATCTTATGAATTTTTCCCAAGCTTTATTAAGACTAGCATAGGCTGCCAGTAAAAGTAAAGACATGAAATTCCAGCAACTTCTGAGATCTCCCTTGTATAAAGCTGGAATTCAATGAATGAAAAATGATTTATTAAAGCAGAGTTCTATGGTGACAGTCCGTGCCTGCCACAATAAAACTGGCACACAAGTCAATGATTTGACTGTATTGAAATCCCATTCGTGAATAAACATTGCACAGTATTAATCTATATTCAACTTTTATACTTTGGCATGTGTTTAAAAATGTGAACATTTATTCAATAAGTGAACTTCTTCTATCAAAAATGCTTTCAAGCACTAAACAAATATTTTTTTCAAATATTTATATGTCATGCTAACTATATGAACACAACAAAAACATTGATTGACTTGAATCCGAAAAAAACTTTCAGTACTATGCTTGTCCTGGCGTGATTATACATCAGGGAATTCTATTTATAAGTGGTGGTCATTTTTTTAAAAAATATACAGAAAGAATGAGCATTTAGATAAGTAAGTTGATGTGATACATTAAACAATACGAAAATATAAGATAAGATTAGAGATGCAGATCAGAGGCGAGAAAATTAAATATGAAAATTTACAATAAGATTGATTTCTTACATAAAGTATGCAACAAAAGAAAACAAATGTTGACATACAGAATTTTACAAAGGCACATTGAGATATAAGTCTTCAATTTCAATTCTACGAATTATAAAAAAGTTAAAATAGGCTATAAGTGGTTGTAATAACACTATTCCAAAGGTTCACATTCACACTACAGTAACACAGGTATTCTATATGGGAGTAATAACATTAAATTTTTAAGAAAGATTTTTCATAGCTTTTCCTTATCATACTTCACTATTTCACTGCAACATCATAATCTTTAGTTGCCTTAATCTATATTAAAATTATATTAGTAAATCATTTTATATTTGCAGTAAAACAGACAAGACTATGGATCCACTTAAGAAAATTGAAGAAATTGAAGAAAACCTTGCAAAAGAACTCTGTTCTTTACGAAAAGAAGTTTTTCGGGATCATGAAAAGGAAGGCATAATTTTGACAGCAATGGGTGACACTTACAAAAGGCGGTGCATCAATAAGTCAACAGAAAGAGAACATTATGTAAATGCTACAGCTCTGTATAATGCTGCTCTTGTACGTCTGGAAAATGCCCCAGAAAAGGGGCATAACCATCAAAGGTATAGCAAACTTATTGTGACATCATGCGTGCAAATTGAAACACTATATTGTGACAACATCCTAGGGGGAAATATTTACTGTGTGAAAAAAGGCATTAACCAAACTAAAATTGACGATTTGGAAAAATATCGACACCATCTAAAAGTCAGAGTGAAAAGACTTGAAAAGGTTTGGGATAAATGCCCAAAACCTGAGGACAAAAGAAAACCTCGATTTGAACATAGGAAGAATCAACTGACTCAGTTAATCTGCAAGCAGAACACAAAGTTTGTAAAGGAATTCAGTGCAGAGCTGATGGAGCAAAGTATCTCTGTATGTGGACCACCACCATGTAAAATCACCATGGTTGGCCTTGGCTCTATGGCAAGAGGGGAATCAACCCCATACTCTGACTTGGAGTATCTATTTCTCACTGAGAGTGACAAACATGATGAATATTTCCTCAACCTTCATTTCCATTTCCTACTACAAGTGCTGAACCTTGGTCAAACTCCTCTACCAGCTATGGGTATTCAGAGTCTGAATGATTTCTACAACGAGAAGGAATCAAATGACTTTTACGATGATGTCACACCAAGTGGGTTCAAACTCGATGGGAATATGCCTTGGGCAAGTAAAACACCTCCAGGTCATAAGGCAACCGAATTGAAGCCACCCCTCAAGCTTATTGGCACGCCAACATACATGGCAGAGCTGAGTACAACTGAGGCTGATAAAAAACATGGTTATCACCTGGCAACCATCATATCCACGGCAACAAGAATCTTGGGAGATGAGAATCTATTTCTTGACTTCCAAAAGCAGATTAATACGACTAGGAGGGGTGAAAACCCTGAGTTTATTAGACAAATATGCCTTGAACGAATGCATGAAGATTGTCAGAAGTACAAATTTAACTTCGATGATTGGTCTTCAAAAAATGTAAAGAAGGACTACTATAGGTTCCCATCCACCTTCATAAACAATATGAAAGATCTACATATGCTTGATGTCACATCCCCATGGGAAATCATCAGAGAGCTACAGAGGCAATCTATACTAACATCAGAGCAGTGTTCACACCTTTACTTCATGATCAACGTTGCCATAGGCATAAGATTGCTTACATACTGTACAAAGAACCAACAACATGAATCAATAATTGAACTAAACCCTTACCATCAAGAAAATAATGCATACTGCATGGACTCTCTATCACCATCTAAAGTCTTGCGAGAATGTCTTAGGATTCCACATATCAGGCTGATGCAGAGCTACTTACTGAGATTACAAAGCATTAATTATTGTATTAAATCTGGAATGGCTACAAAACCATCATCAATGATTATGTATTGCCAATGCAAAGTGTGTATATTGCAGGTCAAAATAAAGACATGTATTGGACCTGATGATATCATTTATGAGCCAGAAGAAATGATAGAATCTCTAGAGCAATCTTGGCATGTTCTAGCTGGGAATATCAGACAGAATAATTGTTATGACCTAGCACAATTTTGTCGTATAGTAAAAGGAGACTTGAAATCAGCACACATTCTCATGAATAAAAAGCCAATACAAACAAATAATATGACAAATAATCTCACAACTCAGGATATGTTTGCAGCAATTTCAAACCTTAAAATGGGGAATGATTCAGCTGCTCTACAACAGACTGATGCTGCTATCAAAGTATGTCCACCAAATATTCCTGGTCTTCTTCTCTATCTGAAGTATATTAAACTGCATTGTCATAGTAGATTACAAGACTATCACAGTGTAGTGCTTTGCTTTGAAGATATGACAAAACTCAAGCCTTACAACAATTTGCCTGAATATGAAAGGGCATATGTAGGTAAATTATACACTGATGCACTAATCAATATTGGAGATAATAAAACTGCCTTGGAATATTTACCAAAGCTGAAAGAAGACTATGCAGAGTTGTTTGGTGAGACAAGTGAGGAATACAAACAGACTCTTGAAAGACTCTTGACCTGCTATATGGTCCTGGGTAGAATCCAAGAGGCTGAGAAGGTCCAGAACATGTTGAAAAGAACGAAGTAATATTGAATTTTAATTGTTACTTGACATAATGTAAAAATGCAAAATAGTAAAATCATTAGCTGGACGATATTTGCTAAAATGTCTGTAAATTAATAATTTCACTAATCAAATATTGTGTAAATGCAACTTTGATTTTATTACTGAAGAATGTAGGAAATCTATTGTCACCAAATTGGTGGTTGAATAAATAGTAATTTACAAATAATATATAATATACTTATAAGTCTTAAATTTAATTCAAATTAAAACATCATAAATATTAAGTCAAAAATGACAGCAAAGAATGTAATCTTCCTGAACTTTAACAGATGAAAACAACTTGAATCAAAGTTTTTACAATTACAATGAAGTCTCAAAACAACTCCCAATGACAGCAAAGAATGTAGTTCTCAACACATCTTCCTGAACTTTTAACAGATGAAAACAACTTGAATCAAAAGATTTCTTCTTTAGCAGAGCTCCTATCTCCCAATGCCTCAGCATATAGAGTTTAATCCAAATCCGTCAACTGGAACTTAATTTATCTAGGATTACATGTTAAATGAATGAAAAATGGCGGAGATTTTGATAAATAGCAGCCACCTTGAAAATTTCTTCTCAAGCAGAGCTCCTTTATCTCTAGGCATCAGTATATAAAATTTGAAGTAAATCTGTCCAATGGGATTTGAGTTATCAAAGATAACCTTTTTTATGAAAAATAGCAGCCATTTTGAAATTCAGCTGGCGCCTTTGAAATTTCTTCTGAAGCAGATCTCCTTTTTCCCTAAACATCAGCATATAAAATTGGAACCAAATCCATCCACTGGTATTTGAGTTATCAATAACTATGTTTTTTTCCAAAAAGTGGCAGCCATTTTGAAATTCAGTGGCCATCTTGAAAATGTCTTCTTGAGCAGAACTTCTTTGTCTCTACGCAACAACATATAGAACTTGAACCAAATCCATCAACTGGTATTTGAGTTATCAAAGGTTAGGTTCTTTTATGAAAAATGGCGGCCATTTTGAAATTTAGCTGCCATCTTGAGATTCCCTTCTAGTTCTAAAGCAGAACTCGTATGTCCATAGGCATCAGCATGTAAAATTTGAACCAAATCCATTGAATGGTCTTTGCCTTATCAAAGATAACGTTTTTCTACGAAAAATGGCCACCATTTTGAAATATGGTGGCCATCTTGAAAATGTCTTTTTGAGCAAGGCTCTTTTATACCCAGGCAACAGCATATAAAATTTGAGCCAAATCCATCCAATAGTATTTGATTTATCAATGATTATATGTTTTCAGAAAAATGGCCGCGATTTTAAACTAAGTGACCATATTGAAAATCCCTTCTCGAGCGGAGGTCCTACACCCATAAGGCATGAGCCTATAAAATTTGTATGAAATCTGTCAACTGGTATTTGAGTTATTGCCCAGACAAACGAACGGACGGACGAACGGATCGACGTACGAACGGATGGACAGACGAATGGACGCCTTTTCTATATCCCCCTCGAACTTCGTTCAGTGGGATAATTAACACTGTAAACATTTTGTTTATTCTGTTAGTTTATCTATCAATATCCTTCTAGAGTGATATCTTAGTGCACTAAATTGGTATACAGTAGAACCTGTATATCTGAACACCTGGCTAATCCGAACACCTTCCAATTTGAACTCTTTTTTTGGTCCCATTTTTTCCTTCCATAGACTCCCATGTTAAAAAAAACTTGAAATCTGAACACCTCCTAATCTGAACAGTGAACAACCAAATTTGAAAAAGTGACCTGTCTAATCTGAACATTTTTATCAGAAATCAAATGTCTGGACATTTCAACAATAGTCACGATATTGAGTCAATTTTAAAGTTGTTATTTATCTTTACATATATACAATGTAATCAAAGCAACAATATTGTCCTAATTAACTTATTTAGTCTCAGAGACATCCCTAATTTGTGGAAAACAACAGGATGTTTTGGAAAGGTGTGAATACAGGAGTTAATTGGTTTATCCTATTAGAAAAGAACTGAATGTTTTATGTTTGGATTAAGAGAAAGGTGTGAATCAAGAAGATAATTGATTTATCATTATTAGAGATTACCTGGATGTTTTTGATTTGGATTAAGAGAAAGGTGAGAATCTGGGAGATAATTGGTTTATCCTTATTGTAAATGAACTGAATATTTTTGATTTGGATTATGAACAGGTCCTAATTGTTTTATATCCCATGGGTCTGTTATGATAGCTGAGATTCAATCAGTAAATGTTTTATAATCACAAAGACAACACAGACACATTTGCAGACAGGATTATATCACAAGAAAGAGAAAAATTTCAACCATAATATGAGATAAGTCATATGATTAGCATAAGATTTTGTACAAGACTATCATATACTTCTACAGTGTATTACAAAGTCTTTGCCAAAATATAAGAGTTATTTTTACTAAAATAATGAAATTGTTCAAAATGTAAATAAAACATAGCATATAGGCTATAAACATATTGAAGAATGAACACATCAACAACATGTATTGTTTTCTGACTTAGTATTAATTGTTCAATATAGTGTACTGAACAATGAAAATCCCCCTCCGACCAACAAAATCCTTGAAATTTGAACACCTGCCAATTTGAACGCTTTTGGCTGGTCCCATGGGTGTTCAGATTAGACAGGTTTTACTGTACATGGTCTTGTGAAGGAGAATGAGCTCCCCAGGTCACCTGAGGTCAAAGATCACCTTAGTTCAAAGGTCACAACAGGTCACAATTGTTAATAAAATATTACAAAGGTCAAAGCTCATGCTAAACTTTAAATGTCTGTGACACCCCTTGTATATAGCTGGAAATACCAAGAATGAAAACTAGTTGTTAAAATTAGAGTTTTGTGTTCATGAAAGTTCCTGCCATGACAAAACTGGCACACAAATCAATGGTTTGCTGGCGTTGAATTCCCTTTCGTGAAGAAATATTGCACAAAACTCATTTGAATTCAACTTTTGTACTCCTAGTTGTATTCTAACTGAAAATCAATTCAATTATGTAGAGTGAACTTCTTTTCAAACAGAAAACAAATATTTTCTCCCAGTATATACTGTATATCTCATGCCAACTTTTTTACACAGCAAAAAATGGATCAATACAAAAATGTTTAAGCACTATGCTTGTCCTAGTACGATTGCATATATCGGGGAACCCCAATACAGACTGGTAGACATTTTAGGAAAATATGCAGGCAGACATTTCATGAACTAAGCTCTGGAGCATTTTGATAATGGTAAGTATAAGGTCACGAAATACTAGACTTGAAATATGTCTCGCTTTATTGATTTAATAGAAGAAATACATAAAACTTTACGAATACATGTATTGATTTTTCACAATGAAATGAATAAAAGTTGTCATATTTTAAATAAAGGCCTGCTGAGGAATGTTCAAGTCTATTAAATATAAAAGACAAGGTTTTAAAATACTATACTATACTAAAATATAATGAGTTTCAGAACATCTTCTCAATTATGGTGGATTTTCTTCAATATTCTTTTGAAAGGTGTCTAATACAGCAAACATTGTTATTACTTATATTGCATTAACAACTTTGAGATAATAGACAATTGTTCTTTTCCAAATCATTTTAATGTTTCTTTATAAAACTGGGTTATCATGTCTTAACTATTATTTGATTCATTTCTAGATTGCGTTATCATATAATGTATATGTTATATCCTATTTTTGTATATAAACATTTTTGGATAACCAATATCACAATGAGTAGTTAAGGTAAGACAGCCTCCTAGACTTAAATCGAGTGCCACCAAATTGGTTGAACTAAATTATGGAAATAATAATGTAAGAGGTCAGGCACAGTCAAAGATCACAACAGGTCAAATACCACCTCAGGTCAGAAGCTAATTAAATATTTAAAAGGTCAGAGGCTTTAGTATCAAGATAGAAGAATGTTATATATATATTAGTCAAAGTAATGGCAAAGGTCAATAAGGTATTGTGTATGAAGACTCACTAGCAACGCAAACATAGTACTATCCAGATTGAAGAATGTCAAGGTTATATATATCAGTCAAAGTAATGACAAAGGTCAGTAAGGTATTGTATATGATGACTCACTAGTAACACACACATAGTACTCTCCAGATTGAAGAATGTCAAGGTTATGTATATCAGTGAAAGTAATGGCAAAGGTCAATGGGGTATTGTATATGAAGACTCACTAGTAACACACATAGTACTATCCAGATTGAAGAATGTCAAGGTTATGTATATCAGTGAAAGTAATGGCAAAGGTCAATAAGGTATTGTATATGAAGACTCAATAGTAACACACACAATACATAGTACTATCCAGACTGAAGAATGTCAAGGTTATATATATCAGTCAAAGTAATGGCAAAGGTCAATAAGGTATTGTATATGAAGACTCAATAGTAACACACACATAGTACTATCCAGATTGAAGAATATCAAGGTTATATATATCAGTCAAAGTAATGGCAAAGGTCAATAAGGTATTGTATATGAAGACTCAATAGTAACACACACATAGTACTATCCAGATTGAAGAATATCAAGGTTATATATATCAGTCAAAGTAATGGCAAAGGTCAATAAGGTATTGTATATGAAGACTCACTAGTAACACACACATAGTACTATCCAGATTGAAGAATGTCAAGGTTGTATATACCAGTCAAAGTAATGGCAAAGGTCAGTAAGGTAACTTATTGTATATGAAGACTCACTAGTGACACACACAAAAGAATTGATCGACTAACATTAAAGTCACAAAACGCATTTTAATAGGATTATTATTCAAACATCATTTTAGGTCTAAAAGTGTAATGGTTGCATACTAGGGATTTCCCAAGCTTTATTAAGACTAGCATAGGCTGCCAGTAAAAGTAAACACATGAAGTTCAAGCAACTTCTGAGATATCCCTTGTATACAGCTGGAAATTCAATGAATGAAAAATGATTTGTTAAAGCAGAGTTCTATGATTGCGGATACTTCCTGCCAGGATCAATCTGGCACACAAGTCATTGTTTTGCCTGTTTTGAAATCCCATTCGTGAAAAAACATTGCACAGTACTAATTTATATTCAACTTTTATACTTTGGAATGTGTTTAAAAATGTGAACATTTATTCAATAAGTGAACTTCTTGTATCAAAAATGCTTTCAAGCACTAAACAAATATTTTTTTCAAATATTCATATGTCACTGTAACTTTATGAACACAACAAAAAACATATTGATTGACTTGAATCAACACAAAAAAACTTTCAGTACTATGCTTGTCCTGGCGTGATTATATATCGGGGAATCCTATTTATAAGTGGTGGCCATTTTTTAAAAAAATATACAGAAAGAAAAGATATTTTGAGCATTTAGATAAGTCAGTTCATGTGATACATTAAATGATATCAAAATATAAGGTTAGAGATGCAGATTTTATATGGGAGTAATAAAATTAAATTTTTAAGAAAGATTTTTAATTGTTTTTCCTTGTCATACTTCACTATTCCACTACAACATCACAATCTTTAGTTGCCTTAATCTATATAAAAATTATATTAGTAAATCAGATTCATTTTATATTTGCAGTAAAACAGACAATACAATGGATCCACTTCAGAAAATAGAAGAAAACTTTGCAAAAGAACTATGTTCTTCACGGAAAGAAGTTTTTCGGGATCATGAAAAGGAAGGCATCATTTTGACTCTAATGGGTGACACTTACAAAAGGCGATGCATTGATAAGTCAACAGAAAGAGAACATTACGTAAATGCTACAGCTCTGTATAATGCTGCCTTTGTACGTCTGGAAAATGCAGGAGAGAAGGGGCCCAATCATCAAAGGTACCGCGAACATATTGTGACATCATGCGAGCAAATTGAAACACTATATTGTGACAACATCCTAGGGGGAAATATTTACTGCGTGAAAAAAGGCATTAACCAAGCAAAAATTGATGAGTTGGAAAAATATCGACGCCATCTAAAAGTCAGAGTGAAAAGACTTGAAAAAGTTTGGGAGGAATGCCCAAAACCTGAGAACAAAAGAAAACCTCGATTTGAACAAAGGATGAATCAACTGACTCAGTTAATCTGCAAGCAGAACACAAAGTTTGTAAAGGAATTCAGTGCAGAGCTGATGGAGCAAAGTGTCTCTGTATGTGGACCACCACCATGTAAGTTCACAATGGTTGGCCTTGGCTCTATGGCAAGAGGGGAATCAACACCATACTCTGACTTGGAGTATCTATTTCTCACTGAAAGTGACAAACATGATGAATATTACCTCAACCTACATTTCCATTTCCAACTCCAAGTGTTGAATCTTGGCCAAACCCCTCTACCAGCTATGGGTATACAGAGTCTGAATGATTTCTACAATGAGAAGGAATCAAATGACTTTTACGATGATGTCACACCAAGTGGGTTTAAACTTGACGGGAATATGCCTTGGGCAAGTAAAACACCCCCAGGTCATAAGGCAACTGAATTGAAGCCACCCCTCAAGCTCATCGGCACGCCAACATATATGGCAGAGCTAAGCACAACCAAGGCAGACAGAATACATGGTTATCATCTGGCAACGATCATATCCACAGCAATAAGAATCTTTGGTGATGAGAATCTATTCCTTGACTTCCAAAATCAGATTAATATGACTAGGAGGGGTGAAAACCCTGAGTTTGTTAGACAAATATGCCTTGAACGAATGCATGAAGATTGTCAGAAGTACAAATTTAACCTCAATGATTGCTCTTCAAAAAATGTAAAGAAGGACTACTACAGGTTCCCATCTACATTTATAAACAATATGAAAGATCTTCATATGCTAGATGTCACATCCCCATGGGAAATCATCAGAGAGCTACAGAGGCAATCTCTACTAACATCAGAGCAGTGTTCACACCTTTACTTTATGATCAACGTTGCTATAGGTATGAGATTGCTTACATACTGTACAAAGAACCAACAACATGAAACAATAATTGGATCTAGTAACCTATATATTCAAGAACAAATTGAAACAAAAACAATTATTGAATCTAGTAACCTATATGTTCAAGAACATAAATACTGTATGGATTCTTCACCATCTAAAGTCTGGAGACAAAGTATTTTGATTCCACATGACAGGCTAATGCAGAGCTACTTCTTGAGATTCCTAAGCATTACTGATTGTATTGAATGTGGAATGGCTACAAAACCATCATCAATGATTATGTATTGCCAATGCAAAGGGTGTATATTGCTGGTTAAAGTGAAGACATATATTGGACCTGATGATATCATTTATGAGCCAGAAGAAATTATAGAATCTATAGAGCAATCTTGGCATGTTCTAGCTGGGATTATCAGACAGATTGATTATAATGGACTAGCACAACTTTGTCATTTCTTAAAAGGAGACTTTAAATCAGTACATATTCTCATGAATAAAAGGCTAAAACAAACACATAGTATGCCAAATAAGCTCAAATCTCGCCATTTACTCAGTGCAGCAATTTTAAACTTAAACATGGGGAATATTTCAGCTGGTCTACAGCAGATAGATGCTGCTATAAAAGTATGTCTACCAGATGAGCCTAGTTTTCATTACAACCTGATGATGATGAAACTGAAGTGGCATACTAAATTAAAAGACTATCCCAGTGTTGTGCTTTGCTTTGATGATATGAGAAAATTTAAGGCTTACAACAATTTGCCTGAATGTGAAAGGACAGTTGTAGGTCAATTCTACACTAATGCACTGTTACATCTTGAAGATTATAAAACTGCCTTGAAATATTTACCAAAGCTGAAAGGAGACTATGCAATGTTGTTTGGTGAGTCAAGTGAGGAATACAAATGGACTCTTGAAAGCATGTTCACTTGCTATACAGCCCTGGGTAGAGTCAAAGAGACTGAGAAAGTCGAGAACATGTTGAAAAGAATGAAGTTACAAGGAATTAATTAATTGTTACTTGACATAATGTAAAAATGCAAAATAGTGAAATCATTAGCTGGAGGATATTTGCTAAAATGTCCGCAAATTAATAATTTCACTGATCAAATATTGTGTAAATGTTACTTTGATTTATTATTGAAGAATGTTGGAAATCTATTGTCACCAAATTGGTGGTTGAATAAATAGTACGAATAATATAAAGGAGTATGTAAGATATGGCAAGCCATTTTCAAAGGGCTATATCTTTTAGTTCGAAGAATAATTTAACCACAAAATCAAATGGTTCTGTTAGATCCATGTCTTATCTTCAATAAATGACATTAGGATGATAATCAAGTTGATTGGATTATCTCTTAAGCTGTCCTTAATCCACCCATCCTCACCAATTTTCCCTAATATTTACGCAATTTTCACCAAAAATGCAGGCCTTTTTAATAATTTTTAGTGCAAAGTTGTATTGAACTTTTAGACATGATTTAAACTGTAAAGGGGAAAAGTTAATTATGAACCTACTTTTTGATATTTTTTTCGTGATTTTTTCCTAATTTTTTCTGATATTATTAAGTGCTTCATACTAATATTATACAATAATAAAATAGAGGGCAGCTAAGTGTCACAATAATTTGTTTGTTACAATGTTTCAAACACTCAGCTAGTGACTTACTCAGCTTATGGATAGGGTTAATCCTGTATTTTACCTTATATTGTTTGTGTATAAAACAGTTGTGTCATTCACGTAGAGCTATTTATATCCTGAATAGTTCTTTGTAATTACATGTACCTGGTTTTGACTATTCAACCTAGATTTTGTTTGGGCAGGCTGAAATGAATAAGTGTGAAAATAAAATGAATTACAGGGTGAGACAAAAATGCTATCAAAAGAAATGGTATAAACTCATTCATCCAGTATGAGTTGAAATCATATTTGGTTAATTTTACGATGTAATATCTTTTTGCGATTTACCATGTTTCATGGGTCCATTTCTCATAGTCACAATTCTATGGCCATTCTACAAATTTCAGCCTCGTCCCTTCAGGCAGACCTGCACTGGTCGGTTGAGGTTGTAAGTTCACGGTCAGAGAAATTTTTCTCCAACTTGTTGTAGGGGTTGACATTATATCAGAGATAGCCCGTAGTCATGAGATGAGGCTGGCATTTTGGACCATGTTTCGTATTATAGCCATAAAATCCCGACTATTTGGGCAGGGCCAATTAAACTTAATAAAATAAAAGAACATTAAACAAGGTTTTATTATGAGTAATAGCACTTTAGCAGAGCAGTAGCAGGGCTACATTTTTGGCTCACTCAGTATTAGACTGCACTTTGAAAGTATTCATGATGTCATATGTTGGGTAAAAGGCGATGATTTAACCTACTTTTGATGGCAAATTCATTTTAATATGAATGAAATAGTGGCAGGTACTATTAATATTTAATGAGGCATAAAATAGTAGGTTGATCTGGCAGCTGTTAGTTGAATTCGCGAATACTACTTATAATGTGCTTTCAAAGCCCGTGGTCACCTATATAGTTTCTTCATCCTAGGTCAAACCCATTCAAGAATGCCCTTAATTACAATGGTGTTATATTAGATGCAGCATTTATTAATCCCTGGAATCACAGCACCTCTAAGCTTAATCATAATTCCGTCGATTGACGTACAGCATAGGCCTAGGGAAAAGTAGTAGGAAGGCAGCTTATGAGTGCTCTCGATGTGCTTACTTCTACTTTTACATAGGCATATGGCCTACAGATAAGTTTGGGATCCTTCATTTGAACCAAAACCTCTATTCCTAATTACAGCCCCTAAAAACAACAACCCCAAACCAAGTGGCAGCCAGGGAACCCAAAAGCATTTTTATGTGCCAACCTATAATGAGACTCCCTTTAGTGAATAACAACCAGGTAGTCGTCTAAAGTATACACTGGTGATCCGCTCGATTACGTTGGTTACCGAAACGATTCGTTTTGGTAACAAAATGTCGGAACGTCGAAGGTACGATTTTTCTGTTTTCCTTATTTCATGCGTTGTAGGCAGAATCCCAACGACGTTTTTTCTCACAAACGTGTATCAGCATCATATGTTTTAGAAAATGTACATGTCTGCGGAAAAATAGCTCAGAAGACAACAGAATCGTCGATTTAATTCCTCATTTAAGTTACATAAACGGTTTGGGTTAAAAGTGCAGATCTTAACTGGTTTTGGAAAAACCGTTTATGTAACTTAAGTGAGGAATTAAATCGACGATTCTGTTGTCTCCTGAACTATTTGTTCGCAAATATGTACATTTTCTTAAACATATGATACTGATACATGTTTGTGTTAAAAATGTCGTGGGAATTCTGCCTACAACGTGTGAAATAAGGAAAAAAGAAAAATCGTACCTTCGATGTTCCAACATTTTGTTACCAAAACGAACCGTTTCGGTAACCAGCGTAATCGAGTGGACCACCAGTGGTATAGCAACATGTTCAGTTTGTAATTTTATAGAAGGTCACTGAATCTTCTTATCATTCATAAACTATGATAAACTATGAGTACTGGGTTTTATGAGAAATAATAGCAGAGGGGCTTGGCCTGAGGCTATCAGTTCGAGGCCTGAGGCTGTTAGTTCTCATTAGAACAAGTTTGAATAGTTTATCTTATTTAAACCCCACACTGACTCTTATGAAAGGTAAATGGCCCATGATCCAAGTTTAGAAAAAATCTTTTGTATTAATTATATGAGGTAAGTGTGTAAAGAAGTGGGTTGGTTGGTTCAGCTTCAATGCACTGCATGTATCAGGCAAGGTACAGTTAAAAATGTTATTTATTTTTTGTTTACAATTCCATTATTGAGTGATTGAAAAGGGTTTAATTAGTGCAGCTTCGGTGCACTGCATGTGACAGTCAAGGTGTTAATCTTGAGCCAAACACTGTCAATCATATTTTGTGCCACACTGGTTTAAGATTCCATTTTTCAAAAACAATAGAACAAGAATGCACTTTTCTTTTTTACTACTTTACATTCTTTAAGGTAAAAAAAGGTCTTCAAGTTGACCAAAATGACGAAGTATTGGCTTCTTACCTCATGCATGTACTCGTGTGTACAATCAGCATGCCCTTCAATATTATATAAACCAGGCTATTCAAGTACTACATAATGTACACTATTTATGTGTGTACTACATGGGAATACGATTCCCTGGGAAACAAAACACAAATACTTTTTATATGTTCAAAATGAGCCATTTGATCGATGCATACACGTAATAGCTCATTAATAACATCTACAAAGTACATCTAATAGTAATTTTCAATTTTAATGGTGAAACTTGCCTGTTTACGATTATACGGGAAATCAACATGGGACGAAGATTGTTCACATTCCTGACTTACCTCTGAAGCCTGTACCTTGTAATCTCTTTATATAGGTTAGCGACAGCGCTGCGCCTGCGCAGTTTTAAACTTTGGCGCACACTTTAAGTCTAAGTTTTAAATATGTCGGGGTATTCTATGTTTCATTTTATTTAATCACAGCATGAATAAAGATAATTTTAGTCTCAGGAATCTTAAATTCACTCCAACACACGACAATGTAATTTGTGCAGTTGTGCTTAACAGTGGATGATGATTCCATATTGAATGGGGGATCGAGCAATCTAAATGTGGCAATATAGGTGACACCTTTTAGACGACTTCCTGGAATTTCTCAGCAAATAAAAAACGTTTTAGTGTAGATTGGTTCTATAGTGAACGAGCATTTCAATTAGGCATTTTTTATCGAGGATAAAATAGCAAAGATAAACAATTTTGCAATTCTGGCCTTATTTTATGACTAGAAATGTTAGATCTATAAGAATATCTAAGCACTAGTGTCAAGGGAAAGGACCAAAAGTTGTAATGGAACTTAGCAAGAAAAAGCAAACTCTAAGTGCATACCAGTCAAGAAAAACAAACCCCATATATCTCAAAACCATGATCTAACGTGAAAGAAACAATGTCTTATACCCCCTTTCCCCCAAACATTCAAGAACCGATATCACAATCAAAGACCAGAACACCAAGGGACATTTCATTCATACTGAAGCCATTACAATACATGTAGAAGAAAAAATTTGAAATCGATAGCCAATACTCATAACCTCAAAAATAGTTGTAGATACAAGTACTCATACAAGATAGAGCATTCAGTCTCAAATGATGTGGGATAGATAAAATCCAGTCTCTTCCAAGTCCATAGGCGTTTTAAAGGGTCAACATCCATTCTCAAAAGTCGTCGCCATAATCCATAAAACACAAGAATTCACAATGGTCATCAGGAATTAAGACATACACATAGGTCTATGAGTGCATTAATGCACCTACAATTCATATAATCTGAATAATCTGAAACGTTAGACATGAACCCTTCAAAGAATGTATCATGGCCCAAGTACGTAGGTACGTGGGTACGAGTTATAAGGTTTTTTATACAAAGCCCAACGTAACGACTGAGGGAATACTAGTAGAGTGATCGAATGACAATATCATAATTACACAAGGCAATATACCTATTGTCAAAGGGCAAAACCCATAGCATTAAACTGTTTTTTCCATAAAAATTCCAATCAGCAAAAACAATCCAATATAATTTGAAATGAACAAAAAATGCAACAAATGTTTGGCCAAACCATTGGAGAAAATTATTATTTGCATGTACATGTACTCTGTATACAGTGGTACATGTATCAATACTACTACAAATAACACTATTCGTAAAGTCATTTACAGCAAACCCCTTTACAGAAGGCACTTTCGAAACATCCAAGATGGTTGATGATAAAGAAAGATACACATGGGAAGAGTTAATTCAATTAAGATGGTATTGAATCATGTTTTGAAACATCGCAAATGTAACAAGTGTAACATTTCAAATATCCATTTACACTATACAATACAAATATATAAACAAGTATTTCATCTTATGTGTTTTACTAGGTGTTAAACACATTTATGTTTTACTGTACATACTTTACACGACACGGTCATGTTGACATATCCATGCTCATTTCTATAATACGCAATTATGCAACAATGAATACACAGGGTATTAAGCACTCACCTATATAGAATATATCATGCCATCTATGGACCATATATAACTCTATCTATAAACATCATTGCATAAAATAGGGTACATCTTAATGTCGCTCTAAGTGACATCTTTTCATACACTATACACTAAGGTCATGACCTATGAGGTAAAAATGACAAATGGATTATCAGATAATGCTTATCTCATTTAGATCATTTTTTTCTTTTTGGAGATCAGTCATGTGACATAGCTCAATGTTTTCGTGCATTAAACTTATTAAAAAATTGCTACTTTTAGGTCGAAAATTCGGCTTAAAAAAATCATTGTTTTCGGATTATCCTAATCCCAAAGTAATTAAGTTTTCCTTTTTAGAGGTAAATCATTTCTTACAATAAATTGTAATTTTGCCATAAAAGCTGAAAGAAAATGCTGCATTTTTGGTGAAAATTGCGTCTGAATTAGGGAAAATTGGCGAAGATGGGTGGATTAGGGACAGCTTAAGAGATAATCCAATCAGCTTGATTATCATCCTACTGTCATTTATTGAAGACGAGACATGGATCTAACAGAACCATTTGTTTTTGTGGATAAAGCATTCTTAGAACTAAAGATATAGCCCTTTGAAAATGGCTTGCCATATCTTACGTGCCCCTTTACAAATAATATATAATATACTTATAAGTTTTAATTTTAATTCAAATTAAAACATCATAAATATTGAGTCAAAAATGAAAGCAAAGAATGTAGTTCTCAACACATCTTCCTGAACTTTTAACAGATGAAAACAACTTGTCAATGAATCAAAGTTTCTACAATTACAATGAAGTCTCAAGACAACTCCCAATGACTGCAACATATTTTCTTGGTCCCAATTTATTAATCTCCTGTTGGCTTCCTTGTTAAAAATTCTTGGGTATCAATTAAGATGTGAAAAATCTTAAAATAAAGATATACTTAATGTATCTTTAGAAAAATTCCTTGATCTTAGAGGAAGAAATTTTGTGTAAATAAAAGTGTAACAACTTGTTTCAAATTAGTCAACAAAAAACAAGGAATATAACAATTTGTTACAATTTTAGTGGTTACCTTAAAAAGTGATCTCATCTAAAATGTATGAAATTTCTAAAATAGAAGGTTGATCACTCACCTGGTTTCTTTTTCTGTAAATCAGGACCAGTTTCCTCCACTCTTGCCTGTGGAATTTTTATGGGGTCTACATGTTGCACTCCAGGGGCAACAGCCACTGGTTGTTCAATAATCACATCTACTGGGGATTGGTCAGTTTGTTCCAGTTGGGAGTGATCATTCTGTGAGGCATCTAGGGTCAGATCAAGGCTTGCTTCACTGCTGGGGGTTGCAGGAACAGGATGGGGGTCAAGGGCAAGACTCATGTCACCTATGAAATCTAAAAACACAGATAACCTCAATGTTTACAAAGACACCATCTAGTAAGTTATAGCAAATACAAAAGTCTGTTTCAAATGCTGAAAACACTGAGCAAAACAGCGATTTTGAACATCCAAAAATAGGACCCACGGTCCTGTGCTCACACAGTTTGGAACCTTCAGAGGAATGTACATCCTGACTTTTAAACAAGAATATTGATTTGGGTTTGTAGTCTCGAACTTTGAGAAACTTAGATAGCACAATTGTGTGACCTAGTTTGATGACCTTTGACCTTGAAAATTTTACTTATTATTCAGAGCTCAGTAAGGTCTTTTGTGATTAAGCTGACCAAAATTTACATCCAAAAATCAATTTGAAAATCAACTTTTTGACCTTTCGAAGGTCACTGAAGGTCAACTAAAGGTCAAATCCTAAAACTAATGTCAGATTTGAACTCCTGGCAATTTGTAAATGATTTTCAAAAAAAATTTGGTCAAATTGAAGCAAGTTGAAAAATAACTTATTTTTACTGTTTTTTGATGTCAAATATCTCAAAAACTGTAAAAATATGAAGCTGACATATATCGAGCAATATGTAGGGAATGCTTAAATCTAGTAATGATGTAATTCATTGCAAGAAATGATCAAGTATGAGGCAAACTTTGAGAAACTTGTCGATCACAAAACCTCCCATTGACTTTATATATGAGAAAGTTTCCTGAAAACGACTAAGTCCTACTTTTTGTCAAAGTTTATAGGGTAAACACCAAAAACTGTAATTCCAAGAGCTTTGAAATCTTCAGAGGACATAGGTTGCATATACATCAACTACTACAAGTTGTTTGAAAGTTCTACTTGAACAAAGTGTCTAGTATTTACAAAAATTTTGACTTTTTGACGTCAAAATCAGCAATTTCTCGGAAACCGGACCAACTTGGGAAATGGCGATGATAGGTCAAATAAGCATTATGGATATGCATAAAATGAAAGTGCATGTGACTCAATCCGAATAGCAGTTTTAATTTGTGCGGCCAATTAGTCGGACGGACGGACGGACGGACCAACGGACGGACGGACGGATGGACAGACGGACGGACGGACCAACGGACGGACGCCTGGTCGATCCCATAGGCTCACTGTGTGAGCCAAAAAGGAAGGAGAGAGATATATTGATTCTAGACATCTGCTTAGGACGGTGTGACATCTTTGGGAAAAAAGTTGCAGGGGACAGCCAGCTTTTTGAGATATTGAAAAGTCAGAGTTTGACAAAGATGAGAGCTGATTCCATTCTTCCATTGAAACTGTAAATTACCCTATGATACTGCTTGCAACTCAATTTTTGCCTCATTGTCTCACCTATTTAAATTTGCCTCACCTATAAAATTTGCCTATTTCAAATTCAGGCCACATCCCTTATAACACTTGAAAATTATTTGATTCAATAAGTGTTTTAATAGGTTTTCACCTGTTGCTTGCATATACATGTCTTCAAACCTCTCCTCTAGTTGTCTCTGTTTATCTTCACGTTGTTCAACTCTTCTATGTGGAGGTTGAAATATCTGGCGCTGGAAAATTCAGAATAATTCTATATTATGATGCCCTGTAAAAATGCCTGGAGGTATATATGATTTTATACATACTGCCCATGAAGCTGAGTGACTCAGTTTTAACCTGATTTTTAATTTTGTTGTTTATCTTGTTTATTTCTATTTATCAAGTTCACCAATAGCATTAATAATCAACATCAATGAGGATGCACTGGCGATGCAGATGATGGATGAGATCTCTTGTTCGGGCAAGACTCGTTTTATTGCTTTATTGTTGCATTAGGAAGTTAAGCGTGGTTCACTGAGTGGTCAACAACAATTACAATTGGATGGTTGAACATAAATTATCACAGGGAATCCTTCAAGGTGTGGTTTAAGTGGTTATATGTTTAAGTCCTCCCAATAGCTCAGTTGTGCTTATATTTAGAAGTTAAAGATGTTACCACTGATTTTACTCTCTCTTCTTTTCCGTGAGCACAAGACAATGACAATGTAGACATTTCAAATGTGTTAAAGCATGAACTGCATACTTACTGGAATGTTGGTCACAAGCTGTTGTCTCCTGTGAACATCCTCCCTCTGCAGATCACTAAGGTCATGTAGAATGTTTTCATAATCCTATAAATAGAAGATAGATTATTTTTTGTTTGTATGATGTTAATCAACAAATTTAATTGCATGTAGATTAGCATTGTTTTTTAACTTTTAGAGGAATCAATAAACAAAAGTTACATTTTAGGGGAAGGAGAGGTGAGTAATTTGTGTTTTGATCTTGTCCCGTGTACAGGTTGTTCGGAAAGTATGAACCCCCCCCTAGGCAGACATATACCAATGTCTTTATGGCATGTCATATATCATTTTAAAGCTTATTCAAAGTTACATTGATTTGCAAAGTATCATGGTTCTACTCACAAATGGGAAAAAGTTACAGGCATTTCAAAATTTAGTATTTTACACCAAAATGATAGTTGCTAATCTCCCTAGGCCATGTTTACAGCAGCAATGCTTTCCATATATGACCTTAATGCTTCAAATAGGGATGTGGCATTTTGAAATCCTCATTTAACCTTTTTAAGGCATTTTAGAGCATATACCCTTACGTCCTCTTTTTAGAACTCAATATCCATCCTATTTTCAACAACAGAACCCATATTTTCGGTAATTTTTTACCATTTGTGAGTTAAACCATGATACTTTGCAAATCAATGTAACTTTGGATAAGCTTTAAAATGATATATACACATACTATGAAGACATTGGTATATGTCTGCCTAGGGGGGGGGGCATACTTTCGGGACATCCTGTACACATGGTATTCATTGCACCGATGAATTGCATCTTTTTGAATTTTGACTGATTTAATTTAAAGACAGATTTCAACAAAAATATATAGAATTTTCCCAATCACAGATATAAGTCAGGGGATTTGGAAATGAAAATGTTTTGGTGTTGCCCTGCCGAATTCATACTTAAAGAGATGCTGAAGTAATGCTTTTGTTGCAATTTTCTTTTATTTAAATAACAGAATTATTAATATTATTCTAGGTAAGATCCCTTCTAAATTCATGTATTGATCCCTATCTACCTGTTTCAGAATGACCTTCTTCAGAGCATGTTTGTGTCTGAGTCTTGCCTTCTCCACATGTTCTGTGTTCACTCTGAGGTCCTCTTCTTGTCTGTATTGTATTCTCTCTTCTTCATCAACAGCATCAGCCCTTGCATCTCCCTGGAGAATACACATTATGGTAAAACATGGGCAAGGAGCATGTACAATCTAGTAATTCATTAACATCAGGACTTGCATCTACTATGTTTAATAAATAGCTATACTGTTTAACAAATTATGAATGCAGTTGAATTTTGACAATTATACATGGAGATACTTTTTATATTGTTACATGTATCAAATTGATGTTCTCCTGCGGATATTTTTAAAGCAGATATGAAATGGTATTTTTAACCTACAGGAATCAATATAATTTTTTGATAAATGTATTTGGACATGTTTTCTCATCAGTAGTGCGAAAACTATTTCACTCTAACGATCGTTATAGCTGCTTAATAAGCAATATTCGAATTGGTTGTGACGTTATTGGCCCCCACGTGATCTCTCACTGGTCCCCAAGTGGCCCATAACGTCATAATGCCAAAATGTTTTGTTTTGGTTTACACTACAATCCTCTGGTTGCCGTGACGTTTTGATTACTAAGGAACCAACAAACCAAAGCTATATTTTGTATGTGACGTTAGTCATCACGTGGGGGCCAGTTTGATAGATCAGTTATTTTTATTTCGTTATTTATGACCGTTAGCAGTTATCTAACATTTATTTTATAATGGCTATCGCAAGAACTCTACGTTGGGCTTACAATGGAGGAAACCGCATTTTTGTAGCTGCAAGTTGAGAAAAGCTATTTCAGTTGTCCTTTAAGTCCACAAATAATTCTTATTTTACAATTTTTTCCCAAGCCTGGGTTATGTATAAAGATCAAAGTAATTTACACTGTACAAAGATTTTGTATTGTACTTGTAAAGAGACCTTATGGTCACGCTGTATATTACTGTGTGCTATCTTATGGTCACCCTGTATATTACTGTGTGTTATCTTATGGTCACCCTGTATATTACTGTGTGTTATCTTATGGTCACCCTGTATATTACTGTGTGTTATCTTATGGTCACCCTGTATATTACTGTGTGTTATCTTATGGTCACCCTGTATATTACTGTGTGTTATCTTATGGTCACCTTGTATATTACCGTGTGTTATCTCATGGTCACCCTGTATATTACTGTGTGTTATCTTATGGTCACCCTGTATATTACCGTGTGTAGTCTCATGGTCACCCTGTATATTACTGTGTGTTATCTTATGGTCACCCTGTATATTACTGTGTGTTATCTTATGGTCACCCTGTATATTACTGTGTGTTATCTTATGGTCACCCTGTATATTACTGTGTGTTATCTTATGGTCACCCTGTATATTACTGTGTGTTATCTTATGGTCACCCTGTATATTACTGTGTGTTATCTTATGGTCACCCTGTATATTACTGTGTGTTATCTTATGGTCACCCTGTATATTACTGTGTGTTATCTTATGGTCACCCTGTATATTACTGTGTGTTATCTTATGGTCACCCTGTATATTACTGTGTGTTATCTTATGGTCACCCTGTCTATTACTGTGTGTTATCTTATGGTCACCCTGTATATTACCGTGTGTTATCTCATGGTCACCCTGTATATTACTGTGTGTTATGTCTGACCTGTTCTTCCGCTTCAGCTCTCTCTACAGCAACATCTCCATGCAAATGATAATGTGTACTAGAAAAGGCATCTAAGTCTGTCAACTGAACTGACTTTTTCACTGAAAACATATTTAAAATAGCATATTAGAAACATATGTATACAGAAACATTAGGATGTTCACAAGAATGTTAAGCTAGCTAGTGGTAAAAAAGTTTCCAGAGTAACAATTCAGCCATCAAACATTTCTCTTGCATTTCTGAAGTAACCCTGCTGAAATGGTATAATTTGGAACATTTGAATCAGAGTAAATACATTGTCTACAATTTTAAGTTTATTTGCCCTGAGAATTTCCCCTGTCCCCTGTTTGGTCAATTATTAAAGGATTAGCAGTTTAGGTTCTTCATTTCACACTGACCTAATGAGATAATATTGCCTCTCCAACAGACTTATTTCTAACAGACTTATGGTTGGATAACAAGGGTTAAAACACTGTTTTCCAAGCTCCTACCTTTAGATTGCTCAAGGTTAGCTAGAGGATCTGGTGGGGGAGGGGGCATGGCTGCAACCCTGGCTGCACGCAACCTTTCCTTCTCAATGGCATGTTTTCTGTAAAATAAATCCATAGGATTAAACATCTTTCCAAAGTGACTCAAAACACATCTCATTTGTTAATCCCCTTTAACTTAAAATATTTATGCATAAAAATTCTATTGTGAATTGTCAAAATTAACACTAGCCTATTGTTTGATACATGGATGTTAAATATACCTTGCTACAATGTGTTTCGTCTGCTCATTTTCTTTCTCCTCTTTTTCTACCTTCATTTTGGCGATTGCGACTCTGTTGCGAGCTTCCGCACGTTTGTTGTCTTCTTGCCATACAATGTAACGCTCCTCGGTCTTAGGGTCCTGTTAGACAAAAACAAAGCATTACCATGACAACAATTTCACTACCTGGTTAGAATTACAAAAGTATTACTGTAACCATATTTTTTACAGATACCATATCCAAACATTATTGCTGAAGACAAGTCATAGTCATAACAATATATCCCCTCCTACTTTGGTAAAGATATAAAACCACTCGTTTTCAATCGAGCCTAATGCTAATTGCAATCCATTTTCTGCCTCCAAATAGCTTCCATTTCTACTGCTCTAATAAAACGCCAAGACAGCAACATTGAAGTTAACATTAAATTTTAATATGAGTTTATTTTCAATACTTGAACCAGCTAAAAACTTTTTAGCTGTGTATATATCTCATTGATGCACCCTTTTATATTCAGTTTTTATTTCAAAACTAATGTGTAAGCTGACAGTACATACCCAGTCATCTGCAGATTGGTGTGCCTTGCCGACTGTTTGTAAAGTTTTGTTGTAATCCTCCTGCAGCTTAGACAGCTTCTCCTGCTTTTCCTTCTCATACTCCTGCAGCAAATTCTCAGCAACAAGCTGCAGTTGTTTCTGTTTCTCATTCTTAACAGCTTCCCTGATCTTCAAGGCATTTAATTTTGATTGTTCTCTCACCTAGAAAATGTGAAAATGTGAAGTATTTCTTTGTCTAATATGTGAAAATGTGAATCTTTACTAATGTCTCATTCTTAACAGCTTCCTTGATCTTCAAGGCATTTACTTTTGATTGTTCCCCACCTAGAATGTGAAAATGTGAAGTATTTCTTTGTCTAACATGTGAAAATGTGAATCTTTACTAATGTCTAATTCTTAACAGCTTCCTTGATCTTCAAGGCATTTACTTTTGATTGTTCCCCACCTAGAATGTGAAAATGTGAACCATACCTAATGTCTAGAGTAAGTGGAAATGTGAATCTCTAATAATGCTTGAACTCTAATCTTCAGAGCATCTAGTTTGAATCAGCTAAAGAATGTGAAAATATGTGAAAAAGTGAAGCATTTTATTATTGCCTTCTCTGATCGTAAAGAGTTTTTACCTTTAATTGTCTACAACCCTAGAAAATTTAAATTCTATGAACCTTTTTCACTCTCAAAATCCCTGGAGTTTCAGAGCAACTTTGAGAATTTAGATCATAACCGCTAGTTTATTTTTGTTTATTGGGAGAAAATATTTGGAGGTGTGATAAATGGAAATCTTGATCAACACAGAGACATGAAGCAGAGAGATTTGAAGTAAGTAATTTATCAGTTTTAAGTGATGACTCTAAGTGGATCAATGAATGTAGAATAAAAATAGGTCATCACATTTGCATGACCAAGCTTACACCTTCAGCACAAACCTGTATAATCCTTTCTTTGCGTCTTCTCTCTCTTTCTTGTTTAATGATGCGTGCCTCTTCATTGGGACTGAGTCTGAAGGGAACAAGCTTGGAGTTGGGCATCTTTACAACTTGCCAGGTTCTGAAACAATGTTGATGTGAGGTGAAGCATTAAAGTGAAGGTCAATATTATTTAATTCATGGGCTTTCTTTCTCGAGAAATTCTACTGTTATTGCTCTAAAATTCTATGAATGTTTCAGGGATGCAAAAACATGTAGATGATGAGTTCTTAATATAATGCTGTGATGGATGTCACAAAATGCAAGTAAATGTAGATGATGAGTTCTTAATATAATGCTGTGATGGATGTCACAAAATGCAAGTAAATGTAGATGATGAGTTCTTAATATAATGCTGTGATGGATGTCACAAAATGCAAGTAAATGTAGATGATGAGTTCTTAATATAATGCTGTGATGGATGTCACAAAATGCAAGTAAATGTAGATGATGAGTTCTTAATATAATGCTGTGATGGATGTCACAAAATGCAAGTAAATGTAGATGATGAGTTCTTAATATAATGCTGTGATGGATGTCACAAAATGCAAGTAAATGTAGATGATGAGTTCTTAATATAATGCTGTGATGGAGGTCACAAAATGCAAGTAAATGTAGATGATGAGTTCTTAATATATATAATGCTGTGATGGATGTCACAAAATGCAAGTAAATGTAGATGATGAGTTCTTAATATAATGCTGTGATGGATGTCACAAAATGCAAGTAAATGTAGATGATGAGTTCTTAATATAATGCTGTGATGGATGTCACAAAATGCAAGTAAATGTAGATGATGAGTTCTTAATATAATGCTGTGATGGATGTCACAAAATGCAAGTAAATGTAGATGATGAGTTCTTAATATAATGCTGTGATGGATGTCACAAAATGCAAGTAAATGTAGATGATGAGTTCTTAATATAATGCTGTGATGGATGTCACAAAATGCAAGTAAATGTAGATGATGAGTTCTTAATATAATGCTGTGATGGATGTCACAAAATGCAAGTAAATGTAGATGATGAGTTCTTAATATAATGCTGTGATGGATGTCACAAAATGAAAGTACATGTAGATGATGAGTTCTTAATATAATGCTGTGATGGATGTCACAAAATGCAAGTACATGTAGATGATGAGTTCTTAATATAATGCTGTGATGGATGTCACAAAATGCAAGTACATGTAGATGATGAGTTCTTAATATATAATGCTGTGATGGATGTCACAAAATGCAAGTACGTGTAGATGATGAGTTCTTAATATAATGCTGTGATGGATGTCACAAAATATTAAGTTGTGAGTGTCCAAATAAAACATAGTTCCCACTTGGGCATGTTTACCATGTGTGTACCTGTCATCTAAAAACTGACTAAATTGCAGTAAACGCAATTTATAATAAATGGATGCTGATATCTCGAAGGGTGTGATCAGAGGATTGGCTCAGTGGTCAGAGGATTGGCAACAAGGTTTTAACTTGGAGAAGTGTCATGTCCTGAGAATTGGAAATAACCAGCCAGAATATAAATACAAACTAGGGAGAAAGGAGATCAAGCAATGCAAAAGTGAGATTGACTTTGGTGTAGAAGTCACAGAGAAAATAAAAATGGGGTCACACATAAGAACAATAGCAAAGAAAGCCAATAGCATCCTTGGTATAATTAAAAAAACTTTTGAATATTTAACCTCAGACACTATGACTCACCTATACAAAGCATTAGTTAGACCAAGACTTGAATATGCAGCGACAATTTGGTCCCCTTACCAGATAGATGACATTGAAACTCTAGAGAGGGTGCAGAAACGAGCAATGCATACAACAAAAATAATACCAGGATTCAACAATATGGAATATCCAGATAGATTGAAGAAATTGAAAATGACAACCCTAGCCTTTAGGAGAAAACGAGGTGACATGATCGAGACATATAAGCTTATGAATGGACTCTACAATATACCAGTAGAAGGGTTATTCACCAGAGCAGGCGATCCAGGAAGACTATAAGGGGTGTATACACTGGCAGGCGAAATGCTTGAAATGACGCAAGCATTGAAACGTAGGAAATGATGCAAGCATTGAAACCATTGAATTGATTGAAACGATTGAAACAATTGAAACCATTGAAACACTATTGACAGTGTATACAGCTCTTAAGGGGTCATAGTATGAAACTAGTCAAGCATTACTCTAGGACAGTTAAAAGGAGCAAGTTTTTTACACAAAGAATTATAAACCCTTGGAACAGCCTCCCACAAAGTGTCATTGACTCTGAGAATTTACAACAGTTCAAGATCAACCTAGACAATCATTGGAAAGATCACCCAACCAGATACGATTTTAAGAACCAGGATGCCTTCTAGTGATGTACACAACACCAATATCCATGAAAGGCAAGTAAGGTAACCCCTTAAAATCAAACACCCCACCCCCTCAAGGCGCACAACCTCAGTTTTGAATGGCAACAGGAAGAATGCCTTCGCTTAAATAAGTCATAAATTCGAAAAACAATCCATACAAAACACTTGACAGTCCTGTAGAGTTCCGAATGACTAGCTTTAGTATACTTCTTAATAAACCCCACTATAGGAGGGATAATCTTTACCTTCTTCTAAAGCCACTGTATCGTGGCCTTCCAGTAAATATATATTCCTGCATGAACAACTGGTCATGTCGTAATCATAAAATTTGAAATCATATGTCCGCCATTTTTCCACATCACAATTTGAATTGCGAGCTTTGGTCTTATTACCTCACCAAAAATTCCAAAACACACATAAAGTGATCAGTGTATTAGTTCACATCTTCTGGATTGCTAACTTAGAATTTACAGCCAGTTACTAATGTCAGACGTTAATGACATTTCGTCCAGTTTTCGAACATCGCCATTTTTCTTGGAGCCATTTTGTTTTGATTTTAGACGAAATCCTGACGAAATCATGTCATATCTCATCAAGGAGCCGAGCGGGGTTCGTTTTGATTAATGATTTATTTATCTGGCGATTTTTAAAATATTCAATAAATTTATGACACGGTGGCCAGCTTTTTTCAGATGGAGTTCACAGTATTCCAGATGAAATCCCCTCTATAGCCAAGTATTGGCTAGAGACTCGAGTAAGATAATCTCGGACATGGGGCATTGTCGGTTGTATATGGTTTCTTTATTAAAACCTCAAATTAGACACTAATATTATCGATGTGGTGATATATATTGTAAAAAGTCTAACGATGTTCAAGATTTTCACCATGATACCCAGGGTTTGTCTGGGAATGGCCCGTGTCCGAGAATGCCCCTATCTACTCGTTCTTCAATTTTGAACTCAATGACAAGGTTAGGCTACAAGGTTAGGCTATAAGGCTAGAGGCAGTTTATATAAAACTAAGACAAGTCATAGGCTAATAAAAAATAAAAACTTCCATCCATGCCACAGCAAAGAAACAGAAATTTACACCAAAAACGACAGGGCTAGTTCAAATGTATGCTAAATTAAAGTTAAAATCACCTTAAAGATAAAAGGGTAAATATCGTGCACTATAATACGTAATATCCTTCAGGGAGTCTATACTGAACGAAGAAGAAGAAGAAAACTTACCAGAATTTTAAAATGTTTACAAACATGGCGGTTCAAATGAAGCGCGTTAGTTAAACGAACGTTTTATGAAAAAAATGTTCGTTTTTATTACCATCAAACAGTCTTAATTTGATTGACTATCTCATTAGAGCATGATAAAATTGATACACCTAAAATTAATTAGTATTTTCAAACTATTCTGGCACAGATTTAATTGATTTAATTATACGTAATTGAAGTTTTGATATTATTGAATTAATGATCAAAACATTGTCTTTCGTCTTTTTACCAGAATTACAACAACTTCCGCTTTTTGCAGAAATTCAAAAAAATTGTTTGGAAATCCACATTTATGGTTGCTCTGAGGGTAAGTATACATTATCATTACTTGCAAAATACTTGGTTGGCATTTGACATAAACTAGAACTATTGTTTTATTGACCATCATATCTTGAAAGTACAATTTAAAAAAAAATATGTTTCCATATTTTTTCAATAATTTTTATACAGTGGAGAACATAGTCATAGACATTGGTTCTAGTTGCAAGACTGATAAAGTTGTTACATTTCAAGTCGAATAAAATGGCGCTAGCAATGCATACATGTATACAGCTGTATTTATTACATCACTCAATTCTAAACACCACCTGATGTAAATGCTAGGTAAAAGCATGGGCTTTCAAGTTGAAAGCCCATGGTAAAAGTTTCTAAAAATCCGCTGTATAAAAACAAGTTCAACTAGATTTTGGAAATTGAACGAAGTTCAATTTCAGACTCCAGATCTAGACTTTTTTTTAGCCGAGTCATCCAGAATAAGCCGAGTCATCCAGAATAAGCTGAGTCATCTAGAAAGAGATGGATAAATAAAATAGGAAGGTAGGATAGGATAGAATAGGAAAGAACGATAGGATAGAATAAGAAAGAAGGATAGGATAGAATAGAATAGGAAGAAAGGATAGGATAGGATAGGATAGGAAGGTAAAGATATGAAGGAAGGATAGATAGGAAGGATAGGGTAGGATGAGATAGGAAGGATGGATGAATTTTTCAATATTTTCTTCTCTACTCTTGACTTTCTATCAGGATACCATCAGATCGATTTTTCTCGAAATTTCAAAACGCTATCACTTCCGAACCGGAAGTCGGATCGAAATTTGGTTTTCAGATTCGGATTCCTGACAAAATTCTACCCCTAATTCATAACTCATACGTTAAATTTGGAGATTTTTTATTTTGACCTACTTTTCGGACACGCCATAACTTCCGAACCGGAAGTCGGATTGAAATTTGGTTTGCAGATTCAGATTCCTGACAGAATTCTACCCTTAATTCATAACTCATATATTCAATTTGGAGAACTTTTTATTTTGACCTACTTTTCGGACACCATATCTCAAAAGTGGGTCAAAATACTTTCTGACGGCAAAAGGCTAACACTATAAGCATATTCTTGGCTACATGTATACAGAATTTCGAAGAATATAATTAAAGTGTAGTGTCAGAATCGAAAAAATAAGGAAAACCTATGAATTTGACCTAGATTTTGACCTAGGCATTTCGGTGTCCAAATTGTGAAGCTAGATGGCTTTTGAGGTCCCCTTCTTTTAAAGGCTTTGATTATATGAAGCTGAACTCAGTCTATATTCCGTATTTTTCACTTCAAAAAAATATTTTTTCCCATTGACTTAACATGGGCACCAAATTTAGCGATTTTTGAGTTTTCAAAACGCCATAACTTCCGAACTGGAAGTCAGATCCAAATTTCGTTTTTAGATTCGGAATCCTGAGAAAATTTCCTATAAGACTAATATCCTGAACATTTGATTCGGAGAACTTTGTTTTGGACCTCGTTTTCGGACACTGATATCTCGAAATCGGTTTGAGATATCAAAAAACTAAATCGACCCTAGGTTTCCTACTTTTTTATAAGGAACACAATGAAAAAAAAACCGGATCAAAAATATTGAAGGACGACCGAGAAAATCGAAAAAAGTGACAAAGTACTGGATTTGACCTAGTTCTTGACCTTTGACCTAGATAAAAATTTGACCCAATTTCCGAGGAACTAGATACTGAACCTAAATTGACCAAATGACTGACTTTACTGAAGACCTTATGGTTATTGAGAAAACTGGTTTAGAAAAAGAAGAAGAAGAAGAAGAATAAGAAAACTGACGAAAACAATAGACTCCAGATTTTCAATCTGGAGTCTAATAACACTTAATTATTCTTGAAATCTTCCAGTGTTCTTAATAAAACTTATGAAGCTAGTCTTTATCCTTTTGTTTAAGTCTGGCTTTACGTCTCTGTGAAACCCTGCTAAAAGTCTGAGGTCTATGCTTGGTTTACACATTCCTGTATAGCCTATTAGTATAGTATCTATCTCATGAAACAGTTTATTCCTGTCTCACTCGAAGAGCTTGCACTCAAAAATGTAATGATGAACAGTCTCGTGTTTGTCACAGGCTTCACAATGTTTGCTAGAGATATTAGGGTTAATTTTCGCCTGATGGTCTCTGAGTTTTGTGTGGCCAGTGATGGGTTGATTTGATCAACTTTTTATGTCACCACCAAAAGTGGTGACATATTGTTATGGTCTCCGTTTTTTTGCGACGGCGGTTGGAGGTTGGCGTTCGGCGGTTGGAGGTTGGCGTCCGGCGTCTGTAACAATTTCTTACAACTTCCTATAACTTAATAAATACTGTTTAGATTGACTTCAATTTTTTTCTAAATCATCTACATGTTCTCAGAAGTTCAAATCTGACTTTAGATTTGACATTTGACCTTCAATGACCTTCTCAAGGTCAAAAAGGTCTTTTTTCAACTTGCTTCACATTGACTAAATTTTTTTTCAAAATCATCTACATGTTCTCAGAAATTCAAATCTGACTTTAGATTTGACATTTGACCTTCAAATCTGACTTTAGATTTGACATTTGACCTTCAATGACCTTCTCAAGGTCAAGAAAGGTCAAAAAGGTCTGTTTTCAACTTGCTTCAAATTGACTAAATTTTTTTTCAAAATCATCTACGTATTCTCAGAAATTCAAATCTGACTTAAGATTTGACTTAAGATTTGACATTTGACCTTCAATGACCTTCTCAAGGTTAAAAAAGGTCAAAAAGGTCTGTTTTCAACTTGCTTCAAATTGACTAAAAAAAATTTTCAAAATCATCTACGTGTTCTCAGAAATTCAAATCTGACTTTAGATTTGACTTAAGATTTGACATTTGACCTTCAATGACCTTCTCAAAGTCAAAAAAGGTCAAAAAGGTCTTTTTTCAACTTGCTTCAAATTGACTAAATTTTTTTTTCAAAATCATCTACATGTTCTCAGAAATTCAAATCTGACTTAAGATTTGACATTTGACCTTCAATGACCTTTTCAATGTCAAAAAAGGTCAAAAAGGTATTTTTTCATCTTGCTTCAAATTGACTAAATTTTTTTTTCAAAATCATCGACATGTTCTCAGAAATTCAAATATGACTTTAGATTTGACTTTAGATTTGACATTTGACCTTCAATGACCTTCTCAAGGTCAAAAAAGGTCAAAAAGGTCTTTTTTCAACTTGCTTCAAATTGACTAATTTTTTTTTCAAAATCATCTACATGTTCTCAGAAATTCAAATCTGACTTTAGATTTGACATTTGACCTTAAATGACCTTCTCAAGGTCAAAAAAGGTCAAAAAGGTCTGTTTTCAACTTGCTTCAAATTGACCAAATGTCACCACCAAAAGTGGTGACATATTGTTATGGTCTCCGTTTTTTTGCGACGGCGGTTGGAGGTTGGCGTCCGGCGTCCGGCGGTTGGAGGTTGGCGTCCGGCGTCTGTAACAATTTCTTACAACTTCCTATAACTTAATAAATACTGTTTAGATTGACTTCAATTTTTTTCTAAATCATCTACATGTTCTCAGAAGTTCAAATCTGACTTTAGATTTGACATTTGACCTTCAATGACCTTCTCAAGGTCAAAAAGGTCTTTTTTCAACTTGCTTCACATTGACTAAATTTTTTTTCAAAATCATCTACATGTTCTCAGAAATTCAAATCTGACTTTAGATTTGACATTTGACCTTCAAATCTGACTTTAGATTTGACATTTGACCTTCAATGACCTTCTCAAGGTCAAGAAAGGTCAAAAAGGTCTGTTTTCAACTTGCTTCAAATTGACTAAATTTTTTTTCAAAATCATCTACGTATTCTCAGAAATTCAAATCTGACTTAAGATTTGACTTAAGATTTGACATTTGACCTTCAATGACCTTCTCAAGGTTAAAAAAGGTCAAAAAGGTCTGTTTTCAACTTGCTTCAAATTGACTAAAAAAAATTTTCAAAATCATCTACATGTTCTCAGAAATTCAAATCTGACTTTAGATTTGACTTAAGATTTGACATTTGACCTTCAATGACCTTCTCAAAGTCAAAAAAGGTCTTTTTTCAACTTGCTTCAAATTGACTAAAATTTTTTTTCAAAATCATCTACATGTTCTCAGAAATTCAAATCTGACTTAAGATTTGACATTTGACCTTCAATGACCTTTTCAATGTCAAAAAAGGTCAAAAAGGTATTTTTTCATCTTGCTTCAAATTGACTAAATTTTTTTTTCAAAATCATCGACATGTTCTCAGAAATTCAAATATGACTTTAGATTTGACTTTAGATTTGACATTTGACCTTCAATGACCTTCTCAAGGTCAAAAAAGGTCAAAAAGGTCTTTTTTCAACTTGCTTCAAATTGACTAATTTTTTTTTCAAAATCATCTACATGTTCTCAGAAATTCAAATCTGACTTTAGATTTGACATTTGACCTTAAATGACCTTCTCAAGGTCAAAAAAGGTCAAAAAGGTCTGTTTTCAACTTGCTTCAAATTGACCAAATTTTTTTTTCAAAATCATCTACATCTTTTCAGAAGTTCAAATTTGACTTAACAAGTTCTCAGAAGTTCAAATCTGACTTTAGATTTGACCTTTGACCTTCAATGACCTTTTCAAGGTCAAAAAGGTCTTTTTTCAACTTGCTTCAAATTTACTTAATTTTTTTTTCAAAATCATCTACATGTTCTCAGAAGTTCAAATCTGACTTTAGATTTGACATTTGACCTTCAATGACCTTTTCAAGGTCAAAAAGGTCTTTTTTCAACTTGCTTCAAATTTACTTAATTTTTTTTTCAAAATCATCTACATGTTCTCAGAAGTTCAAATCTGACTTTACATTTGACATTTGACCTTCAATGACCTTCTCAATGTAAAAAAAAGTCAAAGAGGTATTTTTTCAACTTGCTTTAAATTGACCAAATTGTTTTAGGTGGTGACATTTTGTCATGTTAATGCCTTGTTTCATTTATCTTGGGCTTTGAAAGTGTCATTAAGTGAAATAATGATAAAGCTGTTTTTGAGAATTTATCCATATTTGTCTTCTTGATTTACTTTCACTGGTATGACCTATTATTGCCCAACCAGTTTTGAAAGATAGCTCCAATACCAAGTTGTATATCAATATAATACCAAAATACATCTGCATTTTCACTTTTTCAGAGTGACTTTGGTTGAATATATCAAGGAGGAAACAAAGGAAAGAGGAACAAGTTCTATACTTCGCATTTAGATTCATCATATAAACGAAACAATCACAGAGACTCAAAATGAGGCAACTGAAGGGGAAGGCAGCGAAGGAAACGAAGAAGGACAAACGAGAGAGAAGGAAAGACAATGTACAGATAAGGAATCAACTGTTTACAGTTGTGGTGCCAACATTACTTGCTATAATGGCAGTTATCGTCTTTTTAGTGTACATAAAATCACGGCCTTAGTAACATGTGAAATAGGAAGATATAACCAGTTAGGAAGGATAACTCTGGAGGATGATCATAAAGTTAATGATAGATAATGACAGTGGATGTTGTTTAACGCATCAGCTTTGTGAACATCCTTTAATGCGATTCATTATTACATAATGTTGACTGCTCATTTGATTCTCTTAAAACATGAGAAAGTCTTCAACTTACAAAAGATACTCAGGAACTTGGATATAATTGGATTTATTAAAACTCTGATGAAAACATAGTAAACTTTTTGACTTTATAATTAACAATTAACAGGGTGACTCTGAATTTGTCTGATTTTGCAAGTAATAATCTCAAAATGGACATTTTGTTCAACAATTATGGTTTTGGAGTGCCACAGGCAGGTGCTTCTCCCTTGGGACAGAAGGACTAAAAATGATATACAGGAATAGGCTCATCATGTGCTGTTCCTCCTTTCAGTGATGCAGATACAGTGAAGAATTCTTTAGTCTCAAATATAACATTGGATTGGCTTCAAAAACACAGCATTATTCAAATGTACATTTAAGGCATTTCCACACATTCACAAAAAATTGAAAATGTTTGGGAAATGTCATTTTAATTATTCTAATTCATCAAAATATTTTGAATTTGAGCTATGCATATACACATGTATGTATTCTACCATGTTGTAAACTTGTTAAGTGAGAAAAATCTTAATCATTTGTAATTATTAGCATGGATATTACTGTACTGTATAAAAATTATCATCACACACATATAGGGCCTTATGGTTAGATTTCACGTCAAGCAATTTCAATTATATCCTTGTGTCCCAGCTTCATAAAAGTGTTGATAGGGTCATATCATTGTTATCATACATCAGAAAATTCATAGCATTGTTCAATTATAACCTATAATGAATCCAGATTATTGAATTTTACAGAAAATTGAGAGCAACATGAAGTTAACTTTTTTTATCTAACTCCCAGGTAATATTAAATTTGGAGATACCAAAGTGTTAGTACCCACAACCGACTTACATGTAAATATTTTTAGTTTTTAAGATTCTTTATTTTTGAATTAATTAATGTAGAATTGAATGGTGTTGGTTGGGTTAAAAGAGCATGTTCATTGTTCAGTTGCTCAAGAGAATTCCAGATCTGAAATTGGCCTACTTGTCCCCTTGGATATATTTTAATGCTTTAAAGGTGGGTTCAAATATCAGTGGATTATTGTTTCCGCAAAACTAATTCATTACAGAATATGGGAAATACATTGGAAATCATTCAAATAAATCCTACCAGCATCAAAAAGCTAGGATACATTGGCCAGATTGATGATGTCATATGTTGTGGTTTTTAAAGATATTGCTGCACTGTTGCTTGGCTTGATTACTATCTATGACATCACCAATGGCCAATATTATATCCTCGGTTAGATGCAGCAAATGATGTTTATTTGAAACCGCCCCCCCCCCCCCCCCCCCCCCGCCAAAAGTTCTTTCAAATAATGCAGTTTTTCATCATTTTAGTACTTTGCAGGTGATTTTTGGCCCAAATTGTCGAATTTGATCCCCTCCAGGTATTCATTAAATACTGAACAAAACTTGGCTACAGGCTGAGGAATATGTCTGAGGGTACAGATAGAGCCATGGTAATGTCACAGTTAATTCAATGTGTAATGTTGTTATGGAGTTGTTGGTTAATGTTAATGTTTAAAACATGCACCTCTTATCTAGTATATAGATGCAGGGATATTGGTGTTTGTTAAAGAGACTAGACCTTTAAGGAGTATGAGGGATAGAGATGACCTGAAATGATAATAGTATTGTCGTATTGTCACAATACTGTACTCCTGGTATTTTCCGCATGTGATTTATTTACGCGCATTTCAGGATTGTGGTAAATCTATGTCATGCCTATTTTTCTAAAATGTCCAGTGAGTTAAAGGTTTTGGCATGATTTTTTAAAAAATTACTCTATACCTATCCCTTGTTATTTCCTTAAATGTTTACTTCTTTGTAGTATGCAGAATCTAAGGGTTATTGGTGTTTGTTATATGTATTTGTGGAGGTTCAGACTTTTAAGAAAAATTCAAAATAACTCTCTGATTCTTCCTTATTGACATATAGGCTTAGGCCTAAAGTAAAATACAGTGAAACCTGTAAAGTGGAACACATAGAAGTGGCTGTTAATTGAACACTTTTTAGAGTCCTAAGACCAATTGAATGTTAAATGAACTTCTAAAAGTGGAACATTTCTGTTAGTGGAACTCTTTTTAAAGGTACCAAAGATGTTACACTTAGGCAGGTTTTACTGTAGATAAACAGTAAATATTGATTCATGAAAATATTAAGTCCTTCACCGGATAGTAGTATGGAGTTTATGTATAGTTAGTAATTCATTACTAAATGTCTTGTTACTGGTTCAAAAGGGTTTATTTTTAATGCAATAAAATAAAATGTTATTAATATTAATTGTGCGTTAGTTCAATTATTGCTCATTATGTCACCCCACAAGTGGTGACATATTGTTATAGTCTCCGCCTTTTTTGTGGACAATGTTTGGTGGTTTGTATTTGGCATTCAGTGGTTGGTGTTCAGTGTTTGGCAGTTGGCATTTGTAACAAATGGCAGGTAGTGACATTTTGCATAATAATGCCTAGTTTATATACCGGTATTGTCTATCCCTGATATTATGACAGTGCATTGTTCATTTCGTGTATCAAAGGGTCAACATCCATCCATATGCAAAGCAATGACCTATAAACACAATTCAAAACAGTTGTCACAGGGACAAACTGGTGCAGAGTCTAGTTAAACTACACTCTGCCTAGTATAGACTATATTACAGTTTAGTAGACCCGCCCCCACAATGGGTACCGGTGTCAGTTTGGGTAATAAATCACTTTTGACCTACGCGCTGACCTTTATTCCACCAATCAGCGAGCTTGAAGAAACAAACGCCAAATGCGTTCTAATTAAATATGCGCATGTAATTGGTCAATTCCGGGCTCAACGATGACGTCAGAAGGAATGACCATACATAGAATGTCGGTCAAATTAGGCCGACGAACACTGATTGGCGCGGTGAGTTCACAGGTTTATTTTAGTTTGAAAGAGTGAAGACGAAGCTCTCTTTTAAGAAGTGAAGTCCAACGAATGCAAAGGGTAACAAACTGGCTGGTTTTGATCCCTATTTCTCAACCAATCAAAACCATAGATTGGATGAACATTAAAGGTACCAGATGAAAAAACATCCTCCAGAACTTGTACCTCTTTCCATCCTCGAAACCCAGGCCTCCAGAACTCATACTTCTTTCCTTGGAGGAGGTACAATTCTGGAGGCCTGTGTTCGGGGGATCCGGCTGGGAGGTACAAGTACTGGAGGCCTGTGTTTGGAGGATAGATGAAAAATTGTGAGGTCAATCCAAATGTTAAAAAATTCCAGAAAATTAGGACTAGAACTTTCCCTGCCTAGTGCTCCTTAGCCACAGATATCATTTATTAGGAACGCCTATTAGGAAATACCTCCTATCCCAAGAAAAATTCTGCCATCTTTGTCCTTGGCCTGTTTTAAATGTGGTTACCCTGATTCTCTTTTCACTGATTTGTTAACTATTTTTAATCAATCAAATCTGAATGGTTGAGTTTTTTATTTAAAATAATTGTTTCTTTGTCAAAAAGTACAGATACATGTTAACTATTCTTCAGCTTGAAAATTTAACTAGAAAAATACGAACACGATACCAATCAACCGTTCGTAATTTCGATAAAAACGCGTTCGCAATTTTTATGCAATATTGATTTATTCAGATTTATTTTTTCAATTTGTTTTTTATGTTATAAATAAAATGGATACTATCCCAGATCCGATGCCTAATCCCGATGGAGTTCATCTAGATCTCAATCCCGACGATGTTCAGCAATATAAAGGTGGGACTAGAAACGTTAGAAGCTGGAGGTTCAATTAAAAATAAAATTTGAATGGTTTTATAGAATCACAAATGATAAATAGATCTAATCCGAAACACAGTTGATTTGGGCCAAGCCCAAATCATGATCTATATTATCTTCCCGGTCTTGCCCCAAATAATAACTGCATACAGGCACAGGCATACTGACTGTGTTTAGGATATATGGTAGATCTAGTCAGTGGTCTACAAGGGCTTGCTCTTGAAAGCTGATGGTGTATCCAGGGGAGTATCCTGAGACTGAGACTAATTTAAAAATATAGTCCCTGTTATCTGTTGTGCATCACCACTGTTATGACCCGGGCGGGGGGGGGGTTACTTCCGTGCTTCCGTATATTGGCTATATGGGGACGTGCCGCTAAAGTGGGTCGCTTTTTGACTAAAGAATCCCTACGTGTAGGTCTTTTTTTTTGAAAAAAATCCTAGATGTGGGTCGTTATTATTTTTCCTGAAATCCCTAGAGATATATGTGAGAATTTTTATGAACTCACTGTCACTAGACGTGTTTGGCAGCCCAGGTTGACACTTTTTTGCCTGGAAAATCCCCAAATTCCCTAGAAGTGCGTCTGTATTTTAAAGGAAAACCCAAGATGCTGGTCGACTTTTGATTAAAAAATCTAGCTGTGAAACCTTCCACTTCAGGAAGAATATATGTACTACATGTATGTTTGTTTTAGGTGACAAGGAGGACTTGGTAGCTGATGAAAGTGGACGCTACAACAAATTGAAAGAGGACACTTCAGGGAGCATCTATGTACATGTATGTTTGTTTTAGGTGACAAGGAGGATTTTGTAGCTGATGAAAGTGGACGCTACAACAAATTGAAAGAGGACACTTCAGGGAGCATCTATGTACATGTATGTTTGTTTTAGGTGACAAGGAGGATTTTGTAGCTGATGAAAGTGGACGCTACAATAAATTGAAAGAGGATACTTCAGGGAGCATCTATGTACATGTATGTTTGTTTTAGGTGACAAGGAGGATTTTGTAGCTGATGAAAGTGGACGCTACAATAAATTGAAAGAGGATACTTCAGGGAGCATCTATGTACATGTATGTTTGTTTTAGGTGACAAGGAGGATTTTGTAGCTGATGAAAGTGGACGCTACAATAAATTGAAAGAGGACACTTGAGCATCTATGTACATGTATGTTTGTTTTAGGTGACAAGGAGGACTTGGTAGCTGATGAAAGTGGACGCTATAACAAATTGAAAGAGGACACTTCAGGGAGCAGCATCAGTGATGGGATTCAGGAGACACGCCCACTTTCCCAGCCTCTCCAAAATACAAAGTAAGAACTGACATTTACAGGATGTTCAAATAAACATAGGACAAAACAAAATTGCCATTTCATCTGAACCAATGCTCATGTTCTTAGATCATTTTGTATATCATTTTTGGAATATTCTGAGATAAGATGTTTAAGGGATTCAAAATCTATTGACCAATGGTGCGAAAATATGTCATATTGATATGTTATCTAAAAAAGTAGAGAGGAAACAAAACTCACTGGTATTGGGTTGATTTAAAGATGGCAGCAGCAGTCTCTCGTTTCAATTCTAGACTGGGCAGATATCTGTTCTTAAAACAGAGATATAATTTGTCTCAAAAACAAGTAATTAGTTTTTATCGTACCTAACGAAAGGTACGATATTGTAGTCAGCTGGGCGGTGGGCGGGCGGGTGGCGGGCGGGCGGGCGGGCGGCGTCTCACTTTTCAGCTTGTCTACAGGTTTCCAGCCAAACCATTTGAGGGATTCATCTGAAATTTTCAGGGATGTTTCTACATATCAACGTCAAGAACTGATTAGTTTTTGGGCATTCTGGGTAAATCTTAAGGGGGTCATTTTGGATTTCCGTCCTAAAATCTTTACTTTCAAGACTTGTCTACAGGTTTCCAGCCAAACCATTTGAGGGATTCATCTGAAATTTTTAGGGATGTTTCTACATATCAACGTCAAGAACTGATTAGTTTTTGGGCATTCTGGGTAAATCTTAAGGTGGCCATTTTGGATTTTCCGTCCTGAAATCTTCACTTTCAAGACTTGTCTACAGGTTTCCAGCCAAACCATTTGAGGGATTCATCTGAAATTTTCAGGGATGTTTCTACATATCAACGTCAAGAACTGATTAGTTTTTGGGCATTCTGGGTAAATCTTAAGGTGGCCATTTTGGATTTTCCGTCCTAAAATCTTCACTTTCAAGACTTGTCTACAGATTTTCAGCCAAACCATTTGAGGGATTCATCTGAAATTTTCAGGGATGTTTCTACTATCAACGTCAAGAACTGATTAGTTTTTGGGCATTCTGGTTAAATTTTAAGGTGGCCATTTTGGATTTTCCGTCCTAAAATCTTTACTTTCAAGACTTGTCTACAGGTTTCCAGCCAAACCTTTTGAGGGATTCATCTGAAATTTTCAGGGATGTTTCTACATATCAACGTCAAGAACTGATTAGTTTTTGGGCATTCTGGGTAAATTTTAAGGTGGCCATTTTGGATTTTCCGTCCTAAAATCTTTACTTTCAAAACTTGTCTACAGGTTTCCAGCCAAACCTTTTGAGGGATTCATCTGAAATTTTCAGGGATGTTTCTACATATCAACGTCAAGAACTGATTAGTTTTTTGGCATTCTGGTTAAATTTTAAGGTGGCCGTTTTGGATTTTCTGTCCTAAAATCTTCACTTTCAAGACTTGTCTACAGATATTCAGCCAAATCATTTGAGGGATTCATCTGAAATTTTCAGGGATGTTTCTACATATCAACGTCAAGAACTGATTGGTTTTTGGGCATTCTGGGTAAATTTTAAGGTGGCCATTTTGGATTTTCCGTCCTAAAATCTTCACTTTCAAGACTTGTCTACAGGTTTCCAGCCAAACCGTTCAAATTTTTACATATGTTACGCAGTGATAAGTTCTAGAGCTGATTAACTTTTCTGCGGCCATCTTGCTTTCTTGGTCAACAAGACCACAATGCTGTGTTTTAGGTACGATATTGTTCACGTCTGTGCCTTGTTATAAATACATGTAGCCGAGTTAATTTTGCTCAAAAAGACAAAACCATTCAAAAACTTATGAATAAGCAGCACTTGAAACTCATAAAAAGCTGCAATCTTAAAATCTCAACAGGATATGTAAGCTTGTAAAGAAGTTGTCATAAAAAGCATTACATGTACTCCCAGCCAAGTTGGTATTTGACCAAATTAACCCTTTCCCGACGTGAATATAAGAGGAAAATGTTGGCCCTGGTGACGGATAAGTAAGAGCAGTTTTTAGGGGAAAACTGAAAAATTACCTATGCCCAGGGACCTATACCTTGAATTTTATCACTGAAATACATTTTTTAGTAAGGACTATCGTATTAGAACAACTTGTCAAAATTTGGTGTAAAAATACTGAATAGAACTGGAGATATTATCATTTCATCGATGTATATAAATAAAAATTATGGTGCCAAAAGGAGCCTATCGTCCTGAAAGGTATTACACAATAGGGCTCCATATGGAGCCCATCGTCGTGAAAGGGTTAACTCAACATTTAAAATTGACATTAATCCATTAAATCTGTCACATTGCCAGGTTAAGGTAGTTTTACACGATGACAATTTCAAAGTACTTTTCATGATTTCGGCTTCTAATGATAAGTATAAAATGGTTAATTTTTGGCATTTTTGTGTTAATTTTTACACATATTAGGAGAATGCATAGTTCAAAATCAAAATTATTTGAATCAATAGAATTGAAAAGAAAGCCCTTATGATTCAACATTTTTGTTAAACTGTAGAGAGCCAGGCATTCACAATGTTTTCATATTTAACCTATGTAGAAATGAATAACATAGAAAAATCTTAAAAGTTGATAAAAAATATTTCATATTTTAAATGTGAGGTTGAGGGTTTAGAATAGGGTATGAAAATGAAATACATCTAATATTATGAAGGATGTGTATGTTGTTAATCATATACATATAGAACATACTGATTTGAAATTGTCAGCAAAATGACATTAGCTAATATAATGGAAGGTCTTTTTGCCATTTGAGGGATATAGGATAAGGCATAAAATATATGGTATGTTGCTTATGAATACATTTAAAAAAATGAAGAAATGCAAAAATTGAGGAAATGATTCATAACAACATAGTCGTCATACCAAATTATTTTTATTTTTTAACTATGTGTTCTATAATCAATATGTAAATATGTACATAAACATTTGAAAAGAATGACCCCTTTCATCAATTATTTGTGTTTGTAATTAATGAAAACTTCATGAAACTCTGACTACCATGTGGCTTTGCCTCAATGTTCCAGGTCAGGTTGTGTAAAACATGGTGAAGGTCTTAAAGTTATCATCATTTCTACAGTGGTTCTTGCCTTGGCTGTCACTGTAGCTCTAATCATACAGATATGTGTTGGACCCCCACAGGTAAGCCTTTGATATGGTGAAGGTCTTTAAGTTATCATTTCTACAGTGGTTTTGGCCTGGCTGTCACTGTAGCTCTTATCATACAGATATGTGTTGGACCCCCACAGGTAAGCCTTTGATATGGTGAAGGTCTTAAAGTTATCATCATTTCTACAGTGGTTCTTGCCTTGGCTGTCACTGTAGCTCTAATCATACAGATATGTGTTGGACCCCCACAGGTAAGCCTTTGATATGGTGAAGGTCTTAAAGTTATCATTTCTACAGTGGTTTTGGCCTGGCTGTCACTGTAGCTCTTATCATACAGATATGTGTTGGACCCCCACAGGTAAGCCTTTGATATGGTGAAGGTCTTTAAGTTATCATCATTTCTACAGTGGTTCTTGCTTTGGCTGTCATTGTAGCTCTTATCATACAGATATGTGTTGGACCCCCACAGGTAAGCCTTTGATATGTTAAAGGTCTTAAAGTTATCATCATTTCTACAGTGTTTTATGCATTGGCTGTCACTGTAGCTCTAATCATACAGATATGTGTTGGACCCCCACAGGTAAGCCTTTGATATGGTGAAGGTCTTTAAGTTATCATCATTTCTACAGTGGTTCTTGCCTTGGCTGTCACTGTATCTCTAATCATACAGATATGTGTTGGACCCCCAGAGGTAAGCCTTTGATATGGTGAAGGTCTTAAAGTGATCATCATTTCTACAGTAGTTCTTGCCTTGGCTGTCACTGTAGCTCTTATCATACAGATATGTGTAGGACCCCCACAGGTAAGCCTTTGATATGGTGAAGGTCTTTAAGTTATCATCATTTCTACAGTGGTTCTTGCTTTGGCTGTCATTGTAGCTCTTATCATACAGATATGTGTAGGACCCCCATAGGTAAGCCTTTGATATGTTAAAGGTCTTTAAGTTATCATCATTTCTACAGTGGTTCTTGCTTTGGCTGTCACTGTAGCTCTTATCATACAGATATGTGTTGGACCCCCACAGGTAAGCCTTTGATATGGTGAAGGTCTTTAAGTTATCATCATTTCTACAGTGGTTCTTGCTTTGGCTGTCACTGTAGCTCTTATCATACAGATATGTGTTGGACCCCCACAGGTAAGCCTTTGATATGGTGAAGGTCTTTAAGTTATCATCATTTCTACAGTGGTTCTTGCTTTGGCTGTCATTGTAGCTCTTATCATACAGATATATGTAGGACCCCCATAGGTAAGCCTTTGATATGTTAAAGGTCTTAAAGTTATCATCATTTCTACAGTGGTTCTTGCCTTGGCTGTCACTGTAGCTCTTATCATACAGATATGTGTTGGACCCCCACAGGTAAGCCTTTGATATGGTGAAGGTCTTAAAGTTATCATCATTTCTACAGTGGTTCTTGCCTTGGCTGTCACTGTAGCTCTTATCATACAGATATGTGTTGGACCCCCACAGGTAAGCCTTTGATATGGTGAAGGTCTTAAAGTTATCATCATTTCTACAGTGGTTCTTGCTTTGGCTGTCATTGTAGCTCTTATCATCCAGATATGTGTTGGACCCCCATAGGTAAGCCTTTGATATGTTAAAGGTCTTAAAGTTATCATCATTTCTACAGTGTTTTATGCATTGGCTGTCACTGTAGCTCTAATCATACAGATATGTGTTGGACCCCCACAGGTAAGCCTTTGATATGGTGAAGGTCTTTAAGTTATCATCATTTCTACAGTGGTTCTTGCTTTGGCTGTCATTGTAGCTCTTATCATACAGATATGTGTAGGACCCCCATAGGTAAGCCTTTGATATGTTAAAGGTCTTAAAGTTATCATCATTTCTACAGTGGTTCTTGCTTTGGCTGTCACTGTAGCTCTTATCATACAGATATGTGTAGGACCCCCACAGGTAAGCCTTTGATATGGTGAAGGTCTTTAAGTTATCATCATTTCTACAGTGGTTCTTGCTTTGGCTGTCACTGTAGCTCTTATCATACAGATATGTGTTGGACCCCCACAGGTAAGCCTTTGATATGGTGAAGGTCTTTAAGTTATCATCATTTCTACAGTGTTTTATGCATTGGCTGTCACTGTAGCTCTAATCATACAGATATGTGTTGGACCCCCACAGGTAAGCCTTTGATATGGTGAAGGTCTTTAAGTTATCATCATTTCTACAGTGGTTCTTGCTTTGGCTGTCACTGTAGCTCTTATCATACAGATATGTGTAGGACCCCCACAGGTAAGCCTTTGATATGGTGAAGGTCTTTAAGTTATCATCATTTCTACAGTGGTTCTTGCTTTGGCTGTCACTGTAGCTCTTATCATACAGATATGTGTTGGACCCCCACAGGTAAGCCTTTGATATGGTGAAGGTCTTTAAGTTATCATCATTTCTACAGTGGTTCTTGCTTTGGCTGTCACTGTAGCTCTTATCATACAGATATGTGTAGGACCCCCACAGGTAGGCCTTTGATATGGTGAAGGTCTTTAAGTTATCATCATTTCTACAGTGGTTCTTGCTTTGGCTGTCATTGTAGCTCTTATCATACAGATATGTGTAGGACCCCCATAGGTAAGCCTTTGATATGTTAAAGGTCTTAAAGTTATCATCATTTCTACAGTGTTTTATGCATTGGCTGTCACTGTAGCTCTAATCATACAGATATGTGTTGGACCCCCACAGGTAAGCCTTTGATATGGTGAAGGTCTTAACGTTATCATCATTTCTACAGTGGTTCTTGCCTTGGCTGTCACTGTAGCTCTTATCATACAGATATGTGTAGGACCCCCATAGGTAAGCCTTTGATATGTTAAAGGTCTTAAAGTTATCATCATTTCTACAGTGTTTTATGCATTGGCTGTCACTGTAGCTCTAATCATACAGATATGTGTTGGACCCCCACAGGTAAGCCTTTGATATGGTGAAGGTCTTTAAGTTATCATCATTTCTACAGTGGTTCTTGCTTTGGCTGTCACTGTAGCTCTTATCATACAGATATGTGTTGGACCCCCACAGGTAAGCCTTTGATATGGTGAAGGTCTTTAAGTTATCATTTCTACAGTGGTTTTGGCCTGGCTGTCACTGTAGCTCTTATCATACAGATAAGTGTTGGACCCCCACAGGTAAGCCTTTGATATGGTGAAGGTCTTTAAGTTATCATCATTTCTACAGTGGTTCTTGCCTTGGCTGTCACTGTAGCTCTTATCATACAGATATGTGTTGGACCCCTACAGGTAAGCCTTTGATATGGTGAAGGTCTTAAAGTTATCATCATTTCTACAGTGTTTTATGCATTGGCTGTCACTGTAGCTCTAATCATACAGATATGTGTTGGACCCCCACAGGTAAGCCTTTGATATGGTGAAGGTCATCATTTTGTCACCTTCCAGCTATATATTTGAGCGAACATGCAATTTTATGACAAGTAAGGTCTCTGAACAATTCATATACCAACAAATGTGATTTTATTCCTTTTCCAACGGGGCAAATCTTTTTGATAAAATCTTGATTGCATTTGATTGCAGACAAATATATGGAAGCATAGAGTATTTATAGCATAGTGATAACAACTAAAAATAAGTTGGAACCTGGCATTATTGATTTTTACCTATTATTTTTTTTGCATGTGTTGTCTTTTTGTTTTAATATTTCACTATTTTCCATGTTAATTTTGTGAAGTCATATGTGTCACCGTGTGTGTCTTTTAGAAAGAAACAGTAATCTGGCAGTACGTGTATAGATATTTATATGTAACCAAACCAACCACTTCATAGATATAGTAAAATGTACAGATTGGTAGGTCAAGTTAAAAGTGTTCAGATATAGTATATAGTTTTTAATGTAATTCCAGGTTCCACCTCATGGGGCAGTTGCTAGTGATGTTTCCGAATGTTCAATCATTGGAACTGATATTCTCAAAAAAGGTGGCTCTGGGGTTGATGCTGCCATAGCAACTACTTTCTGTGTTGGAGTTGTAAATAGTTTCGCTTCTGGAATAGGAGGGTAAGTACCAAATTAGAGAAAAGAGCAATTTTCTATTGTAAAATATTTTTTTGTAAAATCAAAATTAATTCCTGGACAACTTAAGTGTTTATGTGTAAAGTACATACAGTTTAAAATGTCAAAATGTTTGAAACGATTTAAAAATTGTATTTCCAGTGGTGGTTTTATGACAGTACATGAACATGGCATTCTTAAACCACACACCACTCGTGTCATCAACTTCAGGGAAACGGCACCAGCTGGGGCCTCCAAGAATATGTATGCAAACGATTACAATGCCTCATTGATAGTAAGTTTGCCAGTACAACACTTTCTTTGAAAATACAATGTTAAAAACATAATATAGTGATTTAACTTACAATTATTTTTTACAAACATCAATTTTTGAAGGAATCAATAGTAACAAAAATCTATTTCTTGATAGTGATCTGAGTATCTGTTGGTTGACATAGATCTTTAGCATGTGTTGACATAGATCTTTAGCATATGTTGACATAGATCTTTAGCATGTGTTGACATAGATCTTTAGCATGTGTTGACATAGATCTTTAGCATGTGTTGACATAGATCTTTAGCATGTGTTGACATAGATCTTTAGCATATGTTGACATAGATCTTTAGCATGTGTTGACATAGATCTTTAGCATATGTTGACATAGATCTTTAGCATGTGTTGACATAGATCTTTAGCATGTGTTGACATTGATCTTTAGCATGTGTTGACATTGATCTTTAGCATGTGTTGACATTGATCTTTAGCATGTGTTAACATTGATCTTTAGCATGTGTTGACATTGATCTTACAACATGTATTAGTTGATTGTGATGTAACATTAACTTGTGAACAGTGATTTGTCATATGTTTATTTCAGGGTGGGTTATCAGTAGGGATTCCAGGAGAATTGAAGGGCTTGGAGAAGGCGTATGATCTTTATGGGAAACTCTCATGGAAAGAGCTAGTGCTGCCCTCTGTTGGCGTTGCCAGAAATGGGTTCAAATGCAGTAAGACACTTGGTGAGAAATATTAAGTGATTTCATCTCAAATCATTCAATGAGTTACTACATGTACTTCAGTACTTAATTGTGTTAAAAGTGAATATTTAACAAAATGAAATTGTTATTTTCCCTTATTAAACGTATACATACACAAACTCTGAATGTAGTGTATGGTATAACGTGTGCTTAAATTTACCTGAGATACGGTTGCAAATTAGATGTCTTTTGTAGCCTGTCACTGGAATCCATTCATGAGTTATTCATGTGATATGGATACTCAATTTAAATGCTTAATGTGCCAAAGATATGTTCTAGGGGTTGAATAAATATTTGTACTATTTGATTATATACTGTTAGCTAACCATCCTCCATTTTATAAAATCATATGTTACAATATTGATAAATACATGCATAGGTTAAAGGTTTACCCTTAAACGATCAGGCTATAGAGAATTATACCAACGGTTAGGCCCCCCCCCCTATGATCTCGGAAACGGACAATCATATGAGGGTGTATTAGGTATCATTGGAACGGTTATTCAATTCCAAGTATTTTGAGCTTACTTATAACTATATTTAGCCATTATTAATGAAGAAATTCATATTCTAAGAACAAAAAGGTTTTTTGTTTCAAGTCAAAAATCTTACAATTTGGGCATTTTACTAATTTTGAACAGTTCTAAATTTCCTCCTAGGGGGTTAAAGTCACATTTCTTTTCGCTAAAACATGCCTAATTCAGTTTAAAGAAAAGCCAAAAAGTTTCAGGTCAAAGGAAAAACTACGAAAAAATTCCTGAGGCAGATCTGCCCCTCCCTAACTACATCGGTCATGATTATATTCTGACCTACACTGGATGAAGACTTCCTTAAAAGTTCCATGGAGTTTGGAGTAATATCTCTTTATTCACTGGTTGTCTTATTTGATTGGCATGGTTGTTTCAGCAAATCATACAAATAAAAATTTTACTTATATTATACAGATCTTTTTTGAAGACAACGGTCAGGCTAACCACGTTGCTATCATTCTTGTTTTATAGATATAAACTTTTACTGAATATTCCTTCCAGAGAATACTTTGAAACTGCGTGCAAACAAAGCCATGTTTTTGAAAAGCCCCATATTAAAAGAGTCTTTCATGAGAGATGAAGGAGCCAGGTTTGTACGTGAAGGGGAGGTTGTGAAAAGACCAGAACTGGCTAAGACTCTAGAGATTCTAGCAGAGAGTGGGGCAAGTGCCTTCTATGATGGAAGTCTAACTGATGGAATAATCTCAGCTGTAAGTTTTAATGTCCTTGAAAAGACTAGAGTTTTGTAAAAGTAGAGTTTACATGAATGTGTGAAAGCAGATTGTGTGATGTAATAATCTGTAAGCTTAGTTAATTACGGTATTCCACCGAATGAAGTGTGGTAGTGATATGGAGAAGCTTTTCATCAGTTAAAATTTCCAATATGGCCACTCAATTTTTAGTAACTGAAATACCGGATTTCAAGATGGCAGCTGAATTTCAAAATGGTCACCATTTTACATAAAAAAATTTAAATTTTGGTAACTCTCTTTGTTTATGCATATATGAATTACTGCGGTTCTAGAGACTTTGGAAAAACTGTTCTCCTTTTTAGGACTAATGTTCCTCTATTAATATGTTTGATAATAAAAAATATTTGCATCTGCCTAACAGGTGAAGAAGGAAGGAGGGATATTGACCAGAGATGACTTGAGGAAGTATGAAGTTGCCGTAGTAGACCCACTTATTACTACATATGAGGGTAAGCACTAGTTAAGGTTTATTGACTTGCTCAAAATAGTATTTTTGATTATTTGAAACTTAAAGTGGCAGCAAAGACTAGGGAATATAAAATGTGGGATGAAATCTTCAATAAAGGTTCAAATATGGATGTTTCAGGAGAACTAAGATGCAGATATTTCCTAATTTCAATTGAATTGATAGAGGGCAATCATCTTTTACCAAATACGAGGAGTGATCAATAAGTTGAAGCATGAACTGTCGAGAGACTGTCTAGTGTATGATTGTTTATTGAATGTTGCGAGCACAAGATATTATGACAATTTTTGAAAATTAACCTAAAGACAAAGTCTTTGTGTATGACCTCTTCCCTAACTATCACTCTTGTTTGAAATGTAACATCACATTTATAAATAGAATGTATTCCCAGTTCTGAACTATTTTACTTAATAAAAGTTTTAAATGTCTAGGTATTTGTTGTAATTTAGCTAATATGAGTCTGTTGAAAAATGGTTGCCATATTTCTTTTCTCTTTTCTTGTAGAGTATGAGGTTATGACAGCCCCACCCCCAAGTAGTGGTGCTTCCCTGCTACTTGCATTACACATGTTGGATCTGATGAATGTTACCCAAAAAGATGAAAATGCCACACAATTCTCACATAAGATGATTGAGGTAAACTTGAATTTAAGCGTGTGGCATGTACATTAGGGATCCCACGATTGCTCGATGCACCGATATAATCGTTAGAAATCACCTCCTATTCGATTAATCGATATGGATCCTCTATTTTCGATATTATCGATAATCGTTTTTCAAATCAACTTACCCGTTTTGTACATAAAAGAGCTCTATTAAACCAAAATTGACACAGCAAAAAATTTAAAAATAAAAAATATTTTGAAGAGCTAACATGACACGCCACATATTTTCGTGGTTCAAACCGAACGTGAACTTTTTAGCAATAAACGGATTTTCAATAATTTTGCGAACATTTGTGATTTTAGATGCCCTATGTGCATTTCCGCACCAAATATTATACCATTGATTATCTTAATACGTAATTAATGCGATAGGGCCCTAGACGTATCTTTATTTTAATGTTTTAAGATGTTATAGTATCTTTCCAATATGCGATTAATTTAGCGAACGACAATCAAATATGACGTTCGAATATTTAATGAATAGCGAAACCTCGGCGAGATTTAAATAAGTTTATAAGTAAATTATGATTTATAGGCATGTTTGCCTGTTAATCGATCATTGCAAGGGCCTCATTGTCCTTAGATGGTTACATAAAAGTTAAAAGTTCAAATTCAAGACTTATCTAAATCCCATAAATTTTCTGATATTCGTAATATGGAGACACTAATCTATTGCAATAAACACAACCCAAAGGGTAAGTGTGAGGTGTAGAGGTCTTTTAAAAACCCAACATTCAATAACAACACAACTTTCTATGCTCAGAAGGGTAACTGAATTTTTTCGCGGGGGACTCGACCCCCCCACCATGTATACTAGGTATACACAGACATTTGTAACATGAATATGTGTATCGAATCGTTTGTATCGAATCGTTTTCATAATATCGAGATACGTATCGAATCGAAAAAAATGTATCGTGGGATCCCTAATGTACATGTAGTACGCATCACTCTATTTAGTCTCTATTATATAGTCTGTAGATATACCTTACACTGTTTTGATGGTAAAACAATCTGGAATACTTAATGCGCTGGTGGTTTTAACAACATAAGGCGAAATGCAGAAAATAAAAATGGAAAATTTAAAGGCACAAACATTTATTAGTTTAAGAAACAATTAACCAATATTTAAAATATTGAACTTACATCCAAAAAATAATGTTTAATATCCCCCTCCCACCATTCACAAATCATTATCAACAGTTCAAAACCAAAAGATTACAGTATGGGATTATTATGGAAAATTGAATTATCAAATGGTCATGTAGTGTGACCTGACCAATCACAGTATGTGACATGATCTGACCAATCACAGTATGTGGCATGATCTGACCAATCACAGTATGTGGCATGACCTGACCAATCACAGTATGTGGCATGATCTGACTAATCACAGTATGTGGAATGACCTGACCAATCACAGTATGTGGCATGACCTGACCAATCACAGTATGTAGCATAATCTGACCAATCACAGTATGTGGAATGACCTGACCAATCACAGTATGTGGCATGACCTGACCAATCACAGTATGTGACATGATCTGACCAATCACAATATGTGGCAATGGCATGACCTGACCAATCACAATATGTAACATGATCTGACCAATCACAGTATGTGGCATGACCTGACCAATCACAGTATGTGGCATGACCTAACCAATCACAATATGTGGAATGACCTGACCAATCATAGTATGTGGCATGACCTGACCAATCACAGTATGTGGCATGACCTGACCAATCACAGTATGTGACATGATCTGACTAAGTACAGTCCATCATTATAGTTTGAGATTTGATGATCCATATTATTTAAATTTTTTCAGATGTTCAAGTTTGTGTATGGTGAACGAGGGACCCTGGGAGATGAGTCTCCCGAAGTTCATAGCCGGGTAGAGGAAATGTTAAAGTATGTAGAAAACTCAATACTAATTTAAAAAATAATAATTGTTGTTTTTATAAAAGATTCTCAAATAAATCTAACATGCATTGAATATATTTAGTCACTTCACATGACTTACATATCACATATTTGTGTAGGAGCATGATATTTCCTTTGCTTCTCAGTCTCACATCAGGAATTGAATATTTTTCCAGTACAAGTTTTGCTGCAGAACTTTTGGCAAAAATAGACCCATCAAAGACGCATGATCTTCAATTTTACATTCCAAAGTATAAAGCAGCTCCATCTGGTGGTACGTCGCAGATATCAGTGATCAGTCCTGATGAACAACTGGTCTCCATAACATCGTAAGTTGAAAGTCACTATTATTGTATGAACAATTATTTCAAAAGAGAGCATAATCTAAAGGATTTAGGGCCTTGGTGAAGTTTACTTTATCAACAATGTATTGTAGGTCTATGAATTGGTGGTTTGGCTCCCATGTGATTACAGACTCCGGGATTCTACTGAACAATCAAATGAATGACTTCAACATTCCTGGACGCCCCACAGCTAATGAGTCACTCTTTAATCCAGTAAGTCTTTTTCAAAATCATATATATTTGCATCTGTTAAAACATTGTATCACATATTTATAATATCAATATGTTCCCAAACCAACCTGTTACCTGTCAAATTTCAATACATGTATGTTCCAATCCAATTTGTAGGATAAGAATAGGAATTGCATGTAAATTGCACCCATAGACATTCTAAACCTCAAATTATTGACCCAGAATAACCTCAGATTCCAGACATGTATAACAACAAGACCGATGCGTCGTCCATAAATGGGAGATAATAAATCATCCCTGAATCATAACCCCTTCCCATTACAACATCTTAGTATATTATTTGATGTCTTATTACAGGCCAATGGCATTCCCATTACAACATCTTAGTATATTATTTGATGTCTTATTACAGGCCAATGGCATTCCCATTACAACAACTTAGTATATTATTTGATGTCTTATTACAGGCCAATGGCATTCCCATTACAACAACTTAGTATATTATTTGATGTCTTATTACAGGCCAATGACATTCCCATTACAACAACTTAGTATATTATTTGATGTCTTATTTCAGGCCAATGGCATTCCCATTACAACAACTTAGTATATTATTTGATGTCTTATTACAGGCCAATGGCATTCCCATTACAACATCTTAGTATATTATTTGATGTCTTATTACAGGCCAATGGCATTCCCATTACAACAACTTAGTATATTATTTGATGTCTTATTACAGGCCAATGACATTCCCATTACAACAACTTAGTATATTATTTGATGTCTTATTTCAGGCCAATGGCATTCCCATTACAACATCTTAGTATATTATTTGATGTCTTATTACAGGCCAATGGCATTCCCATTACAACAACTTAGTATATTATTTGATGTCTTATTACAGGCCAATGGCATTCCCATTACAACAACTTAGTATATTATTTGATGTCTTATTACAGGCCAATGACATTCCCATTACAACAACTTAGTATATTATTTGATGTTTTATTACAGGCCAATGACATTCCCATTACAACAACTTAGTATATTATTTGATGTCTTATTACAGGCCAATGACATTCCCATTACAACATCTTAGTATATTATTTGATGTCTTATTACAGGCCAATGACATTCCCATTACAACATCTTAGTATATTATTTGATGTCTTATTACAGGCCAATGACATTGCCCCAGGGAAGAGCCCTCTATCTACAATGATTCCAACTGTTTTACACTCAAAGAAGCCATGTGGTCTTAGAATTGCTATAGGAGGGGAAGGGAGCACTGCAATACTAGGAGGTAGTATGAGAATAACAGAAAGATAAAGTCAAACCTGTTTTGGTGGAATGCCTTTGGTACTTGTGCTCACTTGGTGGAGTTCTATTTACAGTGGTTCATTTTAATGAGTAACAGAACCTGTTTTTGTGGAATGCCTTTGGTACTTGTGCTCACTTGGTAGAGTTCTATTTACAGTGGTTCATTTTAATGAGTAACAGAACTTTGACTTTTCTTCAACTTTATAGGTTTTATGTTATATAGAACATTCAGTAACTATGGTAGATACTAGTTTTCTTTGATTCAGAATCATGGACAGAATTTGTCAAAATTTCAACATTTTGCAGAATACCTTATTTTTCATTAAATTCCATCCCAATTCCATCATGTGTTTTTTTCGCTAAAGTGGTCGGCAGTTCCTTCCTTGAAATAGTATAGTTTCTAAATAGCTAAATAAAGCTGAATAAAGCTGACATAATAGATGTCACCGTTGTTCATCTTGGGCCAACCTTCCTTTTAGTTCTATGCTAAAAGCTTGCAATAGTCACTTAATTTCATGATTTATCAAAGAGTGCTAGTTAAATCTGTCTGAAACTTGAATGGCATACTATTAAATTATCCTGTCAATGAACATATTGTGATTAAACATGAAAATGTTGGTTGTCATACGATTAAACCATGGTTTTAAAGAATTTTTTAAAATGTCATGGAGAATGATTTAAATGACATAAATGTGTAAATCAAAGCTATTATTGTAGGAAACATATCACTGAATTCAGATATGCTATTAAAAAGAAAGAAAAGTAAGTCCTTAGAGGTAAAATGTGAAAATCTCATGAAAAAACGAGAATTAGCGAGATTTCAAAATCATTTAGAAACTCCTCTATTGATCATTGGTTTCCAGGCTAATATAATGAATCTGCTTTTATATACAAATAGGAACAGACTTGGCCAATTATAATTTTTCTAGATATTATTATACAAATTGGTAACCATTGTGAATTTGTTTTAGCTGTGGTTGATGTTTTACTGGGCTTTACAAAGTTTGGTATGACCATCTCTGATGCGATCGAGGCACCAAGGTTGTTCAACACACTATCACCCAACAAAGTACAATATGAAGGTATGCATGGCTTAATTCACGAATCTGTTAAAATTGATGATAAAAATAATGTTATATTTTGTTATATTTTTGTCACTTTGACTTCATGTGGTGTTTATGACACTTGACTTCACCCTATACAGACTGAGCTATTCAGAAAATAAATTTAAAAAAAATTATATTTCCTTAAAATAGCACTATTCAAAAAATCTTGCATTTATTGTTGCTTCCGGAGGGATTGTTTGAGGGATAATATTAGACCAATATTTTGGCTGTCAACGTTATGGCTTGAGTATTGTTTGTATTATTATTTCAGATGGAATATCAAGCTCTATCATAGAATACCTAAAAGGACTTGGCCACCAGGTGGGGCTACTGGAGTCTGACCATAAGAACATTGTAAATGCAGTTCTCAAGGTCGATAGAGATATACAAGGACATGCAGACTCTAGAAAAGGCGGAGCTGCTTCTATATTCTAATATTGTATTAGTACTAAAGGTCGATAAAGATATACAAGGACATGCAGATTCTAGAAAAGGCGGAGCTGCTTCTATATTCTAATATTGTATTAGTACTCTATTATTTTAGTACTGCACTCTACTATTTATGCTATCATTCCTAGAGAACAATACTCAATACCATGATCCCATCATACAATGCTATATCCCAGCATGCAACACTCTAGTATTCTGTTCCAAGATGCATTCTGGGCCTACAGTGTATCATAGGATGCAGTGCTCTATCCCAGGATGCATTGCTTTTTTTCTGAAATGCAGGATTCTGTCAGGATGTCAGCTCTGTATCCCAGGATGATAAACTAGAATGTAGTATAGAGTTGTAGTGTTATATCACAGTATGCTGTACTCTATCCCATCATGCAATGCATTGTATCCCAAGTTGCAGCAGTCTATGAATGTGATGCTCTATCCCACAATGCAATGCTCTTTCAAAGGGTGTAATACTTTCAACGGACCACAGGATGCAACACTTATCACAGAATACAGGAACTTGATTGATCGATTGTTAACTTGCTCGGAATAGAAGAACTATTTGAAGTCTTACATGTAAGAATCTCTAAAACTTGACAAATGCAGTTGTAATTTGTTATACGGAATAAAGACCGAGATTTTATGATTTATGACGTAATGTATGACCGAAAGTTTAATTCTGTTCTTTGTTAAAAGGCCGAAATTGCGTGGCGATTGAGGTCTTTGGCAATGGCCAGAATAAATTTGAGGTCATATATTTGATATAAATGATAAAATCAAGGTCTTTGTTACAATTCTAATATCTGATAAGCAGACAAGAAACACAACTATTTGCATTTATGAATTTTAGTGGTCATACTACTTACTCGTCATACTCCACTATAGACCAGTAAATCAATTGTTTTAGCTATTGTGATGTCACCTATCATATTAGAATCTCTACCGAATATACTTAACAGAAGAACTATTTGAAGTCTTAAGAATCTCTGTATGGCTGTAGAGGGGAGGGGGGTTCTGTGTGTGATATCTTATATACTAGTACTCATCAGATGATGTACATTATAAGCAAGATGCAGTTTTTATTATTTCATAGCACAGTGTATCTGAAATCTTGCTGTTCAGCTTGATATATACTTTTGAGTAATATCATATTTATCCACTTGTTGATATCAATATCTAGGTGAGTAAATGCAGAGAATGAGTGGAGATATTGAAATCAGTGAGTGGGATATCATGAAAAAATCATAGAATGTTCAATTTATCCCATTTAAGAACTTACATGACTAATAATGCATTCCAAAATAGTAGTAATTTAAAATTTATTTTAATCACAATGTAGCAATGCACACAACATTGACACACAATGCACACAACATTGACACACAATGCACACAACATTGACACACAATGCACACAACATTGACACACAATGCACACAACATTGACACACAATGCACACAACATTGACACACAATGCACACAACATTGACACATAATGCACACAACATTGACACACAATGCACACAACATTGACACACAATGCACACAACATTGACACACAATGCACACAACATTGACACACAATGCACACAACATTGACACACAATGCACACAACATTGACACACAATGCACACAACATTGACACACAATGCACACAACATTGACACACAATGCACACAACATTGACACACAATGCACACAACATTGACACACAATGCACACAACATTGACACACAATGCACACAACATTGACAGGAATTTTCAAATCTTTGGAAAAGTGTTACTACCTCATATATTGGAATATTCATGTAAAGTCTATATACAAATGTTAGAAACTTTATATTGTAATTGTAAAGAGACTTTAATGACCCCCTGTGTAATGTAAAATGTATACAATGTAATGTAAAATGTATACAATGCTTAGTGTAGAAGGTAATCTTGCCTTATTATATTATTATTTTACAATATCATGTTTAGTATAGAAATGTATGTAACATTCCAGGCGCTTTTATTATTGTATTTTAACATGAAACGTTGCATAATACTTCTTGGCCTTGAGGATTATATTATGGCCAGGTCATAATTTATGTTTTTATTTAACTTAGTTAATTACAACTGTGAACAGATTGAACATTGAAACTTAACAATATTATAACATGAACTTATTATTTTGTCCACTCAGTGTTTTTTGTTGGACGCCCCTAGGGGGTGTAATAAGGTATAAGTGCTTCGCCAAAATTTTACAGAACATACTAATTCAGTCATTTTCTAGAGTGATAACGAGCAGTATGAGTTTCCAGTCAATTTATGCAAGTTCATGTTCTAAGTTGGAAGGCTATCATTAAATATTTTCTAACAAACCAGTTCATTGTCTCAATATACAATAATATACATGTAATATTAAAGTGTTACATTTCATTTTAAATAATAAAATATTTGAACTGAACAAAACATGTTTCATAACTATTCATTGCTACCTACTTGTATGCTGAAATTAGACAGCAGAAACTCCAAAATATCAAATTGGGACTTTGAAGGTGCAACATTTCACTCAGAATCAAAAGTAAGAAACAGCTTTCATACATGTACCTAATATCAACCAGCATGACTGCCACGAATATTTTGGCCACTGCTTGTTTAAGAAGTGCATCATCAGTCATTGAATTACAACATTGGAGATGTTAGAAAGGAAAACAAATAAGTATTTTAGCCAGTGGTTCGAAGTACCCAAAAGCTTCAGTAGTGCAGGATTCTACATGCTTCACCTGCTAATCATCAAAGCATTTACAGATGTTGACTGTGTCAGAGCATGATGATGAAAATTCGCCTGTGTTTAATAGGCTTTCATAGCTTAATATTTCTTACCTTTCAAAATCTCTATTATTAACTTTGTTTGAAAAATATCGAGCCAACTCAAATGAACGAAATAGGAAGATTTGTTTGGCAAAAAATCCCGGGGGTGAATACCAATTTTGTGAGAGGAATTGGGAGGTGAATAAGATTTTCGTGAACGGGATTGAGCGGGACAATACAAAGTCTTTTAATATGAAAAATATTCCCGGGTGTTATTCACCGGGAAGTAGTTGTATCATGGGATAGATAATGATAGGCCCGGGGGTAGGCCATTCAATATGGTGACATTCAGCACTCGTTGAACAGAATGTAACCGAAGGTGAGTGCATTTATACTGTCACATTTTGTTCAACGAGTGAAAATGTACATACATGTACTTATTTAAAATAGTAAGACCCAATTATTGATTCGGCTCAAGCATAAAACGGATGTGTGATACTACCGGTTGATCCTATTCTCAGAACTATAAAACCATAGAATGTCTACATAAACAATGGAGAAAAGACTAGTTAATGATTTCAATTGACCAGAAAATATTTCAAATGAATCTTTATGAAACCCACATCTCACTTTTTTCATCATTCTTACCTTATTAAAATTTCGATTTTGTTAATTATTAGATTAAGCAAGAAAATAAGTAGAATAAATGAGCCATGTTTTTCTGAATACATATTGTAATAAAACGCTATATATAAATGTAAAAAATTACTGCTCAAATAATAAAAAAATCAAATGAAGTACTGTTGACAGTTAAGGTCACGTGACCATAAATAATGACCTGTTATTGGTCAGACAATGCTCTTGAATAATGTTCATTAATTCAAATAACGATGGTTTTGAAACAAGGACACCAAAAGTATAGTATCACACGACCAGGAATACTTTACTGTGATTAGTGGAGCACAAAATTCCACATGGCCTTATAAATAGTGCCCTGTAATTGGTTAGACAATGCTCTTGTGTAATACTAATATAAATGCAAAATAAGAACATCAACACGTACATCACAATATCATGAATAATGTAATGAATGATGTAATGTGATTCGTGGAGTGGGCAAATAATGTCACATGGCCATGAATACTGATTTGTGATTGGTCAGAAAATGCTCTTGAATAATACTTTTATTGATGCAAAATAAGAACATCAACACGTACATCACAATATCATGAATAATGTAATGAATGATGTAATGTGATTCGTGGAGTGGGCAAATAAGACACATGGCCATGAATACTGATTTGTGATTGGTCAGAAAATGCTCTTGAATAATACTTTTATTAATGCAAAATTGAGACACCAACACTTATATCAGAATATCAAAAAAAAGACACATGACCATGAATAACGTTCTATGAATGGTCAGACAATGCTCTTGAATAATACTTATTAATGCAAAATAATGATGGTTTTGCAACAAGGACACCAAAACCTATATAGATAGACAATGTTCTTGAATAATACTCATTAATGCAAAATAATGATGGTTTTGCAACAAGGACACCAAAACCTATATAGATAGACAATGTTCTTGAATAATACTCCTTAATGCAAAATAATGATGGTTTTGCAACAAGGACACCAAAACCTATATAGACAATGTTCTTGAATAATACTTATTAATGCAAAATAATGATGGTTTTGCAACAAGGACACCAAAACCTATATAGATAGACAATGTTCTTGAATAATACTCATTAATGCAAAATAATGATGGTTTTGCAACAAGGACACCAAAACCTATATAGATAGACAATGTTCTTGAATAATACTCATTAATGCAAAATAATGATGGTTTTGCAACAAGGACACCAAAACCTATATAGATAGACAATGTTCTTGAATAATACTCATTAGATAGACAATGTTCTTGAATAATACTCATTAATGCAAAATAATGATGGTTTTGCAACAAGGACACCAAAACCTATATAGAAAGACAATGTTCTTGAATAATACTGATTAATGCAAAATAATGATGGTTTTGCAACAAGGACACCAAAACCTATATAGATAGACAATGTTCTTGAATAATACTCATTAATGCAAAATAATGATGGTTTTGCAACAAGGACACCAAAACCTATATAGATAGACAAAGTTCTTGAATAATACTCATTAATGCAAAATAATGATGGTTTTGCAACAAGGACACCTAAACCTATATAGATAGACAATGTTCTTGAATAATACTCATTAATGCAAAATAATGATGGTTTTGCAACAAGGACACCTAAACCTATATAGATAGACAATGTTCTTGAATAATACTTATTAATGCAAAATAATGATGGTTTTGCAACAAGGACACCAAAACCTATATAGATAGACAATGTTCTTGAATAATACTTATTAATGCAAAATAATGATGGTTTTGCAACAAGGACACCAAAACCTATATAGATAGACAATGTTCTTGAATAATACTCATTAATGCAAAATAATGATGGTTTTGCAACAAGGACACCAAAACCTATATAGATAGACAATGTTCTTGAATAATACTCATTAATGCAAAATAATGATGGTTTTGCAACAAGGACACCAAAACCTATATAGATAGACAATGTTCTTGAATAATACTCATTAATGCAAAATAATGATGGTTTTGCAACAAGGACACCAAAACCTATATAGATAGACAATGTTCTTGAATAATACTTATTAATGCAAAATAATGATGGTTTTGCAACAAGGACACCAATACCTATATAGACAATGTTCTTGAATAATACTTATTAATGCAAAATAATGATGGTTTTGCAACAAGGACACCAAAACCTATATAGATAGACAATGTTCTTGAATAATACTCATTAATGCAAAATAATGATGGTTTTGCAACAAGGACACCAAAACCTATATAGATAGACAATGTTCTTGAATAATACTTATTAATGCAAAATAATGATGGTTTTGCAACAAGGACACCAAAACCTATATAGATAGACAATGTTCTTGAATAATACTCATTAATGCAAAATAATGATGGTTTTGCAACAAGGACACCAAAACCTATATAGATAGACAATGTTCTTGAATAATACTCATTAATGCAAAATAATGATGGTTTTGCAACAAGGACACCAAAACCTATATAGATAGACAATGTTCTTGAATAATACTTATTAATGCAAAATAATGATGGTTTTGCAACAAGGACACCAAAACCTATATAGATAGACAATGTTCTTGAATAATACTCATTAATGCAAAATAATGATGGTTTTGCAACAAGGACACCAAAACCTATATAGATAGACAATGTTCTTGAATAATACTCATTAATGCAAAATAATGATGGTTTTGCAACAAGGACACCAAAACCTATATAGATAGACAATGTTCTTGAATAATACTCATTAATGCAAAATAATGATGGTTTTGCAACAAGGACACCAAAACCTATATAGATAGACAATGCTCTTGAATAATACTCATTAATGCAAAATAATGATGGTTTTGCAACAAGGACACCTAAACCTATATAGATAGACAATGTTCTTGAATAATACTTATTAATGCAAAATAATGATGGTTTTGCAACAAGGACACCAAAACCTATATAGATAGACAATGCTCTTGAATAATACTCATTAATGCAAAATAATGATGGTTTTGCAACAAGGACACCAAAACCTATATAGATAGACAATGTTCTTGAATAATACTCATTAATGCAAAATAATGATGGTTTTGCAACAAGGACACCAAAACCTATATACGGTAGATAGACAATGTTCTTGAATAATACTCATTAATGCAAAATAATGATGGTTTTGCAACAAGGACACCGAAACCTATATAGATAGACAATGTTCTTGAATAATACTCATTAATGCAAAATAATGATGGTTTTGCAACAAGGACACCAAAACCTATATATATTGGACAATGTTCTTGAATAATACTCATTAATGCAAAATAATGGTGGTTTTGCAACAAGGACACCAAAACCTATATAGATAGACAATGTTCTTGAATAATACTCATTAATGCAAAATAATGATGGTTTTGCAACAAGGACACCAAAACCTATATAGATAGACAATGTTCTTGAATAATACTCATTAATGCAAAATAATGATGGTTTTGCAACAAGGACACCAAAACCTATATAGATAGACAATGTCCTTGAATAATACTCATTAATGCAAAATAATGATGGTTTTGCAACAAGGACACCAAAACCTATATAGATAGACAATGTTCTTGAATAATACTCATTAATGCAAAATAATGATGGTTTTGCAACAAGGACACCAAAACCTATATAGATAGACAATGTTCTTGAATAATACTTATTAATGCAAAATAATGATGGTTTTGCAACAAGGACACCAAAACCTATATAGATAGACAATGTTCTTGAATAATACTCATTAATGCAAAATAATGATGGTTTTGCAACAAGGACACCAAAACCTATATAGATAGACAATGTTCTTGAATAATACTTATTAATGCAAAATAATGATGGTTTTGCAACAAGGACACCAAAACCTTTATAGATAGACAATGTTCTTGAATAATACTCATTAATGCAAAATAATGATGGTTTTGCAACAAGGACACCAAAACCTATATAGACAATGTTCTTGAATAATACTCATTAATGCAAAATAATGATGGTTTTGCAACAAGGACACCAAAACCTATATAGACAACGTTCTTGAATAATACTCATTAATGCAAAATAATGATGGTTTTGCAACAAGGACACCAAAACCTATATAGACAATGTTCTTGAACAAGGCTCAATGTCCTTGTAATTCTACACTAAATGTGACTCTCGATGTTGCATAATATGACGTTTAAACAAGGAAACCACTGTCCTTGTATTAGAAAACGACATGCAATTCCAAGTTGTTATTTTTGATATGGTTTGAATTTATGCTTCCATCTTTGTCATTCTCCATTTTTTGTATCGTTAAAACTCCATCAGTTCTATTTATATCATCAAATCAATGTTTTTCTTACGTGGTTTCATATTCATTTAGTGCCGTTTCTTCGATCAAGGAAAGAGCTCCAACTGGATTTATCGTTTCATCACACATGTCATTTTCAACCCCTTGAAGAGTTCCTTGAACTATAACTCCTTCCTCCTCCCCAACTGGTGGGCCCATTGCAGTCCATTGAGGCATGGTCCCATCACTGTCAGTTGATGATCCAGTTTTCTGAGGAAGAAAGCAAAAGAAATTAAAAGAAATCCTAACAAACTCCTACAAATAAGTAATGGACGCTTTTTTACACAGATACTTTTTATAGACCAATCCCTTTGATTTTCCTACCAGTGATACATCGTTCAATGATCTATCAGTTCTGAAGATTTGAAGACAAAATATGAAATACATGTTGATATATCCTTATCTCCGTGAAGGAGGTACAAGTACCCCGAGACCGACATTTACGTCACATATTCAGTTTTTAGCCAGTTTGGTATATTTTAGTTAGATTTGAACTTTTTATATGCAACAAGAGTTGTGTTGTTTGAAATTTTTTGCTGACTGGTAAAACATAAACAGAGAGTATTGTGATGTCAGAGTGTTGTATGGAAGGGGTTTGCAGGTCAATTTGAGAAAGCATTGTGGAAGAAAGGGGTGGTGAGAGAAGGGAACACCCTACTCCATATGGACAATGCACCTGCCCACAGATCTCAAAATGTTCAAAAAACAATATCCATGGACCTCAAAATTGAGCCCTTGGCCAATGCACCATATTGTCCAGATCTGCTCACATGTGACTTGTTTATTTCTATACGACTTATTTCTATAGAGAAAGGACGCAGGTTTATTGACATTGATGAAATAAAACAACCCGTGCAACTGCATCTTGCTACCATGTCAGAGAATGGATTCAGACTTGTTTCGCAATCTTGAGTTAAGAGGATGAGGAATTGTGTACTTGTAGCACTTGATGGAACCTATTTAGAGGACCCTGTGGAATGAATGTGGCATGAATACCACATAGTGATGATAAAATATTCAAAATTAACTAAGGCATAACAAAATGGGGTAATTCATGACCATAATGGTTTGTTTTGTTCAGCCTGCATTCAACTGGATTGCATGTTAAACAAGCTAAAATAGCTTCAGAATATGTGACGTAAATGTCGGTCCCGGGGTACCTGTACCTCCTTCACGGAAATAAGGATATATCGACATGTATCATATATTTTGTCTTCAGATCTTCAGAATTGATAGATAATTGAATGCTCTATCCCTGGTAAGAAAATCGAAGGGATTGGTCTATAAAAAGCATCTGTGTAAAAAAGCGTCCATTACTTATTGATCACCCCTCGTATTTAAGCTATCAAAGGTAAATAATTACATGTAGGATTTGAGTTGAAAAATTAAAATTGAAATTCTTGTTTGTAAGTTAAGTTAAACTTTATATACCACGATCTGGTAGTAATCCCTGTCTTCATCTAGACTAAAGTCCAAATAATCATCATTGGAGTTCATCATCTGCTCCAAAGATTGTTTCAATTCGGCAAAGGTCGGTCTGTCTTTTGGATTCTCCTTCCAACACTGCGTCATTATGTCATACCTTAGAAAAAACGACTGGAATTCACGTGATCGATGATGATATCGTATTATATGGTAACTAACTTAAAATAAAAATAACATGTATTTTGGTTGCTTTGACGTTTTAAAGATATCAGAAAAATGTATCTTACAGAGCATCTGGACAATTTTCTGTCTTTTCCATCCTAAAGCCTTGTTGTAATTCCTTCAGGAGGTCTTTGTTTGCAATAGTAGGATAAGGTGTACCACCCATAGTAATTATCTCGAAGAGAACAATGCCAAATGACCACCTTGCAATCAGAGATTGTAATAATGTAATACATTCATTAGTGTTAAAACGCTTCAATATCGATAATATATTAGCTACGATCTCATTTATAGTATGTGATAATAATTTTTATACGAGGGATGATCAATAAGTAACGGACGCTTTTTTATTACACATATGCTTTTTACAGACCAATCCCTTCGATTTTCTTACAAGTGATTCATCATTCAATTATCTATCAATTCTGATGATCTGAGAACAAAACATGTAATGTATTTTGATATATCTAAGAAGCTATAGGTACGAACACTTGTCGCATATAAAAAAGTTCAAATCTAACTGAAAGGAGTGGTATTGATATGGAGAACTTTTTGAACACACGTGTCTCTTAAACCTGTCATAAAAATCTAAAAATTTATTACATCGTCAATTTAGTGGTCATCTTTTGAATGGTAACAATATAATTTAAAAAATATATAAATACTTTCATCTGTATTGTTTTAGAAAACACACCAAACACTTGTTTTGTTTTTGGTATCATGTTTCCAGAGTGAAATGAAACATCTTTCAGAACCTCATTGGAACAAAACGACATAAACACAACATGTTTAGGTCTCTCAATATTGTAATTGTACAAAGGAAATTTTGGTTGATTTTAAAAAAGCATCTTTTAAAAAAGGTTTGTCTTGATTTTTATCTATTTTGGGGGGATTTTGCTTAAATTTTTGGAAAACTTTTTTAAAATCAACCAAAAATTCCTTTGTATAACTATAATATTGAGAGGTCTAAAAACATGTTGTATATGCTATTTTGTTCCAACAAGGTTCGGAAAGACATTTTATTTCATTCTCAAGAATTGGTAGAAAGGACTAAAAACAATTGCACTAAAAAAACAAAAAATATTAACAAAAACAGTTATATAAAATATTTCTAAATAATTTTCGCATTAAATTGTTGTCAATCAGTCAAAATTACATTAAATACCGTGTTTTTACAGAATGTTTTCAATGATTGGGAGAAAAACATTGTTGAATTCAGTTCTCCATATCGATACCACTCCTTTGCCAAACTGGCTAAAAACTGAATATGTGACGTAAATGTCGGTCCCGGGGTACCTGTACCTCCTTCACGAAAATAAGGATATATTAAGATGTTTTATATATTTTGTCTTCAATTCTTCAGGATTGATAGATAATTGAATGATGTATCACTGGTAGGAACATTAAAGGGATTGGTCTATAAAAAAGCGTCCATTACTTATTGATCACCCCTTGCGCAAATTAGGCTAACATGATATAGATATAAACATTTACACAAAATGAAACTACTATAAGAATTAAAGAGGCTCTATGCCATAGGATAGCACAATCAACACCCCTCTGGACCTTTTTGCATATTGAGTTTCACCACATATTCACCCATCTACTTACCTTAGAAAAAGTCCCAAATCCCCCTCTTTCAGTGTAAATTTTGCGATTGTGCTGGCCGATCTAATTATTTTCGCGGGAATTAATTTAATCTGAAGTTTAAATATACCGGGAAAGTCCTCCTGTCATTTGATTGGTCGTTGAATTTGTTTATCCTGAACCTGATTGGCTGCCTGGTTCAAGGCGCTTGTGGGCGCTTGTGTGACGCAATATGCAATGGGGATTCCCCTCGCTAGCCGAGGAATTGATTGTGTTTAATTCTGGAGGTTGGTTGTTCTGTTGATTATTTCAATATTTCGGCAATAATATACCATAAGGTTATTCTCAGGATATATCCATGGTATATCAGATATTATATGAGCAATAACAATAGGACATCGTTGATTGTCTGAGGGAGAAACCTATAGTATAATGCATCTTTAAGATTTGTAAAGCAAGCGGTGCAGAACTTTTTGATCAACCCTCGTAATATGAGGATATACATATACATTTTTATTGTGATTGTTCAAAAAATGACAAATCTAATGATTTCTTGAATATATAAACAGAACTAATCATACAAAAGTGGACTCCGGTGGAAGCCGGATGCACTTACACATCACTTGCTGTTGTGAAGTTCAGATCAAATATGGCTTCAATTGACATCCATTTCAATGGAAGTTTCCCCCCTTTCTTTGGCGCATAGACATTGTCTGCGTATACACTTCTGGTAAGGCCAAAGTCACTTATTTTAGCATTTCTGTTGTCTATTAGAACATTTCTGGCAGCAAGATCACGATGAACAAATCCTTTCCCACTGAGATACTCCTACGAGGGCATAGAGAATAGTATTAGTCGACTTGGCTGGTTGTTTACGCGTATTCTATTTTTTAACATTGCATGATTTTGAAATTTTTTGCCAAAAAATGTTTGAATAACACAACGGATGACATATCTTTCAATTCAAATTCGTTTCAAGTGCAGTGCAAGTTTCGCAACATTCCGCGTTTCCATTTGTCCAACAGACTACAAGAATGATACACTATGAATTTACATCTTACCATCCCCAAAGCAATTTGTCGTGCAAGAGAGAGAAGGTCTAACAGCCCTATTTCATCGTGATTTTTATCCACCGATTTGGATTGTGGAGAAATACCTTCATTAATATAATTGTTTAAAATGTCACATTCGTCTCTTTCATCATATACTTGTGCAATGTCATGCTTGGGGTCATCTATATAATTTGAAATGTCCTTCATATCGGCAGACATTGTTAGTATAGGATGCTCATGTTTGAACGCCATCTAAATGTAGACAAAGCCAATTATACCAAAAATACTTGCAGTTGACGTATTTACGTCTCATACTATCATAATTGATAATGATGGACATGTAGCTCCGTAATGTACCATAGGGTATTTTTCATCAACACACAACATAAGTATATTCATTTTACATTCATCCTAGTTTTGTCGTGCTGATGCACTGTATCAGTCTTGTTTTTAATATTTTCTTTCCAGTAAGTACTGACAAAAGTAATGCATGTACTCACGTCGACACGATGTTTTCTCAAGAAATGTTGCAAGTCCCCTTGAGGCACATACTCCACAATGAGGCACAATGGTTCGCAAATTGTACAAGCCCCAACCATGCTGACAACATTAGGGTGAGTTCCTATCTTCTTCATTAAATTGATTTCTTTCCTAAACTCATCCTTGGCGGAATCCGATGCAAAGTCTAAAACCAAATTATAAAGTCCGATGAAGAGACGCTTAAGTAGAATGTGTAATAATCTGATCTTATCAAACCATTCATGTAAATATGTCACACCTGACCACCCTTAACATTCAGGTGATTCATACACATTATATATATATATCAGTATCTAACCAGCTAGATAGCAATACAGTAGTACACAGAAAACCTAGGCATCTTCTGTTACATTATCATCACCACCAGGATCTACTACCAAATATTACCAGTTTATGGAATATTAAAATGGCGACGAGGATGATGACGTTTCCGTCATTCGACATCACGCAGACAAACCTTTCTACTGCATGGAAGAAATGGATCAAGAGGTTTGAGACATTTCTAGTGGCAGAAAATATCACAAACGCAAAACGGCAACGTGCCATGCTTCTTCATTTCGCTGGTCCTGCCCTACACGAAATATTTGATACGCTACAAGATACAGGAAGAGATGAGGACTTTACAATTGCAAAAACCAAACTCTTGGAGTATTTTGAGCCTCAGAAAAATCTTGACTATGAGATAATTAAATTCCGTTCCACCAAACAACGTGAGGGAGAAACCATATTAGAATTCTACACAAGACTTAAAACCTTAAGCCCGCCATGTGAGTTCAATGACCAGGAAGATACAGAAATCAAGCGCCAAATAATTTTTGGTACAACTGATGAAACTTTGCGAAAGAAAGCTTTGAACCCTAAGACTAAATGGACATTAAATGATCTTTTGGACTATGCAAAATACCAGCTGCAATCTATGCAACAGGCAGAGGACATCTCCAGCAAGGATATTAATCGTATTATCCAGAAACACTCATCAAATGGACCAACCAAACACCATCAAACCAAATCTGCCAAATCATCATCATGTGGCCTATGTGGAGGAAAATATCCTCACAATCGTGATTGTCCTGCAAAAGGAAAGACCTGTAGTGCCTGTGGCAAGTTAAACCACTTTGCAAAGGTATGCAGATCGACCAACGCCCAGAACCCCTCCCACATTCCACATGTGAAAAGATCACAGGTACATCAAGTACAGGACCACCAAGATGTGCATTCTGATGTGACAGGACCTGATTACATTTTTCCGCTCAAGTCGTCATCAAAAGGGCCTTATGCAAACATTAATTTGAATGACATCAACATCAAATTTCTTATTGATACAGGATCTAGCATATCAGTCATCAATCATGAAGTTATGTCTCAGTTGAGTGCACAACCAGTGCTCACAGATGTAACATCCTCAGTTTATGCCTACTCTGGCAAGGAGCCACTACCATTCATGGGCAAATTTAAGGCTTCACTGGAGTATGGAAAACATGCAATCACAACTGATATCCATGTGATAAGAGAATCAACCTGTACCCCTATCCTCTCATATGAAGCTGCCACCCAATTACAGCTCATTAAAATCACATGCAACCTACAACCCTACCCCTCCCATCAGATAGAGGAAATCATCAAGCCCCACAGTGCCATCTTTAATGGCATTGGAAAGCTCAAGGATCATCAAGTCAAGCTACATATTGATACATCAATTCAGCCAGTAGCTCAAACCCACATACGCGAACCTTTCCACCAACGCAAGAAAGTGGAAGAGGAAATTAAAAACCTACTGGACAATGATATTATTGAGCCAACAACCGGTGCAACACCATGGGTCTCACCAATCGTAGTTGTGAACAAAAAGCAATCTGACCAGATACGTTTGTGTGTAGACATGCGCAGCGCCAATAAAGCCATCCAAAGAGAGCGTCACATCACACCGACCATGGCACAACCTACCAATGCCAGTGAAGTGAGATCGTTCCTTGGTATGGTGAATTACTGTGCGAGATTCATCAAAGACCTATCTACCCTAACCAAACCACTTCGCGACCTTACCCTCAAGAACACAACCTGGACATGGTCTAATCATCACCAGACAGCATTCGACCAAATCAAAACAATGCTGAAATCTGACCAGTGCATGGCTTATTATGACCCTAATTCTACCGCTATGCTGCATGTTGATGCAAGCCCCATTGGTTTATCAGCTATTCTCAGCCAAGGAGAGAAAATCGTTCACTACGGAAGCAGATCACTAACCCCTGTGGAGCAACGCTACTCACAGACTGAACGAGAAGCCCTTGGTATCACATGGGGTATTGAAAATTTCCGTCTATATCTTTACGGAAAACAGTTCACTGTCACAACTGATCATAAGCCCCTGGACCCGCTATTTAATAATCCTGGCTCGAAACCACCACCACGTATACAACGATGGTTACTGCGACTCCAAGACTACCACTTCAAGGTCATATACCGCCCCGGAAGCAGTAATCCTGCCGACTATCTATCTAGACATCCCTTACCCTCAACTGCAGACTGTTTGTCTAGTCTAGCTGAAGGGTACATTCAACACCTCACCCTGGCAAATATACCCAAAGCAATGACCCTAGAGGAAGTCACATCATCATCCAACCGTGACCCTACGATCAAGTGGCTTTGTGAAATGATTACCTCAGCTCAGTGGCACAAGGCTTTATCCCCACCTAATCCAGATATCAACCTGCGCCATATGGCAATATACTACAAGATCAAAGATGAACTATCAGTAACCAAAGACAACCTCGTTATCAGAGGAAATCAACTGATCCTCCCAGAAGCCCTACAAGGAAAAGCAATTGAGATTGCTCATGAAGGCCATCAGGGTAAAAGTAAAACAAAGTCCCTTCTGCGTACCAAAGTATGGTTCCCCTACATGGATGAGCAAGTTGACCACAGAATTAGCTCATGCGTTCCATGTCAAGCGACATCAAATTCCTCACCACGAGATCCAATCAAGATGAGCAAACTACCTGAAGCTCCATGGACAAATGTTTCTATTGACTTTTCTGGACCTTATCCAAGCAATGAATACATTCTCGTAGCTATTGATGATTACTCCAGATACATCGAAATTGACTTTCTGACAAGTACATCAGCAAGAGCCGTAATTCCAAAATTGGATAAAATGCTCAGCTCCTTTGGGACCCCAAAGAAAATAAAATCTGACAATGGCCCACCATTCACCAGCCATGACTTCGCTAAATATGCTGAAGCAAGCGGATTTGAGCACCATCTAGTGACCCCACTCTGGCCTGAATCAAATGGCCAAGTTGAAAACTTCATGAAGAGCATCAATAAAGTTGTGAACGCAGCTGTAATATCACATCAAAACTGGAAGCAACAACTGTTTCGATGGCTACGCAACTACAAAGCGACTCCTCATACAACAACCAAAATAACCCCCTACGAGGCGATGTTTAATCGTAAAATGCGTATATCACTCCCAGACCTTACCCCTGATCCAAATCCAGAGATTGATCGATCTCTCAGGTTAAATGACCAGCAAAACAAGGAGAAAATTAAAGAATACGCTGAGAATAGAAGAAACATCAAAGATCATGAACTGAAAATTGGTGACACAGTCCTTGTAAAAAACGATATCAAAGGAAAACTTGTACCCAGATATGACCCCCGCCCTATGACCGTCACTCAAGTCACAGGCACAAGAATCAAAGCAGAGAGAGAAGGAAAAATAATAACGAGAAATGCATCATTCTTCAAACAACTTCCAGCTCCCAGCTCCGAAGCTACACCTAACGCTGCACCAGTCAAACTAGACACCCCAAGATACCCTCAGAGACAAAATCGCGGCATACCACCCGATAGACTCATCGTGAAAAAGATCATATAAACATATTACAACTAGACTTGTAAACAACCCCAGAATGCATGGGTCTATCATAACTGACACTTTAATTTAATCTATGATGCATTCAATGAATAACCTTTATCTATGAACTCTGGAGATTTGTTTAGACTCATAAAAACATTACAATTTTCAACCATATCTCAACTATGCATTTAATGAATAACCATATTAATAACTGTGAATTAATCATCTACTTTTAATCTAAAGGTAAAGAGGGGTGTAATAATCTGATCTTATCAAACCATTCATGTAAATATGTCACACCTGACCACCCTTAACATTCAGGTGATTCATACACATTATATATATATATCAGTATCTAACCAGCTAGATAGCAATACAGTAGTACACAGAAAACCTAGGCATCTTCTGTTACATTATCATCACCACCAGGATCTACTACCAAATATTACCAGTTTATGGAATATTAAAGAATGATTTATGGATAGTCAGTAAAACGATTGGAAAAGACACAATTAAAGCTAATTGTCAAAACGAGAAAATATTTAGACATATTTAAATAGACGTAATGATGCTATTGGTAAACAGTGACGTAACAAGATAACAATATTGCCAACAAAAATAAAGAACCAAAATAATGAGCCTAAAAGATCCATGTTTTTTGAAAATTGTTACATATATGAAGGCCACAACTCGCAATGACAATGTAGATCTACAAATACATTTCATTTACCAAAGATTACGGCGATATACCAACCATGTAGCATTTTGATCGCAACTGTTAGGTTCGATGACATCGTTCTTGTAACAGGGTTGTTACTTGTGGCATCCTGATGTTGCAATACTCTGCCATGTATAACGCCCTTGGAGACTTGTCCAAATGCTCCACGGCCCAGTATTTCACCAAATAATAGTCTTGAATGTTTAATTTCCCATCTGTCATATTGTATTGACGGTTGTCTAAATGTCAAACCCAAATAATTCAATTGAAAATGTGTATAACATACTTATAGGGCCATATTAATTTGTTCCTTTGGAAATGTACATGTGTGTATACAAAAATGAAAGTTAAGGCAAAAGTGCACTTTGGAATTTTTGCAATTTTGAAAAGTAAACCACTGAATATTCTAGTTATTCAAACATTCGAAAGAATATTATCAACCCTCAATTAATTGTCTAGGTACACTAATGCATCTTTTGTGCAAGAGTGAAAGATGTAGATGATGTGTGGAATGAGCTTAACCAACCGTATGCACATATACACGTTCAGTATATTACCTTTTTAATTCTCTATGCTGATTCCATCTTTCCAATCTATTCGTGCCAAACTGTGTTCGTTTCCTTCTTTTGTAAAGTAGCAGTCCCGCAATAAATACACACAAACACGTGACACAAAGGGGCGTTGCAATGATTAACACAATGTTTTTCTCTAAGGCTGAATCTAAATATATGAGGAACGATATGGCTGTATGTTTTTGTTCTCGTACATGATGGGCAAATTTACGATAATTGATATTTTTCAATATAGTCAAATTCTGTTATTCTACCAAAGCCTGCGCCATGTGTGTTGATATAAACGACATTTGTGTGCTATTTTAATGTCAACACAACTGGCTATCATGTCCATGCGATATATACTGAAAATATTATTTTTAATTCTTAACAAGTGCGTGATACAGGGGTTGCCATTCTAGTAAAGGGTGTAAATACGTTTCTGTGCTTGATACAGGGTATATTTAATTGAAAAGGTTAAATTATGATGTTGAATTATTGGTGTCTATCATATATTTAAGAACTGCCATCTATATATGAATATAAAGTTCAAATAACAAACGTGAACAAAAGATTAATGAGATTCTGATTGTTAGGTTCTGAGAATGCTGCTGCCATCTTTGAATAAACTCTAAATTATCAATGATATAATTATAATCTATTGTGATAACGAACACCTCCCAATCTGAATGTTTTTAACTGCACGGTGGCATTTGGATTAGACAGGTTTTACTGTATGAGTAATAGTAATACTGAAATTCAAAAAAATCTGAAGGCCTAGTCAATCTATTTTGGGAAATATTCTCAGCTATTTGAAATGAAGATCAACTTTGTAAGAAGTCTCTATAATTATTTTTTTAATTTATACAATAACATTATACTCAGCTTTAGTTCAAATTCCAATGCTCTGGCCTTGGCTAATCAAAACAGTTCATTGCAATTGTTTCATCAATTATTATATTATTATATTAATATATCATAATTATTTCACATGCAAATACTGTACTGCCACTAATATTTGATGCTGTTATCTTTCACAATTTTGCAATTTTGAAATTTTGCGGATATCAATTTTCGCTAATTATAAATTTTTCATAATTTTGTATCTATTTCTCTATTAATATGAATGAAACAGTGCCTTCTTACCTTTAATAATTATTGCTATACCATGTACTTAAAGCCTTTACATGACACCTATCAGCTATCACCTGCTTCAAAAGCATAGGTGAAACTAAACTATTGAAATCAAGTGCTCACTTTAAATTTTTTTTATATTTTCTGTTTGGGAAAATCTGTTAGTTATCAGCTGCATTTTTGTCAGTCAAGATTTCTCGTCATCAAACCAAATCAAATCCAAGGAATGTTTAGTCAAATATCCAGTTGTTCAGGAATCGAACTCAATTCAAAGAATGATTAGTTCCATAGTGTAAACATATACAACTTTGAACAATATTGGTATCAGCCATTATGTTTCATTAAAAAAAAACAGAATGTAAAAGACTTTCATGTAAGCAGGAAATTTCTTGAAAGAATACTAAAGGTTTCGCAACAGAATTTAGACGGTCATATGTTGAATTGCAGAAATTTTCTGAAAATGTAAGGTGTGTATGTTAGGCCAATGCATTATCTAAAGGAAAAGTACTCATACAGATGATAAAAAAAATTGGAGATTGAGACAGGGAAGGTGCAAAGACCCCATCAACATTTTTTTTCAAAAATGTTTTCCTGATTTTCAGTTCCTTCCATTTTTTTTTATAATGTTTTCACATTAATATGTTGCATTTGTAGACAAAGTTAATATACTAAAGAGAAAATATTTTCCTTTTAAGAGTTTATTTGTGTCTCCAAATGCAACATACCTGCATACTGATGCATAAAACATTTATAAAAATTGAGTAGAAGGGGAAATTTTAAATTCAACGAACATATAGGCCCACTGAGCATTTATTTTGCACAGAGCCTTTATTAGAAAGAACTCAAAATAAATGCCATTGGCTTTAATTAAGACTAAGAGGGAAATTGAAAACATTTTTCCAAGGGACAGGCATTTATTAAGAGGGAAAATAGCTTTCCCAAGCCAGTGGGTGTTTATTTCGAGGCGTATTATCAATCGAAGAGTTGACACATGGCCTTCATATACTCATGCAATAGTATCTATCATCTCTGATTGCACACTTCTGTTTTACCTTTCAAGCATTCGATTTGGATTTTGGAATGTCATAAAGCTATGCGGTCAAAAGTAATCTTAATACTTTTTAGTGAAAATGCATTATATTATAATTTTAAAATGCAGAATCTTGCGAATGCAAAATCCTCGAAATCCGATCACCTCCACATCTGAATGTTTTTTTTAACTTGTCATGGTGTTTTAACTGGTCATGGTGGCATTTGGATTAGACAGATATTACTGTATAAGTATCAGACAGATATTACTGTATAAGTATAATAGTATTACTGGAATTCCAAAAAATCATAACGCCTACAATGCTAGTAATATTAAGTGAAAATGCATTAATATTTTTTCAAAATCAAGAATCTTTCGGATGCAAAAACCTCGAAATCAGACGTTTAAATCTGAATGTTTTTAATTTGTAGCGGTGGCATTTGGATAAGACAGGTTTTACTGTATAAGTATAATAGACATTAATAGTATTACTGGAATTCCAAAAAATCATAAGGCCTATAGCAACAATCATGTGAACTTCAGGTCAAAATTCCAATGCTCCCTTGGCCAATAAAATCAGTTCATTGCATTTGTTTCATCAATGCTCTCAATATCATAATTATTCCACATGCAAATACTGTACTACCGGTTAATTTGCGAGTTTAAATTTCATGAATTTTGAGAAATACCAATTTTGCGGCCATTAAATTTTGCGGATATCAAAGGTTTAACTTCCATTATTCTCTGAATCCTCAAAATTAATTTATCTTATCTACAGTAATTACACCTACCCAATATCATATACTTTGGATAAGATTTACAATCTCTAGATCTTAGTCAATGGCATGTTGCACCTCAGCCTTTAATTGGCGATATTCACGACTATTAATTTTCGTGATTTTTACACAATCGCGAAAAGCACGAAACTAAATTGCACGCGAAAAATATCGAGAGTACAGTACATTGAAACCATACACTCTTATATTTCATAAGAATTTGCAATCAAGCCTAACAAATCTATTGGCAAAATATTAGAAGGCCAGCAAATGTACACATGCTAAAGTGATGAAACTTTAATGAATTTTAATTTTGCCTATACTGAGATGTGTTAAACTCTATTTGGGTTAGATTTATTCGGCTACACCCTCTACTTACAGCCTTAACATGCCCCCTATCGGCTATCACCCGCTTCAAAATCATAACAGGTTCCTTTATATCTTCCTTTATCTTCTGTTTAAGAAAAGCTGTTAGCTATCAGCTGTATTTTTGTCAATCAAGATTTCTCTTCATCTGTGAATTACCCAGCGAGAAACCAAAATGGCAATTTTGATGGAAAGACACAAAGTACCAGTCAAAATCTCTGAAGATTTCCGGGCAAACAATGGCAGCTCTCCCAGTTAGGTTTTAGACTGTCTTCTCATATTTTGTCAATTTTATTCAAGTTCAAGTATTGTTTAGAGTTGTGCGTTCAACATATTCGAGAAGTCAATAGCTATAATAAATCTGCAGATTTTGCTCGCATTTATGTAAGCTTTTCTCTTTTGACGGATACTTTGTGTCTTTCCTTGAAATCATGACAGGTGTAACTGATCTACTGAAATCAACTTCAAGTGCTTACTACTATCTCCCAATGTGAGCTACATCAGTGCTTTTTGTTGAGAAAATATGTAAGTTATTAGCCGCTTTTTTGCCGATCAGGATTTAAATTATCTTTATCTGTCATGTACCTAGCAAGATTCAGAGATTTTGACTTGTACGTCATGTCTTTCCGTCAAAACTTCCATTTTTGGTTTCTTGGTAAAGAGTAGCTTCTCAATGTATAATGAGAATTTGCTGTTCGGCACAGAAGCACCTTTTAATTTTTTTCGATTTTCGCAAGGAGGACACTAACACAATTTTGAAGCGGTTGATAGGGGGCTCTAAAGGCTGTTCTAACATATCAGTCACAGCCTCTGAAAGAGCTAGATCTAAGGCTCTAGCTTTAGGCTAGTCTAAGTCCTATAGATCTAGTAGTCTAGGCCTAGAGTCATAGCCCAGGCATAGGCCCGTAAAAATGTAAAGAAATAAAGCTTACAGCATGTTCTATTTAAGTGAATTTGACTCATTGAGTCAATGTTATACATGTTCCGGGCCTATGCCTAGTATCAGGGGCGGATCTCGGAACCAACAAGGGGGGGGGCCCAAATTTCAGGTCAGAGAAAAAAACGTCCGCGCTTGCGCGGGAAAAAATTTTGGGCCCCTAAAACCCAAAAGTGGGCCCAAATTTTGAAATTTTGAGGCCCATTTTCTACAAAATTTGGCCTGAAATTAAAAAATAAGGCCTTAAAAGGCCCAGTAATGACCAAAGAGGCCCACTTTTTGGGGCCTGAAGGCCTTTTTTGGCCCCAAATTTTTTTGGGCCCAATTTTTTTTTTCTGGGCCCACCCAAGGGGGGGGGGGGGCCGGGCCCCCAGGCCCCCCCCCCTAATCCGCCAGTGAGTATAGTCCCGCAGGACGAAGAAGATAAAATGTAAAAATCAAATTGAAAATCAAAATAATCGAACGAAAAAAAATTGAAAAAGTTGAAAATTCGATTTCGATTCAATTTGATTTTCTGCCATTATAAATGAAATAGTGTACTTACCAACATGTTTCTCGGATATATATGTTGTTCTTACTTTATCTTCGCCGAAGATCGATGTTTATTTATATATAACAATCGAATAATCGACATAATTCAAACTCATCACTACGACACCCAGGCTTTCGAAACCATGTAAACTGCTAAGATGACGTCATTTATATCCGGGATTGCTTTGCAAACTCCACACAACAGACTGTCCCAGCTTTTCTCCTGCTTTCTCCCGATGCAATTGACCGGAGATTACTGTCAAACGTTCCAAGTTTTACAATTTTAGCATGTTTATTACGATCTAATTCCTGCCAGTATCAATGAATAAATCTATTGACCAACAGATTGGAAATATGTATTCCAGCGATACCCTCATTTTGACGAAAGAATGGTA